TCCCACTAAATCTCCCAATTATTGTAACCATAAAAAAGCACAGGAACCTGCCATTTGTTACCATGTCTGTGCATACAATCCTGTACAATTTTCATTTTATTAATCAAAGCCAACATTTACTTCTTGCTCGATCAACATACAAGCCATCAATAAACACTAATTCCAATAACCCAGACAGACAGGTATGACAGCTGTTTGCAGGCAAAGAGAAACGTGTCAGTAGATAAACCACCATATCAACTTCTTTATTGTCAACGGATTATTTGGAGATTCTGGCTGAACACATTTATATTATTTATTTGACTTTATCTTGTTTTAGGAATAATGTAATTACAGTGCATGTGAGCAATAAGACAATATAGATTTAATATTGGAACACAAAGACTGTTGGATTTATTGACTAAAGTGTGAATTCAAAGTAGATTTAAAAATTTAGGCCGTAAATTTGAAATATCACTTTGAATTCTCACTTCAGTGTATAACCCAGAGTGAGTACCATTAAATTAGACATCAGTGATTTTGTTTAATTTTTTTTTTGCACCATAATAGAGCACTTTTAGGGCTGCTGATACTTTGTATTAAACTTTTCCTTTCAGATTAGAGGCAGTGCTTTACCAATGGAATTTCTAATCTGGAGGGAAAAAACAGGCAGGCAATTCTCCAAACTTTTTTAAAACAGTCCTCTTATTAAGCACCTTCCTATAAATGTCAGCTTACCAAAAACAACCCCAGTTCTTTGCCTGCCTTCGGCAGAGGAGGTATAGCAGGTTTTTCTCCAGGGAAGCAGGTGAGAAGGGCTGAGGCTCGGGAGGCTCTGCTTCCTTTTGTTTTGAAGCAAAATTTTGTACGCCGGATGGCGGGTTCTTCACAAAGTTTATTATGTTCCGTCTCTTCTGTGCCAGGTGCCGGTCAGATGAAGGACGCAGGCGTGCGTCAGCTTGGAGGTCCTGGCGGTGGAACGTACGTACCGGTTACGTTGCGTTCCACCGGGAATTCGCGGAGCGCAATGCACATGCGCAATGCGATCCAAGATTCAGGCGCCAAATCTGAACTCAGCGCTTTTTGTTCAGTTGGTTTACAGGACTGAAAAGGAGCAACTTACCAGCAGCAACCTCTGTTTGCCAGGAGCTCTCAGATCTGTTGCGAGTGTGTTTCTCACCTGCCCTCCAACACACTGTGAGACCATTTAAGGTAAGACATTTAGCTTTTATTTTAAATGGATCTAGCCTGAATCATAAAGGGAATTAAAAAAGGTTTTCCCTTTCTCTTATCTTTCCTCAGTATGTCTAATCCTGAGATTACGGAGAAAATCGACAGAGAAGGGGAAATGTCCAGAAAAATTCAAGCATTTAAGTTGCTCTGTATGTTTCCAACCTATGCCAGATGGATATAAAAGAAAACTTTGTTCTTTATGTTCCAAAGAGGCTTCGGAGGAAGCTAAAAAAACAGAAATGTCCACATTTCTAAGCTGGTTACAACAGAGTATGCAGCAAACCTTTGTGGAAATGTAATCTGCAGCTATGCAGTCGGCTCAGGCATCTGTTGCTCAGGATTTACAGGTAGTAAAACAATCCAAGAAAAGGCCGAGATCATGGGAAAATTCAGATGCAAGCTTAGGTACTTGTGCTTCTGATTCTAGAGATGATTCCTCTGGTGATTCTTCTGAGGAGGAATTTGCCTTTCCAGAGGAAGCCATTGGAAAGTTAATAAAGGAAGTGCAGAATCTTATGGAGGATGGGATAACAGGAAAAAAAAAAACCTATAGTTTTCCCATTACATCCACAGCTAAAGGAGTTGGTTTTAAGAGAATGGAAATTCCCAGGTCATAAACCATTTATATCAAAACATTTTAAAACTGTTTTCTCCATAGAAGTGGACCAGGACTGCCTGCTGGATACAGTTCCTGTAGTAGACGTTCCTATAGCTCAAATAGGAAAGAAAACTGCGTTACCTATAGGTGACTCAAGTGGTTTAAGGGATGTGTTGGAAAAGCGTATGGACTCGTCTTTAAAGAAAATGTTTTTATCCTCAGCGGCTCAGGCAAAAGCCCTTATCGCAGGAACCTCTGTGGCTAAAGCCCAAAAACATTGGCTAGAAGAACTAGAGAAGGTTTATGCAGGCGAATCAAAAGAAGATCCAGTAAAGCTGTTGAAAAATATCAAGATGTCTACAGATTTTTTGGTAGATTCTTCTTCAGAAAGTCTGAAATTATCTGCTAAGAATTTGGGTCTAACAACAGTATCTAGGAGAGCACTTTGGCTTAGAAACTAGTCAGCTGACGCTGCATCTAAAATTTCTTTGAGTCTGGTAGACTGTTCAGGTCAAAACTGGATGATCTGTTAAAACAAATGAAGGAAGACAGGAAGGCCTTGCCTGAAACCCAAAAGAAGCAGGTTTGGAACAAAAAAAAATGGGGATCCAGCCCTCAGTTAGAAGTTCCTTTCGTAGGAACTATTATAGGGGTCAACAGAGGAAAGTTTTCGATTACAGAAAGAAAGATTGTTGTGACGCCAGGCCGGTGGGAGGAAGATTGACCCACTTCCTAAATCACTGGGGAAGTACTACATCAGATCTCTGGGTTCTCTCTGTAATAAAGAGCGGGTGCGGTCTGGAACTGGCAAATACCCCAAAGAGAACTTATTTATGTTCCAGGGTTCATTCTCAGGCAACAGAGAAAGCTTTAATGCAAGAAGTATCAAGACTCCTGCAGAAGAAATTAATAGAAGAAGTACCCCTAAGAGAAAGACATCAGGGCACTTATTCAAGGCTATTTTTAGTTCCAAAGCCAGATGGTTCATTCAGACCCATACTAGACCTAAAGGCCGTAAACAAGTGTATTATAAAAAAGAAGTTCCGTATGGAATCAATAAAATCAGCAACACTTCCTATTCAACCAGGGAATTGGTTTGCGTCCCTTGATTTAAAAGACGCCTATCTTCACGTGCCCATAGCAGAATTCAGCAAAAGGTTCTTAAGATTTGCAATCTGCATCCAGACGGTAACCATGCATTACCAATTCAAAGCCCTTCCATTCGCCCTTTCATCTGCTCCAAGGGTATTCACAAAGCTGCTAGTAGTCATCTCAGCATACCTAAAAGGTTTGGGTATCTATGTCATCCCTTATTTGGACGACTGGCTTTTGATTGCGGATTCAAAAGAACAACTAGCTTTAGACCTAATTACAGCTTTACAAGCTCTAGAAAATCATGGTTGGCTAATCATTTTTTTTTAAAAATCGGAATTAGTTCCTGTTCAAAGGATTCAGTTCTTAGGTCTATTCATAGACTCAATCTCCATGAAGATTTTCCTTCCAGAAGGGAAGAAACTAAAGATAACTCAAACAATTCAGAGGCTCAGAGAAAAAGGTTTTTTCTCAGTCAGAGAAGCGATGAGATTACTGGGTCTTTTTACGGCCGCTATCCCTGCAGTCGGTTGGGCAAAAGCCAGAATGAGACCTCTTCAGAGAAACATTTTAAAAGTTTGGAACAGACAGACAGACAGCCTGGATGGTCTGATGAAATTCAACAGTCAGACGCTGAGGAGTCTTCCGTGGTGGACCTCATCTCGATTCCTGCAGGAAGGTCTTTCATTCCAAATGAAATCCTTCGGGATTTTAACAACAGACGCCTCGGTATTATACTGGGGGGCCCATTTAGGAGACCAAAAGAAGCAGGGGCTTTGGCAAGAAAAGGATGTAAGAACTTCCTCGAACTTCAAAGAATTGAAGGCAGTATGGATGGCTCTCCTTGCATTTCAGTTCCAGATAAAGAATCAGCATATTCAGATACGTTCAGACAATCGAACGACAGTTGCATTTGTGAACAAACAAGGCGGTACAAGATCGTCAAAATTAGAAAATCTATGTTCAAAGATCATGCTATGGTCAGAAGTTCACCTACTCTCAATCTCGGCAGTTCACATTATGGGAAAATTCAATGTATTAGTAGACACCTTGAGTCGTCAACACTTAAAGCAAACAGATTGGTCCCTTTCGTGCAAAGTTTTCAAGCAAATATCAGACCTCTTCGGTTGTCCAGAAATAGACCTTATGGCCTCCAGGACAAACAGGAAGACAAGACGATTTGCATCTCTGAACCCTGCAGACAAACCAGATATCATAGATGCTCTTTCAGTACCATGGAAGTTCAACCTAGCATATGTGTTCCCACCGCTAGTTCTTATTCCCAGAGTGCTTCAAAAGATCAAGTTGGAAAGAGTAAGGATCATAATCCTCCTTTGGTGGCCAAGAAGAAGTTGGTTTTCAGTTCTTCTAAACATACCAGGGGCCACCTTTTGGAAGCTTCCCGTATCAGAAGAAATACTAGAACATTCCATGGTACCTCTTCCAACCCTACAGAGATTCCAATTGACGGCTTGGTGTCTGAATTCCAAATTTTAAAGAGTAAAGGTCTAGATCCTGAGGTTATAAACATTTTATTGGCTACTAACAAAGAATCAACATCTAAAATTTACTCCAAGATTTGGAAGAAATTTTGTCATTGGTGTTACATAGTTACATAGCTGAAAAGAGACTTGCGTCCATCAAGTTCAGCCTACCTCACATTTGTTTTTTGCTGTTGATCCAAAAGAAGGCAAAAAAAAACAGTTTGAAGCACAATTTTGCAACAAGCTAGGAAAAAAATTCCTTCTTGACCCCAGAATGGCAGTCAGATTTATCCTTGGATCAAGCAGTTATTACCCTACATTGAAAGATTATATCCTTGAATATTCTGTTTTTGCAAGTATGCATCTAGTAGCTGTTTGAACATCTGTATGGACTCTGATAAAACCACTTCTTCAGGCAGAGAATTCCACATCCTGATTGTTCTTACAGTAAAAAAACCTTTCCTTTGCCTTAGACGAAATCTTCTTTCTTCCAGTCTAAACGCATGGCCTCGTGTCCTATGTAAAGTCCGGTTTGTGAATAGATTTCCACACAATGGTTTGTATTGGCCCCGAATATATTTGTATAATGTTATCATATCCCCTCTCAGGCGACGTTTTTCTAAACTAAATAGGTTTAAATTTGTTAACCTTTCTTCATAGCCGATATGTTCCATTCCTTTTATTAATTTTGTAGCCCGCCTCTGCACTTTTTCTAGTGCCATAATATCCTTCTTTAGAACAGGTGCCCAAAATTGCACAGCATATTCAATATGGGGTCTTACCAGTGATTTATAAAGAGGCAAAATTATATTCTTGTCCCGAGAATGAATGCCCTTTTTCATGCATGACAATACCTTACTGGCCTTGGCCACTGCTGATTGACATTGCACATTGATGCATAGTTTGTTGTCTATAACAATTCCCAAGTCCTTTTCATGTGTTGTTATCCCTAATTCGCTTCCATTAAGGGTATACGTTGCTTGTGTATTCTTTACGCCGAAGTGCATAACTTTGTAGGTTTAAAGAGAACCCTGTTTCCGCCTCCATCCAAAAGATTCTTAAATTCCTTCAGATGGGATTTACGAAGGGATTAAAGCCAGCATCTTTAAAATTACAAGTTTCAGCTATCAGTTTCTTTTCTTTCAGATGTTTAATATCAAACATTCTGATATCTAGATTCTTCAGGGCTCTGGGCCGTTTGGTTCCTAACTTTAGGGAAACCTGTCCGCCCTGGGATCTAAATTTAGTATTATCAGCTCTTCGTGAGCCGCCTTTTGAACCACTAGAAAAGGCGTCTCTGAAGATTTTATTATTAAAAAACGTATTTTTGGTGGCAATTACATCAGCCAAGAGTGTAGGTGAACTCCAAGCTCTACGGCAAATTTTCCTTTTTTGGTTTTTCATCAAGACAAGGTAGTTTTAAAGCTCGATCCGTCTTTTATCCCTAAGGTTTTGACCTCGTCTAACATCAATCAAGAAGTGGTATTGCCTACTTTTTGCCAAAATCCATCCAATTCCTTGGAAAGAAAATTTCACTGCCTAGACGTGAAGAGATGTCTTATGCAATATCTAAAATCTACTAAGTCTTTCAGGAAGGATAACAGCCTGTTTGTCTTAATTAAAGGCGCAAGGAAAGGTATGAAGGCTTCAAAAAGTTCTCTGGCTAGATGGCTGAAGGATTGTATTCATTTAGCTTATTCCACAAGTAACGCGGAAATCACAGGCTCTGTAAAGGCCCATTCAACTAGAGCTATATCTACGTCCTGGGCTCTGCGAGCTGCAGCTACGCCTTCCCAGATTTGTTCAGAGACCACATGGTCATCGCTTCATACATTCTCAAAACATTACAGGTTAGATATACTGGCCTCAGAAGATGCAGCTTTTGGGCGCAAGGTGCTACAAGTAGTGGGGAAATGTATCCCACCCTAAGGGATTGCTTTTTCATATCCCATTGGTAAAGCACTGCCTCTAATCTGAAGGGAAAAACAAAAATGTTTACTTACTGTTAATTTCTTTTTCATGAAGATTAGAGGCAGTGCTATAATTCACTCCCTCCCCCTTTTTTTCTAATAAACTCGGAATTGTGCATGTAACCGGCTTGTGTGTTTTCTGGGGTTGTTTTTTGGTAAGCTGACATTTATAGGGGGAGGGTTTTAAAAAAGTTTGGAGAATTGCCTGCCTGTTTTTTCCCTCCAGATTAGAAATCCCATTGGTAAAGCACTGCCTCTAATCTTCAGGAAAAACAAATTTACGGTAAGTAAAAAAATTTGTTTTTTAATTTAAACTGAAATTCTAATTATGTAGTAAAATAGATTGAAAATAAACCATCACGTTTAGCCTTTCATATATTTTCGTAGTTTCCAGATTTGTGATCCAAAATAAGACGACAGCAATTTGCAAATAAACACTGACATGACTTACTTTTTCAATGTAACAAATTCCGTCAGTTCACTTAGAAATGAGCTTTTACGTGACGTTGCTCAAGTTAGGATTCAAAGACCTCAAAAACCAGACACAGACTGTACAGTTCCTTTCTAATGGGACAACGCAGCATGGTTTCTGTGCTTAACTGAATATTCTTTTCTACAAGCTGCCTTGGGATATGGAGATAATGCATAGTATTTACAATACGTAAATACTCAAACATAGAAAACAACATATGTACTGTATAGATCTATTATTTAGCCAATCACCCGGAGCACCAAAATAGCTCCACCATCTATCACAACATCACAATTATACCCGACCTTACAAGTGCCCAATGGGCAAAAACTTATGATGTGCAATTTTTCAAACCGAATTGATTGTCACTAACACTCTTTCTGTATTGGTTGTTGATTTTTGTCCTTCCGTTTAATGCAAAATAAAGATTGAATAAAGACTAAAACATAAACTCCTGTTCCAGCGTCGAGGATAAGTTCTCTCCTTAGCCTGATGGTCCTCTGCTGGTGTTACTCCATCTAACCGGAGGAGGTATGTAGGGGAAGACAGCCTGAGGGGAAGAACTAGGCAGCACAGGGGCACCGTGCTGCCATTGGACCTCTGTCGCCAGGATGCTGACGTCAGACATCTAAAATGCACAAAATTGAGATTATCTTGCCTTGTTCTAGGCTGGCCAAAGGCGCCCCAATGACGCTGCTCGAGGTGGACTAACACCCCTGGCAACAGAGGGTTAAACTCCGCATGTGCAGCGTTTCATAGTGAAATACTGCGAATAAAAACTCCAGGCACCATGACCGCTTCAAATCAATGTAGTGGTTATGGTGCTTCACGTAACCTTTAAACAAACTCGTCATATATCACATTACGATGATTTTCATGGTTATATATTGTATTTTGAATGGGCTAACGCACTGTATATTACATCTGTTTATCTGTACGGATTTCATTCTGTGACAGAAGCACAATATTACTTCTTGCAATGTAAGTATTACCCAAACTTTCAAGTGGGCCCCTGTCAGTTTACAGAATTGTGCACAAGGGGGGCGGCATTCCAAACCACGGAGGCATACAGCAGGGGATCTCTTTTAGAAATATGTGATAAAGTGAGGCTGGTATGTAAGTGTACGTGGCTGCTGTTCATGTTTAAATATTGTGAATAATTTAGTGGCTCTTAGATAAATGTTTTAATTGAACTGGAGATCTTTTCCCTATCGAGCCAAAATATGCAAAAGGAAGTCGGTGAACTTACAAAAGTCAGGTTTGTATTTTTTTTTAAGACTACAAAGACTATCGGCCAACCTTCGAAACGCTGTGTTTTTCTGTTAATTTTCACAATGTGTCCCCGGCTGGAATAATCCATTAGTAAAACTGAGGATAAATAACCAAGCTATCCAAAAAGGCCGAGATATTGTATTGACATTGTGTAAGATTTTGTTACCCAATCATTACAGTGGAATGTTAAATCTCATATTCTGCCTGCCTGGAAGTCTGGAAAATATCTATATTAAAATGTATCAAAATATAATTTTACTTAATCTATCCTTTTAAAATTATTTTATTTGTACCTTTTATTCTAGGACCAAATATTGCAGGATTCTGGGACATTTATCAATAACATTTATAAATAGACTTTCTCCTGGAAACGTGGCTTGTAGTGAACTGGAAAATTTAGGCAAAATGCCCCTGACTAAACCCTGGATGCGCTTATTACTACTCTGTGTTGGGGAGAGGAGCACCCCCATTCTCGCACATACTATTATTGGGGAGCCCTACTGGCAGCACCCCATACTATTATTGGGGAGCCCTACTGGCAGCATCCCATACTATTATTGGGGAGCCCTACTGGCAGCACCCCATACTATTATTGGGGAGCCCTACTGGCAGCACCCCATACTATTATTGGGGAGCCCTACTGGGAGAACCCTATACTATTATTGGGAAGCCCTAGTGGAAAAACCCACATACTATGACTGGGGACTCCTACTGGCAGCACCCCATACTATTATTGGGGATCCCTTGTGACAGCACCCCATACTATTACTGGGGAGCCCTATTGGCAGCACCCCCATATTATTGCTAGGGAGCCCCAGTGGCAATACTCCCATACTATGACTGGGGAGCCCCAGTGGCAGTACCCCTATATTATTACTAGGGAGCCCCAGAGGCAGCACCCCCATACTATGACTGGGGAGCCCCACAGGCAGCACCCCCATGCTATTACTAGGGAGCCCCAGAGGCAGCACCCCATACTATTATTGGGGAGCCCTACTGGCAGCACCCCCATACTATGACTGGGGAGCCCCATATGCAGCACCCCCATACTATGACTGGGGAGCCCCATATGCAGCACCCCCATACTATGACTGGGGAGCCCCAGAGGCAGTACCCCCATACTATGACTGGGGAGCCCCATATGCAGCACCCCCATACTATGACTGGGGAGCCCCAGAGGCAGCACCCCTATACTATGACTGGGGAGCCCCAGAGGCAGCACCCCCATACTATTACTAGGGAGCCCCAGAGGCAGCACCCCCATACTATGACTGGGGAGCCCCAGAGGCAGCACCCCCATACTATGACTGGGGAGCCCCATGACTGGGAGCCCCAGAGGCAGCACCCCCATACTATGACTGGGGAGCCCCAGAGGCAGCACCCCCATGCTATTACTGCCCCAGAGGCAGCCCATACAGGGCAGCACCCCCATACTATGACTGGGGAGCCCCATATGCAGCACCCCCATACTATGACTGGGGAGCCCCAGAGGCAGCACCCCCATACTATGACTGGGGAGCCCCAGAGGCAGCACCCCCATACTATTACTGGGGAGCCCCAGAGGCAGCACCCCCATACTATGACTGGGGAGCCCCAGGGCAGCACCCCATGCTATGACTGGGGAGCCCCAGTGGCAGCACCCCCATACTATGACTGGGGAGCCCCATATGCAGCACCCCCATACTATGACTGGGGAGCCCCAGAGGCAGCACCCCCATACTATGACTGGGGAGCCCCAGAGGCAGCACCCCCATGCTATTACTAGGGAGCCCCAGAGGCAGCACCCCCATGCTATGACTGGGGAGCCCCAGAGGCAGCACCTCCATGCTATGACTGGGGAGCCCCAGAGGCAGCACCCCCATACTATGACTGGGGAGCCCCAGAGGCAGCACCCCCATACTATGACTGGGGAGCCCCATATGCAGCACCCCCATACTATGACTGGGGAGCCCTAGGGCAGCAACCGCATACTATGACTGGGAAGCCCCAGTGACAGCACCCCCATACTATGACTGGGGAGCCCCAGAGGCAGCACCCCCATACTATGACTGGGGAGCCCCAGAGGCAGCACCCCCATACTATGACTGGGGAGCCCCAGTGACAGCACCCCCATACTATGACTGGGGAGCCCCAGTGACAGCACCCCCATACTATGACTGGTGAGCCCCATATGCAGCACCCCCATACTATGACTGGGGAGCCCCAGTGACAGCACCCCCATACTATGACTGGGGAGCCCCAGAGGCAGCACCCCCATACTATGACTGGGGAGCCCTAGGGCAGCAATCCCAGTAATTCCCCCCAGACTGAGTGTTTGCAGCCTTTGGGCTGAGCTGCAGGGTTAGCAGAGAGCTGGCACTTTGTAGACGCTCCCTGCTTTGTGAGCTGTGCTGTTTGGTATTCGGGGCCCAGCCTCTCCCTGGGACACATCACACTGCCTGTCCCAGTGCTGCTGCTCTACTCCCGCCTCTGCGCCTGGGACCGACAGCAGCACTTTGCACACGCTCCCTCGGCGGTTTCCAGGCTCCCCACTGCCAATCTCTTAGAAGAAAGCTAAAGCCTTTCCCTTGGGGGAGCCCTGAGTTCCTGGGGCCCCTCCAGACCCCCTGTTAGAGGACCCCTGAGAAGGAGCAAGGAGGGGGTTCTGGACACCCATGGGCACTGCAAGGAAGCCCTGAGGAGTGCAGGAGCCCCCTCCCTCACACAGCTTGTTTGTGTGAGAATGTCAGAATTCTTAAAAGGGCAATGTGTGAGCTCCCATACAGTGTATGGGCTGCACTGCTTAATGTGGGATGTGCCTTTAATAACAACAACACAAAAATGGCAACTACTGGCACGTTACGACTACAATGCCAACCACGCTTAGCCAGCCACGCGTCACAGCTGGGTATAAAATAGGGAAATACCTGCATTAATGGCTGATACAATGTGGCTACAGATGTGTCTTTTATAATGGAAACAGTGACACCCTCTCTCCCCCTATCCCCCATTAATTTATAGAGCGACTATCTTCACCGGGCTGATTCAAGCACAACCTGAAGCTAAATAAAAATGTTAGCAATTGGATTGGCAGTTTTTATTTCTATGTATTTATATTTTACTTACATACTTTGCTAGTAAATTATGTAAATGAGTTAAGAATATTACGAGAGCACATCTCGTGAAATTTCTCCATTAGATGTCCGAGCACGCACTCCTGAGTGTTTACAGGAGTGAAGAAACGTGGAGCTATCACTTCCCTGGAGCTGAAACTTCCTCTTAAGCCGATATTTTACGAGCATTGACGTACGGTTTCCTCAAGGTTTATAGTATGAGTTCCTGTGCATTGGCTACACTGGATAGAGACGTGGGTCTTTAGTAAAAAAATTTTTTAAAAAGACCCCTTGCGGTATTGTTAGCACCTGTGCATTGTAACCCTCGTGTTCATACGCAGACATGCACCGTTAGTCAGTCACTAACCCATATACACAACTAGCACACGTACATACCTTCATACAGACATACACACACATTCCTAACTAACCAATTAGACACACGGACACACACATTCAAATACTTCCCACTTTACATTTGAAGGAATGAAATTGGGACAGTGTGGGTGGTGTAGGAGGGGGGTAGGAGTGTGAGCACCAATGATGAAGCCAGACAAGGGGAAAGCGACGTCCCATCACGAAATGCCAGACCCACTCAACACGAAATGCCAGGCCCACTCAAGACGAATTGTCAGGCCCACTCAAGACGAATTGTCAGGCCCACACTGCACGAAATGTCAGGCCCACTCTGCACGAAATGTCAGGCCCACTCTGCATGAAATGCCAGGCCCACTCTGCACGAAATGCCAGGCCCACTCAACACGAAATGTCAGGCCCACTCAACACGAAATGTCAGGCCCACTCAACGCAGTCCATGCGCAGAGTGCTGTGGAAGTGCACTACCAATGGTTTGAATGATCTGAGCACAATTTGCTAGGTCAAGCATGTCTAATGATGTGCTCCAGCTTTCTGAGGACTTGGTCTCTGATGTCCCCCAAGCAGGACAACAGATACTAAAAGCAGGACAGCACCAGAGGCCACATTCAGGACTGTCCCACCCAAAACAGGACAGTCAGGAAATATGTTTCATACATGATTACATACACTATTCATAGACACACTTGCCAAATGTAATTATTTTCCTTATTCTATCCCTCCGGCACACCTCTGTCAGTAGGTGAGTGTGCTGTCTCTGCGTGATGCATCAGAGACAGCTTTCGTTACATCCTTTCCATCAGTCGCGATGCCATGCAGGAATGCCAGGGAAAGATGCCTTAACAACTGCACCACCTTGAGACTACCTGATACCTTGCTGCAGGTGGGAGCAGCCGCAGGAGATTTTTTTTTAATCTCCTCTGAACAACAGGGACCTCATAATTAATTGAAAAATTATTGACTAACGACCCAAGTGATTTCATGTAATTATTTTAGTGTTACTGGTCTGCTGTCACGCATGCCCTACCGTACGAAATGTGAACGTCTAAGAGATCTAACAAGAAAGTAGGAACCTCCATCGGGCTTCTGAGAACCCACAGACATCTGTTGTGCATTATTCTAGAATATACCTGATCCCATCTACTGACACTCAAAGGAAATGGCAAAACGTGGCTGGTGCAAGCTTTTTGAATCTTTTCCTTTACCCGCATTGAGCTACAAATTGTATCACAGATAACAAAACGTAGACCCTAATCTGTTTTATGGCATTGTAGAATGTTTGTGAAAAAACAAACAAACAATCTTACAGTACAGCACCTTCATCTTGCTGGTGTCTGTGCAAAGACATTGGGGCTCAGTCACCTAACACTGGTTTGTAGTGAATTAAAAAACAAACAAATCAAAATTAGGCAACAATAGCCGATCTGAGAGAATTCTCATATTTAGTAATAGTTACATCTTATTTCTTTTTAGCATAAAGTCTACCATTCTGTTTTCAGTCACTTCATTTCATTGCCAACTTTCAGCGTGTCTTCCTTGACTGTCTTGAGGGCATTCTTACTTTTACTTTTAAATCGCCAACCTATTCTGCGGAGCTGTACAATGCACATGTTTTTGTGCAATCGCCTGCTTTGCCTATTGGATAAAGTTGGCGCGCTGAGACTCAGTCCAAATCCCAGTGAGGCAATTAACATTATACTATTGTAAATCTTTATGGAGCATCTCACAATTTTAAAACGTCAATTATCCAATCTCTATCATAATTAGCCATTTAAGTGCTAGCAGTGTGCAATACGATCTTAGTCCAGGATCGTCCAACTAATTATTCTGTACTAATTAGTGACGCTGATCTGATTTATATTTAAGTCGACTGTTTCTGATAACTCTTTGTAATTAGCAACTTTGGACAGGGGGGCATATAGTAAATTAAACATAAATACACAATGGGTGGAGAGGACACATAATACAGTATGTGTGGAGTTTCTAAATATTCATTCAAAGATTGCATGCCTCCTTTGGGAGGAACGGTCCCTATTTTAGAGTCCTGTCCCACCGCCCCATCTATGTTCCCTCGTGCACCGCTTTTTCAAAGCTTTTTCCCCACAAAGTGTAGCACGAGCTTATCATCAGACGCTCTCGCACTCTACTTAGAGCACAAGAACCATGTAGAGAGCGCTTTGGTAGCGATCCCTGCATGGTCCACCCTTACTGGACCAACTTCAGTGATTTGCAGCTATCCTGGTGCGCATTCAGGCCAAGCAGAACACCCCTGATCTGAATTGAATACAAATGGCCAAATTGAGGTAAAAATAGCAAACCTGTTGCTATGGAACAATTTGAGAATTTTTTGTCTATATTTTGCCAGATTTCAAATCGCTACAATTTGGAGCTTACTAAATAAACCTGTTAGATTTGTTACGTGATCCATTATGCCTTTTAGAATTTGCACAGTAAATGTTATTACAATTTTTTATAATTTACCAGGTATATGTTTTCTAACCAGGTCATGAATTTAAAGTGAATTTCAAATTCAAGGCCAAAATAGCCAAACTGGAAAAATTCTCTAATTTTAGGTATGGCTACTTTGTCCTTAAATGTGAAATTCACTTTGAATTCTCATGTTAGTAAATAGCTGTGCATGGTGGGATTCTTCACGACTTTTTCCCCCATATCTCAGAAAAACAAACCACCAGAGAGACGAATCCCAGGATTCTTGAACACGTTTTCCAGATCAGAACTTTTTCAGCAGCACCAGATTCATAGGGAGGGAGAATTGTTGGGAATTTCAAGTGAATTTCATAATTAAATCCAAAAGAAGCTGATTTGGAGAATTTTTTCAGCTCAACTAACTTGGCCTTAAATTTTAATTTCACTAAATTCACTTTGAATTTCCAACCATACTTACTTTGGTGAATATCCTGGCAAATTAAAACAAACAAACAAATAAACAATCAAACCCATAGGAGAACACATCTGAGAAGAAATGTGTATAAATGTGTATGCAATAGTTAAACTCAACATATTTCAAAGCACAGTTACAAAATGGTAAATCCTACATGTGCCATGATGTTACATTGGTCAATACAGTAGTAACACTATCCCTATTTAGGAGAGACAGTCCCTATACCTTTGTCCCTCTTTTTCTAGGCTCCACATTGTGTCTGAGTGTATAACAGAGCTCCACAGCAATAATACTCCCATTAATGTGTCTGAGTGTATAACAGAGCTCCACAGCAATAATACTCCCATTAATGTGTCTGAGTGTATAACAGAGCTCCGCAGCAATAATACTCCCAGTAATGTGTCTGAGTGTATAACAGAGCTCCACAGCAATAATAATCCCAGTAATGTGTCTGAGTGTATAACAGAGCTCCACAGCAATAATACTCCCAGTAATGTGTCTGAGTGTATAACAGAGCTCCACAGCAATAATACTCCCAGTAATGTGTCTGAGTGTATAACAGAGCTCCACAGCAATAATACTCCCAGTAATGTGTCTGAGTGTATAACAGAGCTCCACAGCAATAATACTCCCAGTAATGTGTCTGAGTGTATAATAGAGCTCCACAGTAATAATACTCCCAGTAATGTGTCTGAGTGTATAACAGAGCTCCACAGCAATAATACTCCCAGTAAGCTGTGTAACAGAGCTCCACAGCAATAATACTCCCAGTAATGTGTCTGAGTGTATAACAGAGCTCCACAGCAATAATACTCCCAGTAATGTGTCTGAGTGTATAACAGAGCTCCACAGCAATAATACTCCCAGTAATGTGTCTGAGTGTATAACAGAGCTCCACAGCAATAATACTCCCAGTAATGTGTCTGAGTGTATAACAGAGCTCCACAGCAATAATACTCCCAGTAATGTGTCTGAGTGTATAACAGAGCTCCACAGCAATAATACTCCCAGTAATGTGTCTGAGTGTATAACAGAGCTCCATAGCAATAATACTCCCAGTCAGGTGTCTGAGTGTATAACAGAGCTCCACAGCAATACTACCAGTAATGTGTCTGAGTGTATAACAGAGCTCCACAGCAATAATACTCCCAGTAATGTGTCTTTCAACTACAAAAAAATGTGTTTAGAAATCAGTCTGTGTAAATAAGATACATTGTTCTTGTTATAAATTACATTTTAGTAAATTCAATTTTTATTAGTCAGTTTCCTAGAATTTCTCAGAAAAGCCCCGCCCCTGGCCACACCCCTAAAGTTAAATTGTCCCTCTTTGTCCATTTGAAATCACAACTCCCCAACAAGTACAGGGTTATTCACTGTAGAGAGAATTTAAAGACAAATCTGTAACTCCAGATTCCAGTTCGTCTACTTTGGCCTTAAAATTGAACTCAACTTTGAATTTACACTTTGGTGAACATCACTGTAATTTCATTCTTGCTGCAGGGCTAGTTCCCAATTCTTTCCTGCAGAATAATTCATTTGTGATCTATGCAAAAACTTTCAATAATATTTTTTTGCTGACCAGTCAATAAGCAAATGAAGTGGAGATTTTGTTTTGGTATTCTAAATCTTGCCTAGACTCTGGCAGTTCCTTGTCCATCACTAATGACAGGAAACCTTTAGATAGATTTGTATAACTGTCCCCTGATTTGTAAGAGTCAGTTTATTTTCTGACACTCTATCATCCGCTTAGAGAACGGTGGTTGGGTGTAAGCACAACACCCTGAGAGCTTCCAAGAGTCAGGGAGTTTACGAAATGGGAACTGTCACACGCCAGAAACATAACAGGGTTACTTACTAAGGTGAGAATTGCACGGAATTCAAAGTTAAAATTCAAGGCCAAAGTAGCTGAACTGAAAGCACAGCTAAATGGGAGAATTTTTCCAGTGCTCGGGGTAAAAGGTGATGGGTGTTTGTACCCAGATCAATTTAATAACCTGAAGTGGTATGGGTGCATACAGTGACCCTTTAATATCTGGGCATTGGCGATGCTCTGGCTAGGGATGCACACTGGCTAGCCAGCCACAACATTAAAATGTTTTTTAAAAAAGAGGCAAGACTTACTTGTCACTGGCTTCCACATCAACCAATCAGAGTGCTCTGACTTCAATTTCGACGTCTAGGAAGGCCTTTATAAAGAACGTTCCCGTTTTCGACGAGCCCAAATTGGGTGAAGATGGCTCCTATTTTTCTTCTTTTATTTTTTTGTGCGGGGTTTTTCCTTTTTATGTCATTTTGTTTTGTGATTTGGGTCTTTTTTTATTTTTAATAACGAAGATGTTAGAAGAAAGACTTTCACCAGGTAACTATGAAGCTATTTTTAATTGATTTAAATTACTTCTCCCCTTTCTCACTATTAAGGCATAGGGAGTGTTTTTATTGCATTGGGGGGAGGGGGTCTAGATAGGTTTTTAGTCAGTAGTGTGATTGATTATTCACAGAAGTGTCGGTTCCCCTTTAATATTTTTTGTCTATCTCCTGTATCCATTTAAATGTAGAAATCCACATGCTGTATCTGTCCTGGAACTCTGAGCTTCAATCTTGGCCTCCTGTCAATCATTGTTAAAAACTTTGCACCTGGCAATCAGCATACAAAACACACGGGAGGTGGAGAAGCAAAATTATCTAAAGTGTCAGTCTCTTATCTAAAGATCTATTCAAAATAAAATGTGTTGTATTAAACATTGTCTGCTCTCTGCCTGAATTCTAAAATTTATTTTGCAGAAAAGTCAATTCCAGGAAATGCAACCAAATTTAGATTAAAACACTTTTCTGGCAGTAAAGATAAATAAGATTGATAATCTATTGTTACTGAAAAAATGGCATCATTTCAAAAATGCTAGAGCACAAAAGAGGTAACAGAGGATACAACACTGCATGTTTTAATTGTGCTTAAAAAAAACAAAACAAAAATTACACCTGTCTGGGAATGATGACTCTCCCTCACTATTTCATTCTTCCCTCCTCCAATGCAATGCGTACCCTTGATTTGCCTGGATTAAACTGGATAGTGCTAGAAAATTGCTTAAAGGGACACTATAGTCACCAAAATAACTTCAGCTTAAAGAAGCAGTTCTGGTGTATTTAGGAGTTAAATCCCTTTGTTTATGAACCCTAGTCACTCCTCCCTGCATGTGACTTGCACAGCCTTCGTATACACGTCCTATCTAATGTTTATACATCCTTTATTGCACGGTCTAATATAGAATTTGTAATCTCCTGCTCTGTTAAGATTCCTAGACCTGACAGAAGCCTCCTGTGTGTGATCAAAGTTCAATTTACAGAGCAGTAGATTCAAACTTCTAAAGCAAGTGAGCAAAACCTTTTTTGTTTTCATGCAGGCTGTGTCAGTCACAGCTAGGGGAGGTGCAGCTAGTGTTGCATAAACAGAAACAAAAGTAAATTAACTCTTAAATGGCAGAGAATTGGGCAGTGAGACTTTGGAGGAATGCTCTATACACAAAAAAGCTTGATTAAGCTAAAGTTGTCATAGTGACTGTAGAGTCCCTTTAACCCTTGCTACACATATGCACCATAACTACAGAACCGTGTGGGGCTTATGAGCCCTTGGCACAGACTCTCTTCAATTTATAAACACAAGCCTGAAGGTTTTCTGGGTGCCAGTGACCTGGCACAGCATTTGGCATGGAGCTGTTGCAAATACTACACTTTCATCACACCTGAAAATGTTTTGACACCATCAGGGGTTTGTCAGACAAAGTCTCGCTAGTGAATTGATTTTAAAAGGTTAAAAACATTTTTCTTGCACACAATTCTGTTTCTGCTATTGATCGAAAAGAATGTTGATACATTTGCCACACAATGGGGACACCATGCCTTCTTGACTTCAAAATAGGAATCCAATTTCTCCTTGAAAAACCAAATTTACCCCATATAGTAAAGGGACACTATACAGGCACCCAGATCATTTCAGCTCATTGAATTGGACTGGGTGCACTGTCCCTCTCAGTTTAACCCTGCAATGTAATTAGTTATTGATTAATTGCATTTCAGGGTTAGTGCCACCCGTGGCACATCTGTGTTGTTGGGTGTCTATTGGTCACCTGACGACGCTGGACATCATCACACTCTGTGATATTAAATGCTTTCCTATGGGGTAGTTATAATGTGAGCGTAGCACTCTGTGTGCATGCGCATTAGGTCCCTGATGTCGGGGACGAGAGGCGGAGCCTGACCCAGTGCAGATTCGGGAAAGTGACAAATGGTTTTTCTTCACACTTTGTGCTGCGTGTGTATTCCTAGCCTATAGTTTTCCTTTAACTACTGTGTGTACGTATAAAACTGGGATCAGAATTTTGGCTATTTTGTGTAGTTTATGGTGTGTGTAAATGTGGGGTGGGATAGGGGCTTTATTCTCTGGGCAATTTAAAATTATTTTTTTAATTTTAAAACCAAAAATGTTTCACGATTTCCTCTGTGGCTAGGGAGGGGGACATTACACTCCCTGGTGGTCCAATGGTTTTTTGGTTGTTTTTTTTTCAGGCTGCCAGGAGCCTGTATATTGAAGACTGGGCCCAAGCCATCTTCAGTTTCCGGCAGCTCGTCATGGCATGGCACATGGAATGTTGCCGTGGTAACCTGCGCGAATGCTATGACTGTCTGGGGCTGGCAAGAGTAGAAGAGCAGGGCTACCAGAAACTAAAGATGGCGTGTGCTGGGCCTTGTTCTATTAGTAAAGGCAACACCGTAACCAATACCAATATATATATTTTTATTAATTGCAAAAATGCGCATATTGGTCCAACCGATAATCTGTGGATCAGTACATACCTAATCTATCCATCCTGCCAATATCTGGGCAGATGTGTCACCCTGTCCCCAACCTGGGGGGGAGCTAGCAATGTGCTCAGCGCTGTACTAATATCATGTCACACAATATTAAGGTTACATTGGACTGAATTTAGCTGCCTGGCTTTCAATTCCCTGTTTAGTTTATATTAAGCCTGCTATAATCTGAATTAGAGACCCCAATATCTTCCCTAATAGGAGGGAAGTCAGTCACTCAGGACAAACAATGCCAGGATAGGTCACAATGACACTCAAATCTGAGTGACCCCGAGGGCCGGAGTGAGTGCAGTCAGTGCTGGACTCGGAGTACAGTGAGGGGTGTGTACTGAGTGCTGTCAGTGAGTGCAGCCTGTGCTGTCAGTGAGCGGAGTGTGAGTGCAGCCTGCGCTGTCAGTGAGTGCGGAGTGTGAGTGCTGTCAGTGAGTGCAGCCTGTGCTGTCAGTGAGCGGAGTGTGAGTGCAGCCTGCGCTGTCAGTGAGTTCGGAGTGTGAGTGCTGTCAGTGAGTGCAGCCTGTGCAGTCAGTGAGTGCGGAGTGTGAGTGCTGTCAGTGAGTGCAGCCTGTGCTGTCAGTGAGCGGAGTGTGAGTGCCTGTGCTGCCAAAGAGTGAGTGAGTGCCGTGAGTGCAGCCTGTGCTGTCAGTGAGTGCGGAGTGTGAGTGCTGTCAGTGAGTGCAGCCTGTGCTGTCAGTGAGCGGAATGTGAGTGCAGCCTGTGCTGTCAGTGAGTGCGGAGTGTGAGTGCTGTCAGTGAGTGCAGCCTGTGCTGTCAGTGAGCGGAGTGTGAGTGCAGCCTGTGCTGTCAGTGAGTGCGGAGTGTGAGTGCTGTCAGTGAGTGCAGCCTGTGCTGTCAGTGAGCGGAGTGTGAGGGCAGCCTGTGCTGTCAGTGAGTGCGGAGTGTGAGTGCTGTCAGTGAGTGCAGCCTGTGCTGTCAGTGAGTGCGGAGTGTGAGTGCTGTCAGTGAGTGCAGCCTGTGCAGTCAGTGAGTGCGGAGTGTGAGTGCTGTCAGTGAGTGCAGCCTGTGCTGTCAGTGAGCGGCCCCCAGAGGTAGCTGGAGGTATTGCCGCTTTAACGGGGCCCCTTGAAACCGCCCCTGGGCTCCATGTTTGGATCAGATTGAGAGGAAACTCCATGTTGTAACAAAGTTTCCAGTTTCTCCCCTTTTTTTTATTTAATTTTTTGTTTTCCCCCTTTTCCCTCCCGATTTCCTCTCCGCCCCCCTCAGCCTCCCATGCCCCCCATCTTCTCCCCTCCCCCCCTTTTATTCCTCTTTCTCTCCATTTCACCCCCAAGCCGAGGCAGGAAGGAGTGAGGGTGAGTGCTGGCAGGAGGAGGAGTGTGATGGACAATCCGTCCATATTCACCCAGGTCAGCCGAGAGGATGTGCAAGAGAAAGGTGAGGGGACAACAGGGGATGGGGGGAGTCTCTCTGCCCCAACCTGCACATGGACACAGTGACATGTTTATGCCCCCCCTCCGCAATGCTTATTAGTGCCCCCCCCTACTCTGCATGTCTTACTACCCCCCACATGTCTTACTACCCCACCACACCCCCCTTCACTGCGTGCGTGTCTTACTACCCCACCACACCCCCTTCACTCATGGTTCCACACCCCACCACACCCCTACACTGGCAGGTCTTGTTTACTACCCCACCACACCTCCCACTCTATGCTGTCTTACTCACCCCACCACACCCCCCACTCTGCGTGTCTTACTACCCCACCACACCCCCTACCTGCAGTGTCCTACTACCCCCCACCTCCCACATGTCTTACTACCCCACCACACCCCCCTTCACTCCTGCGGTCTTACTTCACTCCCACCACACCCCTTCACTTCCGCGTGGTCTTACTACCCCACCATTAATCCCCACACCGCGCAGGTCTTACTACCCCACCACACCCCCACCTCATGGTCTTACTACCCCACCACACACCCCCCTACACCATGCGGTCTTACTACCCCACCACACCCCCACCTGCATGTCTTACCACCCTTTGCCCCCTACTCTGCATGTCTTACTACCCCACCACACCCCCCACCGCGGTCTTACTACTCCCACCACACCCCCACACTCATGGTCTTACTACCCCACTACACCCCCACTCTATGGTCTTACTACCCCTTTGCCCCTACTCTGCATGTCTCTACCACCACCACACCCCCTACACCTCATGGTCTTACTACCCCACCACACCCCCTACACTGCGTGTCTTACTACCCCACCACACCCCCTACACTGCGTGTCTTACTACCCCACCACACCCCCTACACTGCGTGTCTTACTACCCCACCACACCCCCTACTCTGCGTGTCTTACTACCCCTTTGCGCCTACTCTGCATGTCTTACTACCCCTTTGCGCCTACTCTGCATGTATTTTTATTATATCCCTTCTACACCGCATGTATTTTTTTTTTTAAATCCCTTGTACAGTGCATGTCTAATGCCCCTCGCCCTACTGATCCCCTGTGCACACTGCATGCTTAAAACCCCTTAAGGACACATGACATGTGTGACATGTCATGATTCCCTTTTATTCCAGAAGTTTGGTCTTTAAGGGGCTAACTCATGCACTCCCCACACTGTGCGATTTCTTAATGTGTGTAGCTCAGGAAATCCTGGGAAATTTTATTATTTCAGCCATTTAATATTTGTTACTGTGCACCCCTCAGATTGGGTAGTATAGTACCCTGGCATGATATGGATTATAATCTACACTAAAATACAGGTGGCCCCATGCCAGGTGCCTGCTGGCATTTAGAAGGGTTTAATTTTGGTGCTTATCATGAAGAAATTAGGAAATCGACAGGATTCTATTAGTTTCCCCAGAAACGGGGTGGGGGGAGAACCTTGGGGAAACCTGTTACAAATACCCCCTTAGTATTTCTATTCAGCTCACACACCCCCCTACAATGTATCCTGTGGCGATCATGGAGTAAAAGGGTGATGGGGCTGGAACGGGGGTGGGGGGGGGCAGAGCTCCCCAACTCACAGAGGCTGATTGCAGTCTGTGGCATGGTTAAATAGTTGGAAGCGGTGATATTAACAGTGTCTTGGCTTTAGGGTAACGCCTCACTTCATAAGACCAGTGCTAGTGTGGGTTTTGGCATTTATGTATTTTCTCCTTTTAAAACTCATGGCTGTTAAACCTTTATAAGACATTGCAGAGAATGGGCTACCCTAAAATTAGTATAGCTTTACAAGTCATTAGTCAGACCAGTGTAATTTGTAACTTCTAACCTGGTGGCCTCTTTAATATTGACGCGCCTTGGAGCAGTGTGTCAAGCCAGCAGTCTTGGTTTCCAGATGGTTATCTCTAATTTATGAGGATTTCATAGTTATGGGGTTTGGAGTGTTCCTTTTAATTTCGAGGCCTGCTCAGCGATCCTGTAGTTCACAACCATCTGCAGGGGTTGGGGTGGCTCTCTATTTTGGTTATTGCAGGATGTCCATTAATTGGTCTGTAGGAACTGTCTCCTATTGCTTTTTAAATAAACATCTGTGGTTGCCTACGTTCTGTCTATCTGGACTTTTGTAGTAACTTGGTCAGCACTCTAGCATTTAACGTGTTAAGTTGCAGTTGTTTCATGGACTTATTCACTAAAGTGAGAATTCAAACGGAATCTCAAATGTAAAGCGGCACTGTCGGCACCAAAATTTGCAAAGACCCTCGGCTGGGGGTCCAGTGGCCTGGTGGGGCAGGCAAAGGCGAGTTCTACATACCTGAACCTGTCCTTCATGGGTGCTGCTTCCGGTGGATTTTCTTCAGCTGCTGTAGGTTAGAGTACAGCATTAAGGTATATGGAGGATCCAGCAAGACCACAGGATCATCCATAGAGCCAATTCCCTGCCGCTGTCACTGCTGATGGCTTCGGGGAGGGGGGCAGGATTGAAACTTCTGGACGCCAGTAGCTCCTGCCCAGTGGCTAGACGGGTCGGGAAATATTCCTAATTAGAAAGTATCTATTGACAAAGTCCAACCCGGTCATGAGTTTTTATGAAAAAAATAAATTAAACATTTTTAAAAAAAAAATTTTTTTTTTTTTAATTTAAGTCAATATTTCCAGGTCCGTGTTAGAATTCTGTATCTGCTCCTGTTATAATTTAGTGAACCAAAGGATTTCCAGGAAATTAAATCCTGACTTCAGAACATCTTAATACAGCAGTTAAAATGGCTGTGAAGACTACTTCCATACTGTTTGTGCCAGTTTTGTTAAAAATAGCAAAGCATTAGATGGAGATTGCTTGTGTATCTTTTTGGCCTCCACTCATCAATTTGGATTTTCATTTTACAATTCGGAGTTCAATGAATAACTATGTACATGAATTCCTGCTACGAATGAGTACCATATGCAGGGGGTGTGGTTACTATATAATCACCAAAGCAACTTTAGCTTAGTGAAGCATTTTTTGGGTGTATAGATCACGCCTTGGAAATTTCACTGTTCAATTCTCTGCCATTTCGGAGTTAAATCACTTTTGTTTCTGTCCAACCAGCTCTAGCCACACCTCCCCTGGCTGTGACTGACACAGCCTGCATGAAAACAAAATGGTTTCACTTTCAGACTTCGCTTATGTTAGAAGTGAAAATTTAACTTTACATACAGGAGGCTCCTGCAGGGTCTAGCAAGCTATTAACAGATCAGGAGTTTAGACATTCTAAATTAAACAAACTGTGCAATAAAGGAAGTGTTTATGAAGGCTGCGCATGTTGCATACAGGGAGGTATGACTAGGGCTGTATAAACACTGATTTTTAACTCCTAAATGGCAGAGAATTGAGTCGTGAGACTACAGAACAATTATCTATACACCAAAACTGCTTCATTAAGCTAAAGTTGTTTTGTGGATTAAATGGTCCTTTAATTTCACTGAAATTCCAACCTTGTCAAAAGATATGCCAAGGCAACTTTAAGGGACTACTTTGTCTTAACCTTTTGTCAAGCACTGGAAAATTGAGTTTAATATTGTCTTGCCCTCAGCCGTTACCACTGCTAGGCTTTGGGTGTATGACCCTAGAATAGCTGGCATTACACCTACAAGACATGTATTCTCGGGAACTAATACCACAATGATGTATTCTAATAACTTGTCTACGTCAAAGTGTAAGATAAATCGTCGGTTAAGTCTCCCACTTGCCGTTAGTCACGGCGAGTAAACATAAATCACTGGAAAGTAGTAGCACTCCATGTCTGTGATATGGACCCCTCACTCGCAGTGCCAAGTAAATTTTTTTTTTTTTTTTTTAAAGCCTGGTCAGTGCAGAACCACAGCTAATTTACCTTGATATCACAAATTCCATAATTCCTGCTTCTGGGCAGTCTCTCGTCATTCAGAATATGAACCTGCAACATTGTATGTGACAATCAACTGGAAGGTCTGAAGAACTGGAATGGACAGTGTTTGGAAGCAATTGAACTTTGTCAAGTGTTCCATGTCTGGATGTTATTTCCAACTTGGGTTGAAGGGATCAGGGAGGAGGTTTTTTATTTATTTTTTTCTTAATTTTTATTTTTTTATTTTTTAAATCTAACCTGTCATCTTAGAAATGTAGCTGTGGACAGGTCTTAAAATGTTGGACTCCTCACCCTTAATCCTCTTCCTATAACTTGTCAGGGACCAGCAAGCTGAGCGTCATGGGAGATTTAGTATAACTGTATTTGCTCTAATTAATTTTTTTTTATTTTCTATTTTCCTCTGCTTACCTCAGTTTCTATATAGTAATTTCATAAATAACATTACAAATCATACAATGCGATACGGATGTCTACATCAGCAAATGGGATTTTAAGGAGAATAATTTTTTTTCCCTTCTGATGTTTTTCGCTAGAACTATCCTTTTTGATCAAACCTGTTGTGATTTAGCCAATAAATTGAGCCCATCATTCCATAGAATGGTTTGTGTTAATAGATTCTAGAATTACTGAATGCACAACTCCAGCAGAGCAATGCTGAATCTGTTCTGGTTCGTGGCTTTTTTTTTCTATTAACGTTTCGTGTTTTCTAGATTAATCTCTATAAAAACAATCACGTATTGCCAATTTCTGGGTACTATAGTAGATAACAGATTGTCTGAATACATAAACTGTATCAATCCGATACACTTTTGGTTTCATTAAAGGTTAATGTTGATATAAATTCTATTTAAAATAAAGAACACATGTAAACTAGGTGGCATGCATAGTAGTAACTGAATGTTATTGAAGTGGTTATGGTATGCTAATGTCACTAAAATGCTGCTTATGGTGCCAAGAATGTCATAAAGTCACTTAAATAGTCCCGAAACTGCTGTGCCATTGGACACCCTCTTAAATGGAAGTATCACTCTTTTTTCTCATTTCAAATGGTGTTTTTTTTTTTTTTGTTTTTTCTCCTTGGGTTTAATTTGAAAAACTTCTATATTTTTCTAATTTTGTTTTAGTTTAAGGGACGGAGTCCCTTAGAATGCTGGATAGGCCTTTACTGGCTGTTAATGCAATGATTTACATTGCAGGGTTAATGGCATAGGGGCACGGCACCCATTCAACTTCAATGTGATGAAGTGGTGTAGGTGCATATAGTGTACCTATAATGTGCAGCTGAATGTAGGACACTTGACATCACCTTCTAGTGATATTGTGTCTGGCTCATTGTGTTTCCCTAATTTCTTGTTCAGAATGGAAGTAGACAAGGAATCATGGTAATTGGAAATAATTGGGGCAGGGTTCTCTTAAACTACTGTCCCAGTATGACCTGTTTTGTTAGAATTTAGTCTCTTGTTTACCTGTTTAGTGCTGTGGAATATGCAATCGTTGCAATTTAAATGCCATAATATCCATCAAATTCAATGCTCTTTGCAGGAAATGTTTAGTTGCAAGTCTGTTTATCCATTCTAATCTTCCCTCCACTCATGGTGCGTTGTGGCTAATCATAGAACTACTTTAGTGCTGATATTGCAAACCAATAATGAAGCTATAATGGCATCAAATAAAGTTTATTGAAAACCTGTAACTTTAAATCAGCGACAGCTGGAGCAGGAATCTGGATTAATGTCTTCCACCTGTCTGGTGTTTGTGTTCTGCATCTAAATGCAATCCAGAAAAATCACCAATGTTGTATTGGAGAAAGGAGGTAGGGCACTGAAGGTTGTGGTGAAATTAATTTTATTTTGAATTTTTCTCAAAGATTTAAGAAGCGGGGGCTGCAGGTAAGTAGTCAAACTGCACTAAAACTGTTTGGCTACTTACTCTGGTACAACGCCAGAGCCGCCCTGACACCATAACCACTATGATCTGCAGTTGTTATGGTGCTTGGAGTTTTACTTTGTCAGAGGACGTGTTCGCACTCATTAATGGATGATTCTGCGTAGAGCTATCGTATGATCAGGTAGTTGAGACTTAAATGGTTTGCGTTAACTTTATAATATGTTGCAATGTCTCAAGGAAACTTTTCCTGTGCTCTCCTACATTTTCCCCATTTCTCTACTCACGTCAGTTTTGTTTTGATGGACACAGTACCTGATAAATAACATGTTAACCCATTGGTTCAGAAAACTGTCGTGTATGAAGCCACTCCTTTGCCAACATCCATGTTTCCTATTGTCTGCTGGATACGTTACTTTGAATCAAACTTGATTCATAACTGTTCCTAGTGTATCTCCTTTCTTGGATTTCACATTGTCATCTTGTGATGGAATGTCTGTCCTCCCCTGAGGTATCGCCTCATTCCATTGTATAATCATTCAGTAAAATAATGGTGCAAGATGACCATTACAAAATAGCTACGGTGCATGTCTCTCTATAGAGTAAATCTAAGTGCACACATGCACTTGGATATTTTTCTGCAGATATCTGAGCAAGCGCAAGCCTGGGGGCACCATGACACACTGCCGTTGCCCCCAAACATGAAAGAGCAGCAGAGTGAAGTCTGGTTTTATAGTGGACTCTGCTGCACTTGTCGCGCCAGTAATATTTTACTTGGGCAATATAGCCTATAAAATGTACTTTGTGGTGCACACGGCAGGCTCCCACAACTAATGGAGAGGGCAGTATCTGCAAGGTTTGCTACTTCATACCAACGTGCTAAAAGCATAAAAAATTAAACCAACTTTAGCTTAATGAAGCAGTTTTGGTGTATAGATCATACACCAAGGAGCTAAAACGTTGTCTCCACTTCCTTGTTTCAACTAAAGATTGACTTTTTTTTTTTTTTTTTTAGAAGAAACCAAAGGAGTGTCTGGATTTTTATTTTCATTAAATAGTTATCCCTACAAAGCAAACTGCAGTGAGTTTAAATCCTAATTACAAATACTGCTCGTGTGTGTGTGTGTGTGTGTGTGTGTGTGTAAAAGAAATGTGAAACACAAAATATTACACTGTAAACCAGGGGAGCCTAAAACCACTATGATGACGTGCTATGCGTTGGGTAGCTCATCTGACTGATTGCGGGCTCCCCTAGTTTGTTGTGCCATATATTGTTACCAATTTTTCGCTTTTTACAATAAACCGTTATCTGACATACATTATATGTTGCAGTGCTGTGTGAGTGTTTGGCCCCCATTACATTCCTGGTTATATCTTCTTACAGATAGTGCTGATCTGAGAGTGACTATTTTAGCCTGAATTTTCAAGTCTGTGTTCAATTCACTATTTAGTCAGTAACCCCCATATTGTATTTGCATGAGAGTTGCCCTGTGAGTATAAATTTATTTTTCATTCTTTACACCCAGGTATGAGTGTTCTGGTCACCAGAATAGGGAGCTTTATTTAACCCCTTAAATAAGCCAAATGTACACGTTGTGATCAAAACAAAAACTTGAATTTGCGCTATATGTCTGTTCCGGCGTAATGCACCTTTCATATTACTTGCACTCCCACTTATTAAATATAATTTTTATTCAGGGGAAACAGGGCTTTCATTTAACATCAAATATTTAGGTATGAAACATTTAATATGAATAAAATACAAAAAAAATATGGGAGAATAAGAATGTAATTTTTTTTGTTCTACGTGATATTTTAACTGTGAATGTCATACTGCTTGCTTTTACTGCAATAAAATACACATTTGTATTCAGCGATGTCTCGTGTAAAACAGTACCCCCTATGTACAGGTTTTATGGTGTTTTGGGAAGTTACAGGGTCAAATATAGCATGTTACACTTCTGTTTTTTTCACATTGACATTCGCCAGATTGGTTAAGTCGGGGCTCGACAAATCCCAGGCGCCAGAACGCCAAGGCGACTAGAAATTTCGCTCTGGGGCTTGCCAGCTCTCTAGTGTGGGAGGTAGCTTTTACGCCGCCTGCGGCTACATGGAGGCTGCCGCCCGCAGGAGAACTATGGGCGGCACGCGAGGGAGCAGTACTCTGCCTGTAGCTCATCTCTGCTCCCTTGCGCGGTCTAATGTCGTCGGGAGCCGGAATTACGTCATTCCGGTCCCGGCATCATTACACAGTGCGAGGGAGCAGAGAGGAGCTACAGGCAGAGTACTGCTCCTTCGCACACAGGAAGAGTGCAGCCCCACTGGACCCCAGGAAAAAATCCCTCAGCTCCCCCCAAAGGTAAGGAGGCTGAGTGGGTTTCAATTCAAACAAAAAGTTTGTGTGTGTGAGCGAGAGCTTGTCAGTGTGTGATTGCAAGCCTGTTGTCAGCATGAATGTGTATGTGAGCCAGTCAGTGTGTGCATGCGCGTTTAGGTACCTGCCCCCTACCATCACATGAGGAGGGTGTTTTTTTTGTTTTTTACTCCCCTTTCTTCCCATTTTCTCACGGTGTACCAGTTTCGTCATGGCTGAGATGATCAATCTTTATGATCTCAGCTAAGCCAATGCTTTTCCTTAGGAAAGCATTGGGAGGATTTTGTGCATGCGCAGCAAATGTACTAATCCGCATCTCTTCATAGAGATGCATTACATTAACCAATCTCTATGAGCTTGGAGACTCTGAACCTGGGTGCTGCTCGTGGTGCAGCAGTGACCCAGGACTCTCTAGTGACCGTCTGAGTGACTGTCATTAGAGGTGTTAGCAGCAATGTAAACTCTGCCTTTTAACAGAAAGGCAGTGTTTACACTGAAACGCCTTCAGGGACAGGCTATAGACACCAGAACAACTACATCAAGCTGGTGACTATAGTGTCCCTTTAAGAATTGCACTTTCTCGTTGAAAATGACTGGCTCCTATATTCCAAACAAATTTGTCAAGCCCTGGGTTAAGTTGCCTTTGAGACCGTATGGTAGTCCGGGAATGAGAATGGGGTATGTTCAGTCTTTTTTAGTACCACAAACACTGACCAAAGTTAATGTTAATATTTGTGTGTGAAAAATGCAAAAACAACTAATTTGAACAATTTTGGCCAGTGTTTGTGACTAAGTGGCTAAACAAAAAACTGGAAATACCCCTTTTGCAATACATTGTGTTGTCTACTATGGCAAATGGTATGTCATGATGGGGGTAATTTTCATTCCTGGGCTACCATACGGTTTCAAAGGCAACTTAACCAATCTGGCGAATTTTAATGCGAAAAAACTGAAACTTATATTTTACTCTAACTTTTGAAAACCCCATAAAACCTGTACATGAGGGGTATTATACTCTGGTGACTTCGTTGAACACATATTAGTGTTTCAAAACAGTAAAACGTATCACAACAATTATATCGTCTGTGTAAGTGCCATTTGTGTGTGAAAAATTTATTATGGTATTTATATAGCGCCATCATATTCTGCAGCGCTTTACAATGGGTGGACGAACAGACATGTAGTTATAACTAGACAAGTTGGACACACAGGAACAGAGGGGTTGAGGGCCCTGCTCAATGAGCTTACATGCTAGAGGGAGTGGGGTAAAATGACACAAAAAGGTAAGGATAGTATTATATTAGTGACCGTTGCAGAAGAGGAATCAGTCAGGAGCTATTAACAGTTTAATTGATACGCTTTTATGAAGTGGGTTTTTAACGATTTTTTTTTTAAAGGAGTGGAGAATGGGTGAGCATCTAACGGAGGAGGGAAGCGAGTTCCACAGGAACGGTGCAGCCCTCGAGGAATCTTGAAGGCGAGCATCAGAGGTGGGAGTACGGACACAAGATAGATGTAAGTCTTCAGCAGATCGTAAGGGCCTAGACGGGACATACTTGTGTGTAAGAAAGGATAGATAGGTGGAAGCAGAATTATGTAGCGATTTGAAAGCAAGAACCAGAATTTTAAATTGAACTCTAGGAAGCCAATGTAGGGACTGACAGAAGGGTGAGGCATGGGAGGTGTGGGCGAACCAGAAGATGAGCCTCGCCGCCGCATTCATTATGGTCTGTAACGGCACAAGTTGGGAGTACGTAAGACCACTGAGAAGCGGATTACAGTAGTCAATGCGAGAAAGGACAGTGGAATGAACCAACACCATAGGGGCGGATGCGCGCAATGTTTTTGAGATGGAAATGACAGGATTTGGCGATAGATTAAACATGAGGTTTGAAGGAGAAGTCGGAGTCAAATAGAACACCTAGGCAGCAAGCCTGCGTGGTGGAGCTGATGGTAGCACCGTTGACTAGGAGGGAGACCGACACAGGATTAACAACACTTGAGGGAGGAAAGACCAGAATTTCAGTTTTGGTCGTTTAGTTTAAAGATTAAAAAAAAAATGCATTAAATTTCACTTTTACTGACTATATCATCATTGTAATGCATTTTACTGTTTTGTGTACAGGTTGTATGGTGTCTTGGAAAGTTACAGGGTTAAATATAGTGCTAGCAAATTAAATTCCCTCTACTTTCGGCCTGGGTTGTCAGGCAGGTCCTGCAAACTGTAATTAATAAAATTACCTAATTATGTAAAATTACATAATTATATGTAGAATTATTATATAGATAGGTGTAATTTTATTTATGTGTGTGTGTATGTATATGTGTATATGTTCGTGAGTGTGCAGCGGGGTCAGTATATGGAGGTGCCGGTGCGGAGAGCGGCTGCCTCTCCCCGGCTCCATGGTAGGTAGGCTCCATGCTGTGTTTGCGGGTTCCCGGTGGTTGAGTGTTCCTTTTTTTTAATTCTTTATTTTTCGTGCAGTAGAGTTTACAAACAAGCCTGTGGTGCCACGACAGCAGACACAGGCGGATTGATGCAGACAAGGTCGTGACAATATACAATTGCACATTTTTGTTATAAGACAGGTTGTGTAAGTTAGTGAAGTCGTTGCGATTAAAATAATTGTATCGGCAATTGTGAGACATCGTAGGAAAGAGTGACTAATATACAGAGTATAAACTACGCCGTTAAATTACCAACATGCTTGTGAACATATGCTGAACTAAAGGGTGTGATAATTCAAGCCTAGTCGCATGCATGGTCGGTTATGAGCATTTGCATCCAGTTTAAAAGACAGAATGCTTGAAAAGTTGTAACAAGTTAAGGCTGGCTGTGTCATAGGAAAGAGACATTTAAGAGTTAATGAGAACTTTCTGAAGACCTGAGCGATAACATAACAAGATATGGCAAACTGCAGAGGCAATAAACATAAAAAAAAAAAAAAAAAAAGGAATAAATTTAAATGTAAATGCAATCAACATTATAACACTCTGGTTTTTGTCTCTCTCTTTTTTTCCTTTTTTGTGTGAAATCCTTTCGGGGTGTCGCATGAGTGGAGTGGCCACTGGGCTGTGGGTCGTAAGAGTGGTACGGGTAGTAGGCATTCCTGTGACCAGGTATATGCCCCTTCCCTCAGAGAGCGTTTATGGATTCTGTGCATCTTTAAGGGTTAGGGAAGAGATGGGGGGAGAGAGTGGCAGTAGTGATGTCCGTAGGTGTCTGGACGGTCTTGTATGGGAAGGTATGCCTTCTGTGTAGGTCCTGGATTGAACGGCTGTGCAACGTTATTGCTCCGCTCAGTGCCCCTTCTAGTCAGGGACGCCTGCAGAAGACTGAATGGGTGGGAGTGTGGCAGAGGTGAAAAATGGAGCCAGAAAATCATACCAACGAAGTTTAAACAATTATAACGTGTGAGTCCATCCTATTGTCCTGATGTCAGCAGGATTGGTAGGGAAAAACAACTGGGCAAGTTCAGTGGGGATCGTGGGTGGGGGCTCGGCATCTGCCGGGGCTCGATAACCCCTCACTTAGGTCACAGTTTCAGTAGACGTAGTGGGTCTCGCCGCTCGGGGTATAAACTCCCTAACTGAGGCCAAGTCCACCTGTGACAGGTTCCCTCCTTCCGAGGTGTTACATAGCGGTATGTTCAGTGACCGCAGGTGTTCCTCCAGCTCCCGGTAGGTTTCTGCCCGGAGTGTGTTGTCTTGGGCCGCTAGGAGGACTGTGCGGGAGGGGCCCCATCTGTACGGTACCTCATTTGCACGTAGCTGCTGGAGTAGTGGTTTCAGGGACCGGCGCCACAGAAGTGTGTTCCTAGAGAGATCTGGGAAGAGGTGCAGTGAGGCGCCCTCAAAGGTAATGGGTGTCTTCCCCCTCATCGCGGCTTGCACTAGGGCCCTATCCTGTAGGGAACTGAAGCGGAGGATGAGGTCCGGAGCCGTGGTTGCCGGTGCGCTGGCTGGCTTGGGGAGGCGGAACATACCGTCCAGTTTCAGGCTTTTAGCTTGTTTCGGGGGTAGGTGGGCCGCCACGAATCTCCTGATAAAGTGTGGTAAGTCCGGCAGGCCCACCGTCTCCGGCACCCCCCTGAGTTTCAAGTTGTATCTGCGCCTCTGATCTTCCTGGGCGTCCAGTCTGCGATCTATCTGCAGCCTGTGCTGGTCCAGGGCCGCCAGACCTCTCTCCACCACGGTAAGCCGGCTCTCGTGTGTTTTGGGTGGTCTCGAGTTGGGCCACTTTAGTAGTCGTGTGTTCAACGGCTTTTCTGAGGGGGGCCAAGTCTCCCGCCAAGTTTGCGCGGAGTTCCGCCAGCATCGCCTTGAGTTGCGCTGCAGTGACCGGATCCCGGCCTGTTGTGGTCTCCATTGGGGTATGACCCTTCTGTGCAACCTGGGTGGTTCTGTCCATCGGAGCTATAGTCATATCTTCCGATGAGTATGAGGAGCCGTCGTCTGCCAGCGCCATTTTGTCCCATGCGGCCCTTTGTGAGCTCCGGAATAGGTCCCCGATATCCCGGCCCGGCGGACTCCTGTCAGGCTTGGGTTTTTTATTTTTGCGGCCCATCCTCGGTCTAGTGTCCAGGGAGTTGGGTTTTGTGAGGTTGGGTGATCCCTTGTCTGCAATTATAGCTCTTTTTAGGCAGTTTCGAGCGGAGCGCAGCGAGCTTGCGACCGTCCAGGTTCACCGCTATGCTCCGCCCCCCGAGTGTTCCGTTTTTGATCTCTATCTGTTCCCCCGGGTGTCCCCTTCCAGGCGATGTGCATGCCACTTTTCTGGGGTTTTACCCCTTGATTTAAAGATTTGTGCCAGGAACTGATAGATGGCACGTCCATTCAGCCTGAAAGCTAGGCTCTGCCCCCTATTCTGATATTTTAAACTTATTGATGAATATGCTAAAGTGGTGTTATTGAAATCTCAAACTGCATTTTACAACACATCCCCTCATTCCCCTACCGAATCTGTCTGCAGTAGAAGAGGGGGTTTATTACCCCCATAAATTGATAGAATGTATATTTATCTTGTATGCTGTGAAAAGATCTGACAAATGTCAAATTTATAATAGTTTATTTTTGTCTCACACCCACTAAGTCATGTGATCTGACTTTAATATGTAAATAAAGGAATGCCATGGTCTACTTGAGTCTTATGGCTTCGTCGCTCATAAGTGGAAGTTTTTAATACATTACTAAATTACTGTCCTCTTGTGTTTTGGTGTCTGTGTAGGTTTTTGTTTTTTAATTTAACAAGACAGAGATGAACACGCAAGTATTCCTGACTATAGTGTTAAAACCAAAGTCTAGCCCCCCTGAATACAGTAAAATCTTACCTATTTATTCCAGTCAAAAATGGGTCGCAAGAGAATACTGAGGACGGGCAGCAGCTGAAATAGCCTGCCCTTCAGTCGGTCCCCGCTCAGTTCCCAAGCTGATTTTTGCTCATCTTGTGCCATTACAGAGAGAACATATCTGAAGCACATCAGACTGGTCCCACCCATACAGGCAGTCCAGATCCAAAATGCCAGCAAATTCTCTCTGCACGAGAGATACAGCAACCCCAGATGATCATTTCAGCCTTGTAAGGCATCATCAGTGAGGCATAGCTGATATCTCCCTAGGCACCGTGAGCAAGGGGTCCACGTCTGGATTATCCCTTTAAACTTGTGGAGAGTCAAAAATGGGTCGCAAGAGAATAGTCTGGGGTTGCTGTATCTCTCGTGCAGAGAGAACTTGCTGGCATTTCGGATCTGGACTGCCCGTATGGGTGGGACCAGTCTGATATGCTTCAGATATGTTCTCTCTGTAATAACCACCAACAAAACCAGAAAACCACCTCCCTTATGTGCATTCTTGCAAGCCATTTTCAGCTCTAGCAGTGAGGATTCTAGAGTAATGACCCTCTCCTGCATCTAAATGGGTGTTTTTGGTGGTGGGGTTCACTGTAACACCTAATAGTTGGATAGCACATGTATACTGCTATTACTGATGTCAGGGGGCCAACTCCTCAGACAGTCACAAAATGCAAGGATTGAGACCAAATTTCTGTCTTCTCCTGCACAGCAGATAACGTCACAGAAACTTAAATAAAATGTTATATGTTGGAATGTTAAAAATTTCTCTGAATAGTCAACTGTTAGAGCCAAAACATTTATTTATTATTATTTATGTGAGTGACACTGAGGGGAAAATAAAGATGCTGTACTCTTAGCATTTTTAAAATGGGGAAAGTCACATGCTTATAGAAAAATGTTTGTATAAATACCAGTATGTAGGCAATCCTCCCTATTTGGCAATCAGGAAGCATATTTGAGACCATTCTTGTTCTTTCTCTGCTTTGAATGAGAGAAGCACTTTCTAATGTATCACGTGTGAGAACACACACAGATCAGGTGTACTCTGGCCTACTGTACATATCGGCACCGACCAATACAACGCTTTACATTTAGCTGTTAGCTTCCTGTTAAAGGTCAAGGTGATGGCTACTGCAGGGTTCAATGGGCTAAATGGATATTTTATCGTACTTTATGGTTTTAACATGTGGTATGTATCTAGTAAGTGATGACATGGAAACCAGTGTAGATATACAAATCCTAAACACAAATCCAGATTGGATAAGGCATAAGCAATCTCACTAGCACCCCTGGTTGTTTCCCAGCAATCTTGACAGACCCGACACATAATCGCCATTGACAATGTCAGTCACCCCTTCTGGAGAGTAATGATGGGCGCTTTAATCTGTTTGATTTTATATATTTTATTTTATTTTTTACCTTCCTTGCATGTGGGAAGAACAAAGGGTATGACCTCTTGGTGGCTCTCAGCCTAGGTAGGCATAACCTTTTGGATGGAGGTATAGGAAGCTGCCTCTTTGCCCTGCATCGGTCCTCGAGGCCTCTGACATCTATCACTGATTTCCAGCTAAATGTAACTGATGACTATAGAGGTGCTCTGTGGCTTATTTGAGTCCAGAACTTCACACCATGGGTCATATCTTGTGGTGGTTTCCTAGATGTAGGCCTGTTATTTGGCTGATTACAATAATTATTTAACGAGTATTTTGATTTCTCTGTGGCGCTCGCTTGAAAAGCTGCTAGCCAGCATGGCTGTCGCACCCTGACCCCATGGGTGTTGCACTTTAAAACCTGGTCCATTTTATGGCTCCCATGGACAGTATCTGTTCTCTAGTTTTGGAATGCAGCTTGGCTCCCTTGTTGCAGGGAAAGTGTTAAACCATATTCATTCCATAGAAATAGCCAGTTGCTGTAAGCAGGGAGGGAATCTGTTTAATATTCTGTAGCCTGTGCTCCGGATCTCTGGGCCCCCTCTCGCTCTGTTTTCTGGCAGACATTCATAGACCGGATATAACTCAAGAACAAGGGGGATTTACTCAACTCTTGCTCTCAATCCTGTCCAGGCTGCAAAGCATCATGGAAGGTTGTTTGCAGCCATAGTTTAAGGGGGGTTAGATGACAAATAAGGGGGAACGTCATGGAAACTGGATGCAAACGGGCGCTGTGATGTAACGAGGCGCACTTGGCAATGATGAATGGACGGTCGTGGCTAGCTGCAAAGCTTTAGCCAGGGGCCTATTTACTCTCAACCCTGCACTTATTCTTTCAAAAGTTGTATTTTAATTATCATATTTTTGAAGCAATTTAATGATTTTAATTCTTGCCTGAATTATGGAGAATATGAAGCATGTTAAAACAACCCTTTTTTACTTTTTTTTTTTTTTTAATTAGGTTTTTATCTTATACGTGTAGAAAATAGTACATTGATCACATAGTGAGGTTGTGCTAAATACTTGTTCTCTCTTGTTTTTTGAATTGTGACTTTAAAATTACTTTAAATGAGCACTATGGTGCCAGGAAAACAAAAGGGGGTTAAAACCCCGTCAGCCACTTACATTTCTCCAGCACTGGGCTCCCTCTGTGCTGGGGAACTCTCCACCCCCTGCTGATGACAAGAGCCGCGCGCGTATTCAAACCGCCTATAGGAAAGCATTACTCCATGCTTTCCTATGGAAGTCAGCATCTTCTCACTATGATTTTCACAGTGAGAATCGTGTAAACACCTCTAGCAGCGGTCAGTGAGTCAGCCACTAGAGGCTGGATTAACCCTCAGTGAAACATAGCATTCAGCTGCAGGGTTACTCCTAGATGGACCTGGCAACCAGACCACTTCATTGAGCTGAAGTGGTCTGGGTGCCTATAATGGTGCTGATGGATATGAGTCTGTATAAATTAATGCATTGTTTCTCTGCAGATGCAAGGCACACTCGAGCTGCCTGGCATCACTGGGTGGTCATCCTGCAAAGTGTTTTAATGTCCTTGCTTCCATTGCCCATTTGGGTTCACTACTTGACTCCATTGCACTCATGTCAGTGTATGCTTTAATAGCACTTACTGGGGTGAAGGATTGGAGAATTGTAACTCAATAAAAGTGACTGTTCCTCTCTAGCCCAACACAGTCTGTTTAAATGAACACCTAAATACCGATTCGCTATGGTAATTTGTGGCAGATAACTACTTGTTAGAACCAAGATTTCTTATTTCACCCCTCCCCCCCAAGTGACTTGCACCTTAAACACAAGGGAAAAATCTCTTCATTAAAGTGCTTGTTATCTCTGGAAGATGGTAACATTGCAGCAGTGTATGAGGTACGTGAGCGAAACAAAATGTCCTGTTTGGTATTAACTTGTGTTGCAATGCCACTGGGATTTCTGTGTTGGTGTTGTCACAATCCAGTGACCTTCTTGGCATGACTATCTTCCCTTACCAGTGGTTATGGTAAGCTGAAGCAGTGTCAGCAATTCCTTGTATTGTTAAATGCTTTACACCCAGATAACTCTTGGGCCACTTTGGAGAAGCGTATGTGCAAGGAGTGAGGGTGCACGGCTCAGAGCTGGGGGGTTAAATAAATATACAAAAAACTTGCAGATATATGAAATACTGGTTTACACGGGGAAGATTAATCTGACATTTCCAAAACCTCTTTAAAGGCACAGAATTTCCCATAAATGTAACCGTTTCATATATAGTTTAAAGAACTCTTTTTGATTGGTGAGAGGTTCCAATTCCTTTACTAAAAAAACACTACTGCAGCGTAATAAAGGTATGTATAAATCACTTGCCTCTGCAGCACTTCTAGGTTTAGAGGACAATCGTCACCCTATGTCACGGTTATATTCATGCACACCAGGACATTTGCTCGCAAAGTGCGTCTCACAGTGACATTACAGTACACTAAAGACAAGACTACTTCATCTCGGTGAATGGACCGCAGCTAGAGGCACTTTAATAACAGGCACTCAGCTCTTCACTGAAATGCTGTTAATGGAGGTCATTTAATTGGCTCTGCAGCATCTTTTTATGCATGCGCACTAGCCTTCCAATAGACTGGCTGAGGATGGAGACCAGGGTACCTGGGGAGCAAAGATGATTTCTTTACTCTCCCCAATTGGGGGAGGCAAGCTAGAACTAGTTACTATTAAACTAGTGTTAGGAATAAGTGTATAGTGCTTCTTTAAGGGGGATGCATAACTTTAAGACAACTGCCTCACTCTGCATACACTGCAGGGAGCAAAGTTTCTTGCCTGGTCCTAGTGCTGTAATAGTGTGCTCATCTATTAATGCACTCCTACTATGAATGTTGGACAGTTCCCTGGTATCTTCAAAATTGTGAAACCAGGAAACTGAGGCGGAATGGGAAAACCAGGGCTGTCCTGCCAAATTTAGGATGGTTGGGAGGCATGTGATTTATAGGAATAAAAAAAAGTTTTCTTGCATTATTTTGGTTTAGAATTTTTGTTGTGCAATGATACGAACACATGTGTTAACATATAGAGTAATCATGGGCATTGGTGAGACTATGAAATTGCATAGTCCTTTTAATAGTAGTAAATAATAAAGATAAACTATGAATGTAAGAGCAGAATCCCAACAAGATGTGCAGGTTTAGGCTGGGTATACATGAGTAGACACCAATAGTGGACTATGGTATGCTGAGATGTGTTAAAAGGTACAAAGCACGATAGCCCGATTATGCACATGTCAGGATGGTTAGTCATTGTGTATAAAATTGAACATGAGGGAACTGCCTAAATTAAGAAACTATGAGTCCACCACTATACTATATATAATCGTGGGCTCTGATGTGGACGTAAGCTTATGCACTGTTCCCTGGTGGGTCACATTCAGGGACCTCAATCTGTAGGTCAGTCCAGCATCTTTCAGTCGGCTGGTCAGAGTTCATGGATCTTTTCCATTAACCCCTTAAGGACACATGACATGTGTGACATGTCATGATTCCCTTTTATTCCAGAAGTTTGGTCCTTAAGGGGTTAAAGTGTCATTCTGGTAAGGTCGTTTGAAAACTACTCTCCTGTTCTAAAATGAGTGGTGTTTTTGCCACATACTGCAGCCATTATATGGCTCTTGTCCTGAAGGGAAGCACAGCGGATGATGGTGTCCTGTGTGACCATTAGGAGGGGCAGTTGGGGATCTCACTAAGTGGTATACCCCATCAAGTGCCAGCTTTCTGGCCAGCTGTGGAGGGTAATATGATGGCCATAAGGCATCTCAGGAGGTGTGGCAATTCTTTCTCCTTTTTACAGGAGTTTGCCATGCCTCCTGCCCAGACAAAGGACCTGGTGAAATATAATGTTAAAGGATCACTATAGTGTCAGGAAAACAAACTCCTTTTTCTGACACTAGATTATCCTTAGGACCCCCCTCATTTGGCACTGAAGAGGTTAAAACCTCTTCTGTTACTTAAATCCAGCACCGTACTCCCTCGACGCTGGTGACCTCTTCTCCCTAGTGGAGTGGCATGCATGGCAAGAGCCGCACGCGCATTCAAACAGTCCATAGGAAAGCATTTCTTAATGCTTTCCTATGGACGTTCTGCACGCTGGATTTTCACATCCAGCGTCGCAGAAGTGGCTGACTGGAAGACAGCCACTAGAGGCTGGATTAACCCTGCAATATAAACATAGCCGTTTTTCTGAAACTGCTATGTTTACATCTGAAGGGTTAAAACCTGGGGACCTGGCACCCAGACCACTTCATTGAGCTGAAGTTGACTGGGTGACTATATAGTGTCTGTGCCTTTTTGGATGTATATGGCCACACTTCGAATTACCGAACAACTGCACGAACCAGAGACCACCCTGGAGCTTGTTAACACCTATTAACAACTTGGAACCTTTCTTACCGCAGTGTTCTAATTGTTCATCTGGGTGGCCACTAGGTGGTGGCCATCTTGTTCACATGAACGCAGGCAGCAGTGTTTGGGCATGAATCTCATGGAACTAAAATCTGATCAAGAAACTCCCGGACACCTCTGGACTTACATCATAGCCTGCGTTCGATTCTATTCAACTTAAAAGGGCACTGTTCAGTGAGATCATTTGTTTGGATAAGGGGAACTAGCTCCAGGGTAAGACGATTGACTCTGTTCAGTAGTTTTAGTTTTCAAACTACCGAACTAGACTGACTGCAAGCCCTGATTTTCTGGAACTGTTTTTTTTTTTTTTTCAGGAAATTCCTGAATTGATCTGGGTGGTGTGTGGGTTGTGTGTGTGTGGGGGTTTTTTTTTTTTTGTCAACCAGATCAGGGCTATCAGGGGATGCAACCTTTGTGGGGTTTTATGTATTTTTAGGGTACTTTTGGGACTTTATAGAAATGTGTTATACTGTTCTTGGAGATAATTGGATTAGAATTAGTACAGTTACTTATCCAGGGATGCCCCTGATTTTAAAATGAGCCCAGCGGCAACATCCCTCCATAGCTGATATTTGGGCCGTTGGGTGGATTCAACCTGTCTGAGGGAGTCCCGCATATTGGACATATCTTCCTTAAGATCCACGATCTCCTCCTCGGGGGGCCTGGACCCAGTCGGTGATCGCCTTGACGTCTTTCTTAAGCAGTTCAATATCCACCCCAAGCATTGATTATTTATTTTATTTATTTTTTTTTTTTTTTCTGTCCAGGAGGAATTGTTGGATATCCTGCTTGGTGGCTAATTCTACTCCTTCCTGGAGTGTGAAGGGGGTGGTAGGTAGCATGTCCGTGGGCTGCTGTGGTGTTTCCAATACCTTCACAGGACTGTTCAAGCCAGATATGCCAGGGCCCTCTGTGGGCTGTGGTGGCTGTTTTAAGAGTCCCTGGTCTGTTGTGATACCAGCTGGATGTCTCTGTGAACATCGCCCCATAATCAGATGTCTCTGTGAACATCGCCCCATCATAACCATCACTTACTGATCAATAAAGCCTTTATTACAATATATTTCTGCAGTAAAGGGACACCAGTCACCAAAACAACTTTAGCTTAATTAAGTGGCTTTTGTGTGTACATCATGCTCCTGCAGTCTCACTGCTCAATTCTCTTCATTTTCAATCAGATGTAACTAAAACTTTTAATCTCCTGTTCTGTAAAGTGAACTTTAATTGCATACAGGAGGCTGCTGCAGGGTCTAGCCTGCTATGAACAGAGCAGGAGATAAATTTATATATTAAAGGGACACTGTAGGCACCCAGACCTCTTCAGCTCATTGAAGTGGTCTGGGTGCTGTGTCCCTTTTTGCATCTAGTGGTTATCAGACAGCCACTAGAGTGCCTCTGGTATCTTAATGGACTTTTGGTACGTTATCTGACGCTTGACGTTCTGCATGAGGACCTCAGCGTCCTACTTTTCCCCATAGGAAAACCTTCAATGCGCATGTGCATTAGACCCTGCTTGTCACATGGTTCAGGACGGGACAGAGCTTCGACCCAGCGCCAAGGGACATCAGCGCTGTGTTCAGGTAAGTAATTGGGTTTTTAATCCTTTATTTACCGGGGGCAGGCAGAGGAATCACTAGTGCCAGGAATACAGCCAGGGGCGTTTTAGCCACAAAAAACGCCGCCCCCAAATGCCCAGGGCAAATGCCTTGTTAGCCTTGCGGCTAACAGACATGCCGAGCAGGCGGCGCTGGGTGGGCGGCTGGCGAGGGAGCTCTTCCTCTGAGCGGTCTGCTCAGCTCCCTTGCGCGCCGCAGAGTGAGGCTGGGAGCCGGAATATGACGTCATCTTCCGGCTCCCAGCCTCACTCTGCGGCGCGCGAGGGATCTGAGCGACAGCTCAGAGGAAGAGCTCCCTCGCCAGCAGCCTGCCCAGCCCAGCACCGCCCGCAGCCACTGGACCACCAGGGAGATAGAGGAACCCCCCCCCCCAGCATTCCCAAAGGGGGGAGGAGGGTAAATAATAAAAAAAAAGTGTTAATGTGTGAGTGTGTGTGGGGGGGGAGGGGGGGGGGCGCTGAGTTTTGTCCTGCCTAGGGCAGCACAAAACCAGGATACACCGCTGAATACAGCATTGTGTTCCTGGCACTACATTATTCCTTTAAACTGCAATAAAGTAAGTATAAACATTACATTTCATTTTACAGGAAGTGTTTAGGAAGGCTGTGCAAGTCACAAGCAGGGAGGTGTGACTAGGGTTCATAAACAAAGGGATTTAACTCCTAAATGGCAGAGGATTGAGCAGTGAGGCTGCAGGGGCATGTTCTATACACCAAAACTGCTTCATTAAGCTAGTTTGGTGACTATAGCAGTGTACATTAAAAGCCGAAAATATGTAACAATCTCTAAGTTCCACTATTTGCAGCTTTTGCAGAGTGAAATCCCACAAGATCAGTAGTAATTATATTGTCTTGTATTCAGTGTAAACCCAATGCCTTGTATTATAAAAGCAGTGCAAAGTCTAACTTACAGAAATCTTATCTCTGGGGCTCAGCACTTGGTGTAGGTGTTTTTATTTCTGAAACCACGATATGAGAGATTACACAAACTACTAGTGGGTAGTTAATTGTGCTCTAATAAAAATCGCCAGGACTTGGTTTAGAATGGTTTCTATTTGAAATTTCATTGATAAAGTGAAACCGTGTCTGCCTACAGCATTAAAACATGAAGAATCAAAAATTCTGTTTAAATTGTTTGTGTCAATGAGATACTAAATAGAAACGGTGCTGGCATGTGTCAAGCCATAAGACTTTCTTTTGCCACAGAAATCACAAATCTGCAGTGATGTTACTACTGCAAAGGATTCTGGGTAGGCATATGCAAATTAGTTTAACAAAGAACCACATTTGTGCCTCATTCCATTTTAAACATTGATTCCTTTTCAGTCTGTAGATCTGATTTCTGTGGGTAAAGCAAGTCTTGTGGCTTGACTGGTGTGCAGATTTTTGTTTAACATTGTATTAACTATCCAGACATTAGGAGGTCTTCAATCACAACTTTGTCCCCACCATAACCTTTAGTATGATTTTAATTTTTTTTTTATAGCGTACAATTAAAGGACCATTATAGTGCCAGGAAAACATACTCGTTTTCCTGGCACTATAGTGCCCTGAGGGTGCCCCCACCCTCAGGGTCCCCCTCCAGCCCGGCTCTGGAAGGGGGAAAGGGGTTAAAACTTACCTTTTTCCAGCGCTGGGTGGGGAGCTCTCCGCCTCCGATCCTCCCCGCCGGCTGAATGCGCACGCGCGGCAAGAGCTGTGCGCGCATTCAGCCGGTCGCATAGGAAAACATTATCAATGCTTTCCTATGGACGCTTGCGTGTTCTCACTGTGATTTTCACAGTGAGAATCACGCAAGCGCCTCTAGGGGAAATAGGGGAAGGCTTAACCCATTCATAAACATAGCAGCTTCTCTGAAACTGCTTTGTTTATGAAAAAATGGGTTAACCCTAGCTGGACCTGGCACCCAGATCACCTCATTAAGCTGAAGTGGTCTGGGTGCCTAGAGTGGTTCTTTAACTGTCCACTTGTAGTATGTGTAATATCTAAGGTGACCGCATAGGTGTCTATTTATAACCGTGCTAAGTTACAAAGATAAAACCCAACTATGTGTGAGACATTACTTTGCGCTGGTTTCAGAATGTATCGGGTTCACGTTCTATAGAAGAACATATCCCGGACTGGTCAAAGTGACAATTCAAATTGAATATCACCTTGAATTCTCACTTTAGTGAGTCTCTCTGATAGTTGGTAAGGATGTATAACAATTTCTGTAGTTTACTCTGTATGTAATGTAACTCTAGCATGTAAATTAACTTCACTTCCATGGTGCCATGCTTTCAGGGCATGATTGTGAATGTTACTGTAGAAGGAATGACCAGACTGGCAGTTGTTTGCAGATGCCTTGGAATTTGGAAGCTAAAAACTCTCCCCTTGGGTGGGAGTTTTTTTTTTTCTTTTACAGATGGCGAAAGGAGTTTTCTGCTCGTCGTCCCTCTGCATTTTGGGCTTGTGAAAATTGAAACCTGATTGGCTGCTATAATTTTCACAATGTTTAAAAATGGATTGTAACTTTCTGATTGACTGGAATACTCTTTTTTTTTTTTTTCAATTTGTGTAAATACATATTATTTTCATAATATTGTCGCTCTGGTGTTCGAGGCTCAGTCTACACTGTAAACTGGCAATGTGTGCCTGCAGCTAGTAATCTATGCACCGCGGTAACATGTCATAAAAGACGTAGCTGCCACTTTGCCTAATTGCTTGACATCTTTATGTGTGAGCAGCTGCTCTGGAAGCGGTGAATTGTGCTGCAAAAATTAAAATAAATCTTATTAGGCCTGTAAGGATAAAGGTGTGATGATCCTCTGTAATCTCTAAAGAATATCCTAATCCCAAACCATGCCAAAGTCCACTGGCAGACATGTAGCTCCTGCTGGGGATAGACTAACAAATTGCAAACGTTAAAAGGGAGCTGTCACTGCCAAGAATCCTAATATTCTGTTTACTTATCCCTTATTTAACAAATCTCTGAGATGTGGAAAAAGAAAATTAAATGTTTTAACTCCCCTTGCCCCCATGCAACGGTTTGCCTCCATTCCGGTCAGAAAACAGGAGAAATTAAACAGTTTCTCTTGCTCCTCTTTAATGTTTGCCCTGTGATGGCTTGTTTTGAACTGGATTGTAACTTGCTAAATGTTTAAAGGGTTACCTTCCCAAAACAATTTATATAAGATTTCCGGTCCGGATTTTCACGGCACTGAACATCCTCATGCAAAGTGAGGATGTCCTGTTACTTACTGGTTTGTTTTGCTCAGTGAAGCTAAACTCAAGAGACAAAAATTGCTCAGATCACCTGCCTTGCAAAAACTTCTCACTGAGCTGCATTGGGAAGTCTGTGATTGGACAGCCACAGAAAGTCTGGGTGGGGCTAGAAGGGGAGGGCTTGCAAAGGCTGCAGGCAAGAGGACTGCATGTTTTTAAACTGCAATTAACAAATTAATTCTTGATTCCATTAGGGGTATATCCAGGGCCGGACTAGGGGAAAAAATTCAGCCCGGGCATTTTTCAATCCCAGCAGCTGGGATTGAAAAATGTCCGGGCTGAATTTTTTCCCCTAGTCCGGCCCTGGATATACCCCTAATGGAAACAAGAATTATTTTATTTTTTTTAAAATATATTAAGTCATATTCCTGGGGGAGAGGTAACCGCAGCAACGCTCAGAATCCTGACGCCCAAGCAGGGCCGGTGCTTGGATAGCATGGACCAGCAAGATCCTGTGATCTCCCCTGCTGCCCATGGCCATCGAGGCCCACCGGGCCCTACCATATAGCTATTAAAAAAAATAAAAAAAATTTTTTTTTTAATTTTTGTCTGAGCAGTGTAGTGTCTTAGTGGTGACCTTGTAGTCCAACAGTTAAGTAGCTGTTAACTGATCAGTGTTTTCTTCACAGGTGCCCATAACTCCTCTTCCAAGAAACCACGCAGCCGTAGCATCTTCCATTCCCTATTTTGTTGTCTGTGTCGTGAGGATACAGAGACTCTTCCTGTCAACAACAATGCACCTCTCCTGGGGGAGGAGAACGGGTCTGTCCCCAAGGTAGGTAACCATTGAGGGTGAGCTGGGTTTATCTGCGCTAGTTAAGAAATGCATTTCTTAATCCTTTAACATTGTGCCATTACATCCTGGGTTTAACAAAGTTGGGGCTTAGTGACATGTCTTAACTCTTTGGTGTGAGCAGGACTAAATTCCTGCACTCACCAGGGAGACCCACTTAGCCATGTTGGCATGGGCCATTTTAGACTGACCTATTGGTTGTATGCTGCATACAGCCTTCTAAATGTGCATTTAAATGTCCTGCAGCACAACTTGGTGTGAGCAGGAGTAAAGGACCAGCAAGCAAAGTGCATTATGGGTGTTGGAATGAAGTGCTCTGTATGGAATATCTAATTTTACTGACTGTTAACATACTAATTTTCTATGACAATTCTTTACTTTTTATAAATCCATTTCAAACACCTCCCTGGCTGTCAAAGAGCTAGGGCAGTTTTCTTAATTTTCTTGGCTACACTGAGCTATAGGGATTTGCATGCACCTTCACCCACAAGTGCAAAGGTACAAAAATATATTGGTTTTTAGTTTGGATAGCAAGTCTCTTAAAGTACAGATTTGTCTTCAGAACTGGGTACCTCCATTGTAGAGCAGAAAGGACCTGCAGAGATACAGTGGCACCAAGACCTTAAAATGCCAATTGGGACTGAAATGCAACTGCTGCCATCTAGGGGCATGTTGCATGTACTGCACCAAATATTCAGTACAGCGCAACTAACTCTTTTTTAAATGTATTTATTTATTTATTTTTACTCAAACTACAAAATGGCCACAATGTTACACACTTTTTTTTTTTTTTTTTAAGGGGCACTGCGGTCACACTCGGGAGGTGCGATGCGTAGTTTAGGTTACACTTAGTTATGCTGGATGAGTTCTTATTAATCTTGATTTATTATTGACATTTATAAAGCGCCAACAAATTCCGCAGCGCTGTACAATTAGGGGGGAAAAGACAAACCCAATAAGAACAGACAGATACAACAGGTAGAAGGCCCTGCCACAATCTAAAGGTTGAAATGTGGGTATGAGACCAGAGGTAGCAGAGGAATTTGTATGTGATGGCAGAGAGCGTTAATGGTATAACTGCAGCAGCTGGTAACGTGAAGGTAATAGGGAGGTGATTGGTGTGGTTCCAAACAGCTGGAGATGCATCCTATATAGTTAGAAGGAACCAGGGTGGGTGGGTAGAGCAGAGTAAAATTAAATGGCCTTCATGTTGCAGGGATGGATGGTTTGGGTCTAAGGAAGAGAGATGAGACTGTTAATTTACTTTAAAGGCATTTACAACTGGGAGTGGCAAGCAGTGTGTGTGTGTGGGGTGGGGGGGCGTGGAGAGGGGAGAGAATGGAGCAGGCCAGCCATTTGTTATAAACAAATATTTACTAACCAAAATTCTATCAGCCAGATCATTAACTACATGTAACTGTACAAAATTACAGTAGTAGACTACATGTAACAATGGTAGCATCATTATAGTAAAATAATAATTTAGTAACAAAATGAAAGTCCAGTTGAAAATCTTCTGCATCTGTTTGTACCTCTTTAAAGCTGCAGTGTTCAAAATTAAATGGCCTTTATGTTGCAGGAATGGATGGTTATTTATGCTTTCTGACCTGTAGATTCTTATTAAAATATTTCAAAACCTGTTAATTTTTATTCTTTTTACATGGTTTTTATAAATTGGTTTAACTTTAACATGTATTCAAAAATAAAGGATGTTATAGGAGCATGGCTACTCTCCCTATAAATCTGATCTAAAATAGAATGATTTTGACTAGAAAGTGGTCATTCTTCAGGAGGTCTTCAATCACAACTTTGTCCCCACCATAACCTTTAGTATGATTTTAATTTTTTTATAGCGTACAATTAAAGGGTCACCCTCCCGCCCGGCTCTGGAAGGGGGAAAGGGGTTAAAACCTACCTTTTTTCCAGCACCGGGCGGGGAGCTCTCCTCCTCCGATCCTCCTCCTCTCCTCCCATTCGGCTGAATGCGCACGCGCGGCAAGAGCGTGATAGCAAGTCTCTTAAAGTACAGATTTGTCTTCAGAACTGGGTACCTCCATTGTAGAGCAGAAAGGACCTGCAGAGAGACAGTGGCACCAAGACCTTAAAATGCCAATTGGGACTGAAATGCAACTGCTGCCATCTAGTGGCATGTTGCATGTACTGCACCAAATATTCAGTACAGCGCAACTAACTCTTTTAAATTTATTTATTTATTTTTACTCAAACTACAAAATGGCCACAATGTTACACACTTTGTTTTGTATTCAAAAATAAAGGATGTTATAGGAGCATGGCTACTCTCCCTATAAATCTGATCTAAAATAGAATGATTTTGACTAGAAAGTGGTCATTCTTTAAGCCCAATCTCTTTAAGCCACCAACCCTAACCATGAACCTGAAGATGGTATGATGGTCTCTCTCTACGTGGAAATGGGAATCTAACGCTTTATTTTTATTTTTTTTACAGACTGCTGTTAAACATCTTCTGCCTGAGGTGAAGGTGCAAGATGCTGACAAGATATGTGTCGTCATCGACCTGGATGAAACATTAGTTCATAGTTCTTTTAAGGTGTCTTTATATATTTTTTCCATATTTTTATCACAGACATACTGGTGTCTTTTAGTTCAGGGAGTGCTTGCTAGAGGAAAAATCAGTGCTTTCAGCAGAGAGCAGAACTGCTTGTAGGAGGGTTCTCCTGCTCACATGCCACTCATTTCTTGTCACTCAATGCATGAAAACCTTTAGATTTGCTAACATTTCTGTATACATGCAGAATGTAAACTGGGTAGCTGCTAATGTCCTGTTTTCATTTTTTCATTTTGTAGCCCGTCAACAATGCGGACTTTATCATTCCTGTCGAGATTGATGGAACGGTTCATCAGGTAATAGTCTTTAAGACGTAAGCCAGTGAGATGTATGTATGAAATTATTTTATGCTTAATAGTTTCATATCCCTTTTGATCCTCAACCTGCTGAGGGAAACTTATTGTGTCACCATAAGTACTTCCTGCAATCCTTTGTACTGGAACAATTCATCAAATGTATCACCCTGGAACATTGGATAAAATGTGACTGGAAACACCGCGATACTGCTGGGGAAACCAGGTACCAATATACCATCCTCTAGGTTGGTGCTGGTTTCAAGTAATCCAGGATAGGCTGTCTTGTCTCGATCCAGCCTATTCTTGATTACTTGCGTCCAGAGCCAACTAAATGCATCCTGGAATTTTTTTTTTTATATATTTCTTTGATATCCTGAATTTTTTTTATTTTTTTTTTTTCTCTGATTTAAAAAAAATAAAATAAAATTTAAAAAAATCCAAAAGGGCCATATCTCTGGTATGTCCTGAGGATAGTCCAGTAACCTTTAGCATTGCTTCTGCACCATCCAAAATGCAACGGACTTCACCACTTTAACTGAAAGGGAGACATTCAGTCACTGCTAAATAGGCAAGAATTTACGTTAAGCAGACTTTTTGGATAGAGTACAAAGATCTGACTTATTTTTAATTGGAGAAAATAAATATTAGATATCTACTCCTATCTATCTCAGCCATTGGATAGTAAAATGTGTATGTATCCTGCCGAATCAATCAGTTATCATTCCATAGTGAATCTTATCCTGCTCTTGTCTTATCTCTTAGGTGTACGTATTAAAAAGACCACATGTGGATGAATTCCTGCGACGAATGGGAGAGATGTTTGAATGTGTCCTGTTTACAGCAAGTCTCGCCAAGGTGAGAATCTTTCTACCTGGGCAAAAAGCAGAGTAGTTGTGGTTCTTTTAATGTCTTAATAGGTGTATTTGTTTGCTCTTCTAACTTATCCAGTAACCCACCTAAACAAGTAGTGATTAATAATACACCTTTCAGATCACTTTCAGAAGTCTCTAGTCTGTTGGTGTATGATGTAAAACTGTTATTTTTGTGTTTGTTTTTGTTTTTTTAAGGATATCTTTAGGTTTGTGTTTTTTTTTGTATCTAAATTCTGTAATAGTTTTGCTGAAACGTCAGGTAAATGGACAGTTTAAGATGACTTTTCATGGACTGCACTTTGTATGTGTATTTTTCCTCCTATATTTCCTGTCTTTGTTTAATACTTTCCTCCTCTGGTTTTATTTTTATTTTTTTTATATTCTATAGTTTAACTTTACAATCTTTCTATCCATGATAGTATGCAGACCCTGTGGCAGACTTGCTGGATAAATGGGGAGCTTTTCGGGCACGGCTTTTCCGGGAGTCTTGTGCTTTCCATAGAGGGAACTATGTGAAGGACCTTAGCAGGCTGGGCCGGGACCTGAGAAAACTTATAATCCTTGACAATTCGCCAGCCTCCTACATATTTCATCCAGACAATGCGGTATGATTGCATGATGCAAAACCCCTCCCACAGCGCGGTGTCTGCTGGCTCTGTGTAGGGAATGTAAATAGGGCCTCTATTGCATGAGTGATACAAACTAGGTAACTATTGCTTAAGGCTGCTGTGAGGCTAGTATTTAATCCTAGATTTACAGGCTTATTTACTAAAGTGAGAATTCAAAGTGAATATGAAACGTAAAGCAAAAGTTGTCATCGTGACTCTTCCGTTCAGCTATGTTGGCGTGAAGTTTAAAATTCACTTTACATTTTCTCTTTAGGGGATAACCCTGTTCGTGTTAAGAACCAGAAAGCAAACAATCATTGTGAAGTGTTTGGTACTGTTGTGTGTATTTGTATTCTTTTCCATATTTATTACACTGAACTTTAATTACATACAGGAGGGTCCTAGATAAGAACAGTGCAGGAGATACATTCTAGATTACCGAATTTGCAATAAAGGAAGTTTAAACTTTTATTTTTTAATTTTTTTTTTTAATTTTTTTTAGATCTCACTTTACAGGAAGTGTTTAGGAAGGCTGTAAGTCACATGCAGGGAGGTGTGGCTAGGGCTTCATAAACAAAGTGATTTTTAACTCCTCAATAGCAGAGAATTGCGCAGTGAGTCTGCAGTGGCATGATCTATAGACCAAAACTGCTTCATTAAGCTAAAGTTGTTTTTGTGACCAGTGTCCATTTGAGCTTTTTTATTTTTTATATATATATATATTTTTTTTAATGTATATTAAACTGTCATGTCACATCAGTACAGTTTAGATATGGCAAAGTCAGTACAAACATCTTAACTGAATAGCAGACCTAGAAATAATGTTTCATTTCTGCTCTGTATGCTTTCTGGTTGGTGACTGCCAGGTGCAGAGAGTAACACAATGATTTGTTGCCAAGGATTGGGTATTTGCACTGGATATATTAACTGTATGGCAGTTGGCACACTTATTGCACAAGTACGGTGGTTTTTATGAGAGATTACATTTTTACTTGGATTGGGGTCATTGGTTGTATTTTGTTTCACACCTTATACAGACTAGCTCTATTTAGGGATAAGTATACATATTAACACCGTGCACTTTCCTCCTCTGCAGGTGCCCGTAGCATCATGGTTTGATGACATGACAGACACAGAGTTGCTGGATCTCCTACCCTTCTTTGAGAGACTCAGTCAGGTGGACGATGTCTATAGCATTCTAAAGCAGCGCAGGACTGCAAGCTAGTGACTCAGATGGGGGACATGGGAGGGGCACGCATGTCTTGCATATGAATAAGCTCACATGTGTTGTATGTCGAAGGACAGGAGAGTAAGCCCTTCATTCACACTTCTGTGTTTTGTTTTTTGGGTTTTTCTTTCTGTGATCAGATGTTAGGGGATGGGGCTCATCTGATTCAGTCCACTGTGCCTTTGTATTGTCTATAAATGCTGCAATAATAAGAGCAGTTTAAATCCACTGCCTTGGTAATGCCTGCGCTTGGCAGCTGACTTAAAGACTTTACAGATAATGTTTCACCTGAAAGTGTCACTGACTCTCGTCAACATGAGATGGCTTAGATTGAGAAGAGTTGTATTCCCAAAACGAAATCTAAAGGCACAGTTTGCCTCCCCTGCTTTTTATTGGGGTGAGTTTTGTAAAATATTTGTGACACTTCATCTTTTCTTTGCTATTCTGATTTTAGTGGAAGTAATGGGCAGAGACAAAATAAGTTATTACAGCATACCACCGATTAAATGCCACATATTAAGGTTTGTCTAGTTAAATTCCATTTGTTTTTCATGCTTCTGATTCAGCATGTGCTGTGTCCTTATTGACAGGAGGCCAGTATTGATGGCATTTTAAGAACCATGCTTTTATTGGGAAGCGGTAAGAGTTGCCAGATCACTTCAATTTAAAGAAAGTATTATGTGACCTCTATGTTATAGTATCAAAGAAAGTGCAACCTAGTGTGCTTACCTAGGCGGCATTGCGTTTGATCTTTTGTTTTTAAACACCTTATAAGACTTTCTTTTTATAAATACATCATTCCTGGCTCTTTTTTTTTTAAAAGGAGCAGTAGACATACATTTTGCATGTGAAGGGTAAGAGAATGCACAATTTCATACTCTGCTCCAACATGTAATGTGTGCTTAACTGACTCAGTAAGGAAACTTTTTTTTTTTTTTTTTTTTTTGGGGGTTATATTTAGGGGTTTAGTCAGCCATTTCCACCAGGAAAAGATGAGCATGGTTAGTATTCAAATGCCGTTATTAAACACATATTAAACTTGGACTCTTTTTGGCACCCCAGATATTTGAGACCTACAATTTTCATGATCCGTCAGCATGGAGGCTGTCTAAGAATCATGGGAAATGGTTTACAAACCTGTGTGTAGCCAAGGCTAGTCAATTCTACACTTAGAGAATCGAGAACCATTATGGGTTGAGCAGCCATTGGCCCAATAACTTGACAGCTGCTGTGATTGCTCTGTGAGAAATTTCTCAAACTTCCATATACATGATTTTAAATGATTAAGTTTCATTCAATTTCTTGAAAATATGAGATGTAAAAAAATGTACGACCGTTGACTTTTAACCTACTGTCACTGCTGTGGGCTGTAAAGGGGATTTCATTAGTAGACTGGATTAATCGTTTTCTAATTGTATAGTAACGCCTTAATTTGGTTTATGCCTAATGTAATTTTCTTCTAAAGTAAAGCACCAATGGTGACTTTTTTTTTTTTTTGTGTAGGTATGTTACAAAGTTTAAAACCTCTTGCTGTAACACTGTATATTGAGCCAGATTAATTTTTCTCTTTGAGGTTCCCCTGTAGTCAAATGTATTCATTGTGAGTAAAATGCAGGGTTTTTGTTGATAAACACAAAGTGCCTTTCTTATAAACGAACATTCTCCAAATAACTCTGTTCTTAGAACACTGTATTCCAAGTAGTGGCACCACTGATCTTGTGGTCTGATTCCCATGATGCACAACGTAAGGTAATGGGCAATGCCAACGTTTACCTATCAGTGTTAATCAGGGGCAATCTGGAAAAACTGGGGAAATGCAAGATGTGATTAATGTAAATGATGTGCCTTGTTCCCTCCAAACACTGCTGCAATGGGTATACACAGACCTAAATACAGATGTTTGCCTTAAGTGTGTTAACCCTTAATGTTCACAGGATTGAGCAACAAAACATGCACACTCAGTGCTGGTCCTTAAAGGGTTGACTGGCAAAGTGCCTTTTTTTTTTTTTTTTTATTATTAAAATATATATATATATATATATATATATATATATATATATATATATATATAATTTTAATTTTTTTTTTTATGCCTTTTGTAAGCCAGGTAACTTTGTATGACACAGAAAAGTATTGGTTCAGGTTTTAATAGTTTGAAAACTATAACCGTCACACCATTGCAGGATTTTTCTTACTGATTTAGAATCTGCTGTTTCTTGCTGATATTTCATATTCTCCTTTTTCCTCTGAAATTTGCAGTGTTGTGGGATTTCGTGTGGGTATTTTGGGTTTTCTGTTGAATAAAGATTATTTTTTTTTTATTTTAGTAAGCCACCTTTTTTCAAGGACCAGTAAAGTGAAACCAGATTGGTTTTCTGTAGTTTCCTTTGCAATTTGAAAGGTCCCTTGAAAGAAGTGTAAAATCTATAATAATACAAAGTGCAGTGACTTTAAAGGCTGTACCCTGACCTTGTTAAGGGCTTAGTATTTTCTGTCTATTTTCATGGGAAATGAACTTGTGAGGTGGAAGACATATCTGCTGTTGAGGCTTGTGGAGCTATAATGCTGGCTGAGCATGCTCATTGTTAAAATCCAACAAGCGTGGCCAGCGTTTTTTTGCACTTGTTCCACAAGGGGGAACATTCCAATGACTTTCTATCCACCAGTGTACACTTGCTCCACAAGGGAGCTGTGTTGGATTTAACATTTCTGTTCCCCCTGGAGGAAAAAACTGCCCTACATCCTAGTTTTGATTTAAAGCTGCTATGACGTATGCGTTTTTTTCATAACTGTCCTCTTAACATGTCTGGTCACTCTATAAATATGTATAATGTATATAAATATATAAGTTCAAAGTTATGTGAGGTTTACCAATGTGGTGACCGCGCATATTATATTAATATGTGAACTGCAGAATACTCTCAATTGTTTTTTAATTTTTACCAAGTGTAGAAGTTGCCATTTTTAAGGGTGTCCGCTGTATTACCCAGGTTTAACAGATCCTTGCGAATTTTTAAGCACTAGAAGCAGGGAAACTAACATGTAAATATACCTACACCGTAAATAAAATTGGTTAAAGAATTGAACAAAATGAGTGTTTGACCATTTTATGTGTAAAATACAACATTTGTCACAGTCCTGGCACACAGTGATATCTTGCAGAGGATACCAGACCCGCTACATATTTATTGGAGTTGTTCTTAAGCAAAACTGCTTCTGCTCAAAATGTTATAAACCTAGAACGGCCCAGGAACGAAACAATCATATTTGGGATATTCTTAATGTAATATTCAATAGGCTGCACATTGAAAAGCTATATAAACCAGCAACACACAATCACTGCTCTTAAATGCACATTGGGCATAATGGCTTTTCCTGAGCAGATTAGAACCGCAAACTACAATGCTAATGATTGGTAATTTTATTTAGTTTTTTAATTTATTTATTTTTTGAATCACATTGTAGGACAGATCTAATTTAATCGGAAGGTTGATATGAAATTTGTCATCCTTAAAGTAAGTATTGGCATTTTTGATCGTCTCTCATTTAAACTCTATTTCTGACAATATAAAACCTGAGACTTCATATCATGTCCAACCACCACTGGATGAAAATGCCACAATACTTTTTGAGTTGTATCTTCAATAATATTTTTTTATAAATGATCAACATCCCAAAGATACTTTTAGTTTCTTAGTGTAGATTATAGCTGAACCACTGGCACACCACCTGTCCAGGATGTTAATATTTCCCAATTCTGTTCCATTGTGGATACTGGCAAAACTTTGACCACTGCTGTGTTTTGGAAAGCATTCGATTTGGCTAAGCTTGTCAAGGAGGCAGGTCAGGGGCAGAGCCAGAACAAGTCAAACACAGCCATGGCCAATCAGAATCTCCTCATAGACATGCATTAAATCAATGCATCTCTGAGGAAAGTTCAGTGTCAGTTCCACTGTGCAGCACGGCCCCAGGAAGCACCTCTAGTAGCCAACTAAGGAGTGGTCAGTGGAGGTATCCCTAGGCTGTAATCTAAACACTGCATTTTCTCTGAAAAGACTGTGTTTACAGCAAAAAGCCTGAAGGGAATGATAATACTCTACAATATTTATACTCCTTTAAGTGGGAATGAGTTCTAAATGTTCTTGCCAGTCCTACAACTAACCTCATTAACAAAAATTTTTTTTTAATTAGACCAACCAAAAAGTTTTCTTCCTAAAATTTTGCGTAATATTTTCCAGTTCCACTTCAGTCTCGCCATATAACTTAAAATTGTGTTTTTTGCATTCTAGAGAACACACTTCTCAGTCTACATTCTGTACATCTCTCCCTTCCTATTCAGATACCTTGTATCAATCTGGTATACAGTACAAGAACCTGGACGACCTAGTTTGTTCATTGGAGAAGGAAGACTTTCAGTACTCCGCAAAGAACCCCAGTCCTTAAATGTCAATTGTATGTGGCACTGTAACTTTCAAAGCATTAATAAACCTCCACTGATGTATTCCTATTAATGTAACCATAACTCATGCTAGCTAACTGCATTAGATCTCAATCACATTTCCCAGAACATAACCGATCCTTGCATGCTGCATTGAACAGTATCTTGCAAATTAACCAGAATAAATATCTAAAAAGTACATATTAGAAAATATGAATTTAAATAAAAAAAATTTTTGAGTTGTATTCTTCACCAGCAGAGGCGAGTGCTGTTTAAGCAATGATTGCATTCAAGCTTGGAGTGCTGTTGTTGCTTTGTGTAACATATTGTAGATTCCAGCAGGGGGCAATGCACCTCATTATTGCACTAGCTCACTCTACAAAAAACAAAAGGGACACTTCTGGTGAGGGTATTCTGTTTGGATGACAGCGGGAGTCAGGAGGAAGGCCTATTGGGCTTGTTCATTCCCTGGGCCATTTTACTTCTAACTGTAAAAGGAAGATGGAATGTTTAAACGTGTCTAACTTATAAGTAAACATTTACATGCAGGACTAGTGGTCTAAAAGACAGTGCCATTCATATTGTGTGTTTTGAATGTATAGGAAGTGCTCTTAAGAGGCCAGTTGCAGCAGAAAATTCCTTCCATTGGCATTCAAGGAAATAAAAACCTACAAAACCCTTTTCTATTTTTTTTTTTTTTAAACTTTAATTCTGTTTATTCCCTTTTTAAAATGGGCAGCATTACTTCTGTATAGGTGATCATGCATGAAGTATTATAGAAATTTAACGATGCCTCCATAGTGTTTTATGAAAGAATTTTTCTTTCTGCTCAATTATGTGTCAGGGCATTTTGGGCTCCCCAGAACAAATCCTCTAGTGGTCACGACGTACATGGAGGTAAATCAAAATGTTACTGATTTGAATCCCCATCATGTGACCAGACTGTCTTCTGAAACATCCTATAGATACATGTGACACATGCGTATTCCAACTTCCTCCATCTTTGTATGTTCTCTGCTTACATTGTATTTTCTGTGCAGAAACTGACCTTTCACCTATGAGTTTCCACATAGAATTTAAGATTGTGCAGGTGTCTGCGCCCAGCCACTGCAGAACCTCCTTTTTGGGGTGGGGGGGTGGGGAGCGTCAACGTGAAACAATTCTGTCTGAGGAGAAATAAGGGCTGCCAATAACCCTAATGTTTTTAATATATTATATATTTTGTATTGTATATCTGTTTTTATGAGAGTTAAAAATGGGAAATAATCCATTAAATGTTTTATTTTTTGGGGGGGGGGGAGGGGGATAAACTTAAGTGCCTTCCTTTTTATTGTGTGATTTTAACTGTACTTCTTGACGATTACAATAGAAAAAAAGAACTAAAGATAAAAAGTGCAACAACTGTGTCGTGTGTTTATTTTATATAGTTTTAAGTATTATTTTTCTTTAACCCGTAAGCTGCTCAACTGGTTTTATTTTTATTCTCGAGCATTTAATAGTGTGTGGTTTTTGTTTTTCTGCAGATTATGCATTTTATGAAATAATATTTTGCAAAAAACAAACACCCAAGCCTTTTCAGAAAGCTGCCATGCAAAAAATAAAATAAAACTAGGAATTGTTAGTGTAGTTGTAGTGAACAAAGGAACAACGAATTTATTTTATAAATGTTTCCAAACTACACATGATTTATAATTTCCGATTCCTATAAAAAGCTTATTTTAGGATTCCATAAATCTTCCTCCCAAAACGTCTTTAAACCATGTGAATCTCTGATTTCACAGTATGTGGCAGGCATAAATGGTCAAAGTAAAATATTAATCATCCATCATGGAATTGCACCAAATCTTCTTATACTGACAAGTCTATTTCAGTATTTCTGCTTTTAAATAAAGGGTCTCATGCTTGCCTATTTTATTGGTGGAAGCCACCTCTCAGGAATGTTTGCTACATGGTGATAAAATTTATCTCCATTGATATCTGGACATGTGACCCCTGATTTGAAAAAGGTGCTACCGTCATTCCATGAAAATAAGATCGGGTCTTCTATTAATTTTTTTCCACCGTAAAACGCACAAGGGCTTTTCTTTCGGGGGATGTCTTATTTCAGAGAAGAACGGTAGCAAGCATGTTCTAGGAAGCTGGTCTACATTCAGTGGAATTCCCCCGAACATAGACCAGTTCACTACGGCATGGAAACCTGCAAATCTAGGTTAGGGGGAAACTTTCCCAAACACAGATAAGATTACAAGCGAATGGAGTCCTGCAAATCTATGTGCGGGGAAGATTCCCTGCACATAGATTAGTGAACTAGCGACTGGTGATTACGACTTATTTTTGGGTTAGGGCTTATATTAAAAGCATCCCCAGAAAATAAGATAGGTCTTCTTTTTGGGGGATTTCTTATTTTCAGGGGAAACTGAGTACTTCTCTCAGTTTAGAGCCTATATGCTGATCACTGTCAGGTAGCTAGCTGGGTATGCTGCTTTTAAGCGAGGCCCTATCTCTTCATATTGAAATTGATTCATAAGGAGGGTGACAGACTTGATATAAAATGTAACTGTGATGTAATCATTAAATAGAAATATGTTGCGGATGTGTGCTCCGTATTTCAGAATGGGATTACAATAGAAAACTATGCATGTTTGTGTTTTTTTGGTTTATATGAAATAAAAAATTCTTATGCCATTTTAGGAACTGTTCTATAAGTTAGAGATGAATGCCTAGGAACAAATTGGTTTAAGGTAGTCCTTCATTTTTAATATGCTAGTCCATTCGAGGGGAACTGTCAGGATTTTGTAAAACAAATATAACTTACTTTTCTAAGTTTATTTAATTAAAAGGAAATCCTACTGTATTCAGTTTTAGCAATTCAAAAATTAAAGCCTTAAAAGCAGGACACCAACAAAATAAACTGCCTTGGGTCAATAAAAATGTCATTAAAAAAAATTCTCGTAAAATAGAAATAAAATGACAACTATTGGCAAGTAATGGTGAGTGTTCCAATATTCGGTTTTTATTTATCTAGAAAATGATTGAAAAATGTATCCAGCTTTAAATGGTTAATAGATTTGCATCAGCCTCAATCCAAAAAGTTTGCCAACTCCCAACTGAAAGAATGTAGCTGGACTGGATACAACTACCAGATGACCTCAAATTTCTCTGAAGTCTCATGTCCGTCAAGATTTATAATCTTTAGAGACGCAGTGATGGTTCTGTGCAGTTCTATGAAAGGTCTATATTCTACCAGAATATAAACTGGTATAGAGTTAGCGTTTTGATATAGTAGTTACCTGTATAGTTTCTTTACACTTTGATTGTGGAATTTACACATACCCTCCTAATTCTGATAGCTGATTAAACCAGATTATTATATTATGCGTATAGTATTCTGCAAGGTAATTATACTGCCTCTGTAAGTAAGGCCTCCATGGGAGTTTTGATACCACTTTTATTACCGTTAAAACAAAATGTTATTCAAGTGCAAAATTTGCCATTTGTAAATTCTAGCATAACCCCTAAACGGACCTCTCTGTTCTGATGTCCATCTTTGTATGGAGAATAAGCCTGGTGCTTGTCCTGGCATTGAAGCAATTACCATTCACAATGTTCTTTGTGCTGTTTGGTGCATTAATGAGAAGAAACTTTGTTTCCTGCATGATTAATTTGCACATTCCGCTCATTAGTGCGTATTAATTGCTAGGTGCTCACCGATGCTGAAATTACGTTCCTGCAAGTTATTCTCTGCTAGTGCGTCTAGGTTTGGAGTTTAGAACGGTTTCACTTCATCTCCCGAAGTATGTGCTCTCTGTGCTGTGCATCATATGAACATTGTCTGAAAATACAGGGATGACCGTGTAGGAGACCTCAGGTAAGCGTGCATATCTGCATTGTATGTGTTTCTTAAAATCATTTTAAAAAGGCCTAGAAATATATACATGCGAACAGTCAAGATTATCCTAAGGCTTTCACTTATTTTCTTTTTCTTTACATCCAGGGATTACATAACTGCAGCGTTTATTTGAAACACTATAAATGGTAAAATGGCAAGTTCTGTACTAAGGTGTGAATTGTTGTGAATTCAACATTTTAGGCAATAAAAATGACTTATTAATAATTCCTAGTTTGAAATGTTCACGTTTTAATGGCCTAAATCTGTCCATCCTTCAATAGTTTGGAAATCTAAGTAATTCCGACCCGTCTACAGTGTCTTTAAAAAAGCTAATTTGGTTTCTAAATGTGTTGTTGCAAAATTTGGGTAAATATTAGTATTCTTTATATTAAACAAGGGGCATTATTATGTAAAATTTTGGCGACAATTAATTTAAGGGACCGTTAGTACCCAGTACCCTCTATACTTGCTATCTGTACAGAATACCATACTATGTTATAGAAACATAGAATGTGACGGCAGATAAGAACCATTTGGCCCATCTAGTCTGCCCAATTTTCTAAATACTTTCATTAGTCCCTGGCCTTATCTTATAGTTAGGAGAGCCTTATGCCTATCCCACGCATGCTTAAACTCCTTTACTGTGTTAACATCTACCACTTCAGCTGTAAGCCTATTCCATGCATCCACTACCCTCTCAGTAAAGTAATACTTCCTGATATTTTTAAACCTTTGCCCCTCTAATTTAAGACTATGTCCTCTTGTTGTGGTACTTTTTCTTCTTCTAAATATGGTCTGCTCCTTTACTGTGTTGATTCCTTTTATGTATTTAAATGTTTCTATCATATCCTCCCTGTCTCGTCTTTCCTCCAAGCTATACATGTTAAGATCCTTTAACCTTTCCTGGTAAGTGTTATCCTGCAATCCATGAACCAGTTTAGTAGCCCTTCTCTGAACTCTAAAGTATCAATATGCTTCTGAAGATATCGTCTCCACTACTGCGTACAATACTCCAAGTGAGGTCTCACCAGTGTTCAGTACAATGGCATGAGCACTTCCTTCTTTCTACTGCTAATACCTTTCCCTATACAACCAAGCATTCTGCTAGCATTTCCTGCTGCTCTATTACATTGTCTGCCTATCTTTAAGTCATCAGAAATAATCACGCCTAAATCCCTTTCCTCAGATGTTGAGGTTAGGACTCTGTCAAATATTCTGTACTCTGCCCTTGGGTTTTTATGTTCGAGATGCATTATCTTGCACTTATCCACATTAAATGTCAGTTGCCACAACTTTTTTAGTTTACCTAAATCATTTGCCATTTGGCTTATCCCTCCTGGAACATCAACCCTGTTATATATCTTAGTATCATCAGCAAAAAGACATACCTTACCATCAAGACCTTCTGCAATATCACTAATAAAAACATTAAAGAGAATGGGTCCAAGTACAGATCCCTGAGGTACCCCACTGGTGACAAACTCATGCTTCGAATATACGCCATTGACTACAACCCTCTGTTGCCTGTCAATCAGCCACTGCCTTACCCATTATACATGTGCAATTTGTTTCGGTCCGAATATGAATTTGGAAGTACCCGAATGGCTGAATTGCCGAAGTTCCGAAGCACAGTATTGCCTAAGTAGTAATATACTTACCCAATGAAAGAAGAAGAATGTTACATTGTATACAATTTTAAATAAAAAGTATACAAACATAGACAGGATTCAGCTGTAAGCATTTGCAACACAATCAAGTAACATACATTGTATATGAATGTAAGTTACTTAGCCAGTCAATGTAATGACAGGAATGAATAAGTAGATAACTCCCTAATTCCTAAATTGGTCTTTCAGCCAAATTTACTAATACTAAGTAAATATTACTTCGTATTAGTAAATTATGCCCCTACGCGCTATACCGCGGGTAGGGGCATGTCTAGTAAACCGTGAGCACTGTTAAACCTATTGCCCACCCCTGAGCGGCGGGGGGGACCTACAGTAAAATAAGGGGGGGGACCTAATGTCCTCCCCCCTGGCCCCCACCCCTGAGCGGTGGGTGGGGCCCCTAACTTCACTCTCTCTGCTGTTCTATGTTCATTCACACCCGCTACATTGGAAGAGGTTTCTGCTCTGCTCCAGTCCTCCCGCCCCACCACCTGCTCCCTAGATCCAATTCCCTCGCATCTCATCTGTACTCTGTCTTCTTCTCTTTCTCCACCTCTCACTAAAATTCTCAATCTCTCTCTCTCCTCTGGTATATTTCCATTGCCCTTCAAACATGCAAATGTAACCCCAATTCTAGAGAAGCCCAATCTTGACCCTAACTCCCCATCCAACTATCATCCTATCTGCTACTGTCTTTTGCATCCTTGAAAAAATTGTGTATGCAAGATTGACAGACTTCATGGAGTCCAACTCTCTGCTAGACCCGCTTCAGTCTGGTTTCCGCGCTAAGCACTCTGGGGAAACGGCACTGACCAAAGTATCCAATGATCTACTCGCTGCAAAATCTTGTGGTCACTACTCTATCCTAATTCTCCTTGACCTGTCTGCGGCTTTTGACACTGTTGATCATCAACAGCTTCTTCTCATCCTCTGCAATATCGGTCTACAAGATACTGCTCTCTCCTGGTGCTCCTCCTACCTCTCCCAGCGCTCTTTCAGTGTTTCTTTCTCTGGCTCTGCTTCTTCTCCCCAACTCCTCTCTGTTGGTGTCCCCCAAGGTTCAGTACTTGGTCCCCTACTGTTCTCCATCTATACTGCCTCCCTTGGTAAACTCATTAGCTCCTTTGGCTTCCAATATAATTTCTACCTGTGTTCTCCTGATCTCTCCCCGTCCCTCTTGACTAGTGTCTCTAACTGCCTCTCTGCTGTTTCTAACTGGATGGCTGCCCACTTCCTTAAAGTAAACTTGACCGAAACTGAAATTCTGGTCTTTCCTCCCTCAAGTGTTGTTACTCCTGTGTCTGTCTCCCTCCAAGTCAACGGTGGTACCATCAGTTCCACCACGCAGGCTCGCTGCCTAGGTGTCCTCTTTGACTCCGACCTATCCTTCAAGCCTCATGTTCAATCTATCGCCAAATCCTGTCATTTCCATCTCAAAAACATTGCGTGTATCCACCCCTACTTAACACCAGATGAGACTAAGGTGTTGGTCCATTCCACTGTCCTTTCTCGCCTTGACTACTGTAATCCGCTTCTCAGTGGTCTTATGTGCTCCCAACTAGCGCCGTTACAGTCCAAATTGAATGCGGCGGCAAGGCTCATCTTCCTGTCCGCCCGCACCTCCCATGCCTCACCTTTCTGTCAATCCCTACATTGGCTTCCTATAAAATATAGAGCTCAATTTAAAATTCTGGTTCTTGCTTTCAAATCTCTACATAATGCTGCTCCCACCTATCTATCCTCCCTTATACACAAGTATGTCCCGTCTAGGCCCTTACGATCTGCTGAAGACTTACATCTATCTTCTGTCCGTACTCCCACCTCTGATGCTCGCCTTCAAGATTTCTCGAGGGCTGCACCGTTCCTGTGGAACTCGCTTCCCTCCTCCGTTAGATGCTCACCCAGTCTCCACTCCTTCAAAAATCGTTAAAAACCCACTTCTTCATAAAAGCGTATCAATTAAACTGTTAATAGCTCCTGACTGATTCCTCTTCTGCAACTGTCATTAGTCTAATACTGTCCTTACCTTTTTGTGTCATTTTACCCCACTCCCTCTAGCATGTCAGCTCATTGAGCAGGGCCCTCAACCCCTCTGTTCCTGTGTGTCCAACTTGTCTGGATACAACTACGTCTGTTCGTCCACCCATTGTAAAGCGCTGCGGAATTTGACGGCGCTCTATAAATATCATAATAATACTAATAAGGGGGGACACCTAATGTCCTACCCCCTGGCCCCCACCCCTGAGCAGTGGGTGGGGGGGCCCGAAATACTAAGGGGTGGGGACCTAACTTCTTCCCCCCTGGCCCCCACCCCTGAGTGGTGGGTGGGGGCCCTAAATACTAATAAGGGGGGGACCTAATTTCCTCCCCCCTGGCCCACACCCCTGAGCTCAGTCCATGTTGTTAACGGGGCACTCCACTATCCAAATACAAAAATAAAATAGATTACTGTTTAGTAAATATGCCAGATATACCCCCAATAAAATAATGCATTTATTACTGTAGTTTTTTTTTTTTTTTTTGGAGGTAAATCTAAAACACATTTTGAAAGCTGCAGATCTCTTGTCTGCAGCCTTTATAAGCCCTCCAATTCTAACCCCTCAATACGCAGGACACAGCTTGCTGATTAATGGTCTAATGATAAAGCAGTCCTCATGCTCGATTATTGGGGAAAACATGCAATTTACCACAAGCAAACATTGTGCAAACATCGTATCTTCAATTTGCAGAAGTAGAGGGTTTAGTTGTTGTCTTGTTTGCAAATTTTCAGTTCATAGGTTGCTGTGTGTTTGTATTGTCAGATAAAAGGACCATAAATGACGAGGGTAATAGGATGCATTCTGGTTAATATTTGTCCAGTAATGTATCAGATGATCTCTCTTTTATAACTGAAAATGCTTTGCCAGGAATATGTTTCATGCAGAGCCTTAGAGAATCCTAGATGTCACATTCTCCTAGATGTCTCTAGTATTAAATCCACCAGTATATTTTACGATGAGACCATGTGTTGGCAAAATTCCTTTCCTTTAATATTCAACAACCTAGTGTAGAATTATTTAAAGTAATGCCATAAATGGATAGAATATAAATGCACTGGCGGTTCTCAACCCTTAGTTAATTGTAGTAGAGTAAGAAGATCTATAGCTCTGCCCCATTGTCACCTTTCTATAACATGTTCTTTCCATCCTACATCATTGCATTCTAGAACACCAAATAGATACTCCACTGACCAAATAGAAATCCCTGCTTAGTAGATACACCCTCAAGGAAAACATGCAGGCATTTAATTATGCATTTTTTTCATTTGGGGTATATATAAAAACAGCCTGTAAAAGCTGCAATCTCTTGTCTGCAGCCATTGTAAACCCTCCCCTTCTAACCCCGCCCAAACTTCCTGTGTCTGTCCAATCACAGGCACCCCAATGCAGCTCAATGAGAAGTCTTTGCAAGGCAGGTGCTCTGGGCAATTGCTGCCACTTGCGTTTATCTCCACTGAGTTAACAAACCAGGAAGTAACACAAGATCCACAAGATGTCGTAGAATGTTCCCATGATGCTTTTCCAACTTTAAAGGGAAATGGCCACTTCTCCAGAAATTGCACCATTGAATAAATTGTTGTGCAAATGACAGCCAAGGGGGTGTAACAAGGTTAATTTATAAAAGTGCCAATTTCTATTGAAATCTGCATTTTTGCAAATTAAAAAAAATATATAACACATTGTTCACATATAAAGCTTTTCAGCAAGGTAAAGTGCTATAGGGGTATGAAGTGTCCATTTAACTAAGTCTTAGAAGAAAACTTCCATGGGCATTTCTATTTTGGATCTTGTTGAAGAAAAAAAGAAAAGGCCTAAATGTAAGGCTAACCTATGAGGAAATAAAATCAAATACACACACACACACACACGCAGATATACAGACAAACAGTTAGATACACATATTCATAGACACAGATATAAAGGCACACGTACCGACACACATGCAGATACACACAGATAGACACACATACAGATACACATACACACATATGGATACAAACACACATACAGGCAGAAGATACACATTTTAGACCACCTTCTTGTTTCCTACATTTTTTGTGCAGGAGGGTGGCTTCCCTGGGGTCTAGACAGCTGGCTCAGGCTGTTGGGTGCAGTGTGTGAGGGGTGCAACGTGTGTGAGGAGTGCAGTATGTTAGTGGTGCAATGTGCGTGTATGGGGGAGCATTGTGGGAGAGGGTGACATTGTGGGAGAGGGTGACTATGTGTGTGGTAGGGTTACAGTGTTGGGGGACAGTGTGTGTGGGATACAGTGTGTGTGTGTATAGGAGCAGTGTGGGGGAGGGTGACTTTGTGTATGTGTTGGGGGGGAGGGGGTTACAGTGTGTGGGGAGGCTGTGTTTTAGTACCCAGCCTCCCTCAAATTGAAATATCTTTTAATCGATTCCCTGGTGGTCCAGTTTCCTCCCTGGTGGTCCGGTGGCAGCAGACCAAGTGATTGGTGTTTCACGAGTGTCAGAGTGTTGCTGTAATAACCCGCGACAATGCTCTGGTCTGGCTGAGATCGCAAGATGCTTCAATCTGCAGCTCTGCACCCGGCGCAGCTACAGACAGGAGGTGTAGGCTCTCTCCCTCTATGGGCAGACTGAGCGGAAGGGCTTGCGCTGTGTGCCGCCAGGCTCCCTCCCAGTTTTGGACATCGGTCAGAGACCGAAGACCCGACACGTCCGTCTGTGAGTAACCGGGAAGTCCAAGCCACCCCATGCGCTGAGAGTTAAATAACCAGCCAGGTGATTATAACCTCAATTATAAGACAAGGTTGTTTATTCAGAAGTTTTTTTTTCCGGAAAATAACCTATTCTTATAAATCAAGCAAATACGGTATGTTAATACAGGGTTATAGGTGAGTTTCAATGATTTATTCATTGGTGTAATTTATGGAGAAGTAACCGTTCCCCTAAAGTTGGAAAAGCATAATGAGAACTTTCTACAACATCTTGGGGCTTCCTCTCTGCCACACCTAAATTACACCAAGCTAATGGAATAAAGACTTTAACCTCTGAAGTCTTGGGCTTGTGACCCACTGTTCCAAGGCCACTTACCACCACTTACCAAACATCATGTGAGAATAGCGAATAGGGAACTCATAACTGCTTCATGACGGGAAGAAGGAATCCTACAAATGTGGGAGTGACATTCTCTGTACCCAGGAATGAATCTTTATAGCCATACGCACCTCGCCTACACCTTCACTGTGTGTGTTAACCACAGATAGTGAAATATTTAAGATAAGTAAGTTCACAGTCCGAACGAAGGTCTAATTGTTTACCAGAGTGATGTCTGATCCACAGAGACACGTTTGCACTCAGTCTCAATAAAGCTGGGTGTGGCTCATTATACTATGTATCCAGTTTTTTAAAAAGTTTAGGTTTTATAATATCAGCTCATTCTATCTAACTCATACCTCCCAACATTTCATAGAGACAAAGAGGGGGACATTTTAATTTTATAGGTGTGATTGGAGGTGTGGCCAGGGGCAAGGCTGTTCTGAGATACTTTAGGTGACTTAATTTATACTAGTAAAATGAACAATGTATCTTATTTACACAGACTGAATTCTAAACACATTTATTGTAGTTTAAAGACACATTACTGGGATTATTATTGCTTTGGAGCTCTGTTATACACTCAGACACATTACTGGGATTATTATTGCTTTGGAGCTCTGTTATACACTCAGGCACATTACTGGGAGTATTATTGCTGTGGAGCTCTGTTATACACTCAGACACATTACTGGGAGTATTATTGCTGTGGAGCTCTGTTATACACTCAGACACATGTTGGGAGTATTATTGCTGTGGAGCTCTGTTATACACTCAGACACATTACTGGGAGTATTATTGCTGTGGAGCTCGGTTATACACTCAGACACATTACTGGGAGTATTATTACTGTGGAGCTCGGTTATACACTCAGACACATTACTGGGAGTATTATTGCAGTGGAGCTCGGTTATACACTCAGACACACCAACAATATGGTTTGCAAATCTAACTTAAACAATATACAAACAAAATGACAAATTAAAAAGCAATAATACTTAGCTTATAAGGATGTGTAACAGCCTCCCTAGGTCGCTACCCAAACGAGCAACCTGTATCATGCATAATATAAACCAAAAAAGAAGATTCGGGATATGGCTGTGTAAATCTACAGAAGGAATATAAAACAGAACATAGTGTGATATTGTTAAAGATACAATATTATATGCGCAACAATCTTTTGCACTCACAAGATGTAGATGATAAAAGCGCTCTTAGGGTGCCTCCCCTAGAATGATGGGGGGTTAGCTGATATTGCTTGTCACCTCTGGATCCTTGTTCCACCAAAAAGACATCCACAGGTCAGGGTTCAGCAATAAAAAATTTGTTTATTTAAATAAAAGGTGTAGTCACCATATTGAGCATAGGATATAAATAGCGTAAAATAGTCCTACGCGTTTCGTTCTATAAGAACTTCCTCAGGGACCACAATTAAAAACAATCAGCATGTATCAGTATACAATACATAAATAAACATATCCTATACAAACCCCCCCTCCCTGTGTCCTTAAATAGGGCTAATCCCTAGAGTCCATTGGTGGATTCAGTGGGAGTGTAAATCCTTCCTGTTCCTGGTTGGAGGGACAATTTCACTGGGACAGCTGTTATCCATTCTTTAATTTTATAATTTGCGCTTTTTTTCGGCAAATACCGCGGGTAATCCCATTTCGCCGAAACCGGAAGTGACGTCACAATTACTTCCGCGTTCCACATGCGTTCCACACACGGCGTCCCCATAGCAACCAAACGTGATCGAGTTGTTTAAAGATCACCTGGAACTAAGGGAGAATAAACCCCCACTCTGCTAATGAAAAGATTATTAGGCATGTACATTTGCAATTGGCCATTATTCACAACTAATGTATGTAGAGTATCATCCTCCTATTGTGATATTGTTAAATAGTAATAATAATATAAATAATAATAACATAAATCCTTATATTTATCCAATTATAATATTACCTCAAAATATTATAAGTCAAAAGACTTATTATAAAGTGCTTAGGTGCCTCATATAAATCAAAAAAATGATTATAAATTTTTTAATTTTTTTTTTTCATATACAACTTTATATAATTAGTGAAAGGAGGACATCACAGTTAATCGATCACTATCATCAGTTGATCTTTAGTATATCACATCTCATTAATGTTCCTTATGAGGAAAAAAACTTTCAAAACTTGTTTAATATCTTTGTGCAATTCTTTTAAGTACAAAAAAGATTGTGAATTATAACTTAAAAAATTAGTGTGCAATCCCACGTTTGGGATGATGCTAATTCTATATATCATCCTGGTGAGTTTATTTTCAATATTCAAACAGTCAATTGCTATATCTCCATTGTATCTTTATGATTTAGATCATACAAGACCATAAATCCTAACATAAAATGAAAAATTATATAAAGATAATAACTCAAAATAATCATATATATAAATCCTCTATCTAAATAAAGGTAAACTTACAACTGTAGAAAGAAGCCCCAAATTGGGGACAAACACACATATCTATTGTATTCCATTATAAAACTTTATTAAGGCCAAGTCAATCCAAAAAACACATTAAGTCAATATCTATATTTAGACCCTTTGGAGTAAGGGTCTGTAACTTATATATCCAGAAAGTCTCCCTTTGGGCTAGTCTTTGTACTCTATTGCCCCCACGCCAAAAAGGGGAAACTCGTTCTATTCCCCAACATTTAAAATCCTTAAATGAAAATAAGGGACAAGATATACAATGAGCTGGGACTGAATGTATCGTCAGTCCCTTTCTAATATTGTTAAGATGTTCCAATAGGCGGACCTTCAGAATCCTCTTAGTTCGTCCCACATATTGCATGCCACACGGACACTGCAGCAAATATACTACAAAGTCCGTGTGGCAATTGATACTATCCCTAAGTGTGAAGATCTCCCCCATAGTAGAGCTAAAAAAAGTATGTGTATTTTTATGGACACCGTGGTACAGACTTTACAAGTACCACAGCCTCGAAATGAGCCTGATCGAACAGACGTAGAGACAGATGGTGGCTTGATGGCATAACTTGGTGCCAACATATCCTTCAAATTTTTATTCCTTTTATAAATCACTACGGGATTGTCCGTTAAATGTGCCCCCAGAACAGGGTCTTGTAACAAAATAGGCCAAGAATTTTGAAGACTCCTCTTAATTCTATTATAATCAATGTTGTAATGAGTGATAAATGCTGAACGAAAATTATCTCTAGTTTGCGGAATAGATGGTCTATTTTCCAAAAACGTCTTTCTTTCTATATCACCAATACGGCAGATCTCTTTCTCTAATCTCTTACCATTGTATCCCCTATCTATGAGTTTCCTCTTTATATGAGATGATTGGGCAAAGAAATCTTGTTTGTCTGAGCAATTCCGCCTAAGTCGGGTGAACTGGCTCCTAGCTATACCCTTAAGCCAAGGTTCATAATGCCCACTCTTACGGTGAACGAACCCATTTCCATCAGTAGGTTTAAAAAAACATTTACTCCTTATCTGTCTTGAATCGTGCAGACAAAGGTCAAGAAAATTGATCTCATTTTTATTCCAAATGGGGGTAAAAACCAGATTATATTCGTTATTATTCAGGAAATTGACATAATCATCAAATAAGACAGAAGACCCCTTCCAAATGATAATAACATCATCGATATAACGCCGCCATAGGACCAAGCCCTCCAGCCATGTCCAGACCAAACAAACAACTCCTCCCATCTTCTCATATAAGTGTTGGCATAGCTGGGGGCGAACTTGGTTCCCATGGCGGTCCCCGTTATTTGTAGAAAAAAATCACCATTAAAGAAAAAAAATTGAAAAGAACTAACTCACCAAAGTACAGAGACCTGGGAACATCCCAACCGTTTTGCAACCCTATGCCAGGATTCCCCAGTAAAGAGAATCCGGACGGAGGATTAGGAACAACCTCTTTAAATGGGGGTTTGATAAATGAGAAAGAACTGAGTAAGGGGATTTTTAATTTAACTCCAACTCCACTTTCAGATGAGGAGATTAATTTGTTATCAAGGGGTTTGAAATTTGCCCCAAATAGAAGGGCCAATAATTTTGAACTCTATATTGATCTTAAAAAGTTTATCCGTTCTTTAACTATTAAAAGACATTTTCTATTACATCCTCCTGAAATTAAAACTGGTGGTGAGGGCATTGATGTTGATTATAGATTCCGCCCCAAGTCCCATTTTTTCCCTACTCATAGTAAGGGCCCTTTTTTAGAAACCTTCGAACATTTGGTAGACCAACAATTCCAAAATATGATGAAGGGCACTAATAGGAATAAAAAGAACTGCTTTCCAAATTTAAACAAAAAGGAAGAAAACACACTTAAACGATTGATAGAAAGAGATGATGTAATTATTAGGGAAGCAGATAAAGGGGGGGGGATAGTGTTAATGACTACCACATATTATCTCCAGGAAGCAGCACATATTTTGGGGGATAAAGACACTTATAGTGTACTTAAATGTGACCCAACGAGCCGGTTTAATGTAGAACTCCAAACAATTTTGAATAGAGCTAAGGAGAGAGGTACCATTTCACAAAAAAATTATGATTTTTTATACCAAAAAACTCCAATTATCCCTATTTTTTATTTTCTTCCAAAGACACACAAACGTCTCCCTAACCCTCCTGGGCGACCTATAATTAGTGGTATTAATTCACTGACAGCTAATTTGTCGGCCTACGTTGACTCTCGATTACAGAAATATGCCCAAGGGGCACCTTCATATGTAAAGGATACAAAGTCTTTTCTCCAAGAAGTTGAGAATATTGAATGGGATCCGGAGTACAGTTGGGCCACCCTTGATGTGACCTCTCTGTACTCGGTGATTAGCCATAATTTGGGTCTGGAGGCAGTTGACTATTTTATGAAGCAGGATTTGGAGTTACCAATGGATATTAGAGAGTTTATTTTTCTTCCGTTCAATTTATTTTATATCACAATTATTTTTTCTTTAATGGTGATTTTTTTCTACAAATAACGGGGACCGCCATGGGAACCAAGTTCGCCCCCAGCTATGCCAACACTTATATGAGAAGATGGGAGGAGTTGTTTGTTTGGTCTGGACATGGCTGGAGGGAGAACTTGGTCCTATGGCGGCGTTATATCGATGATGTTATTATCATTTGGAAGGGGTCTTCTGTCTTATTTGATGATTATGTCAATTTCCTGAATAATAACGAATATAATCTGGTTTTTACCCCCATTTGGAATAAAAATGAGATCAATTTTCTTGACCTTTGTCTGTCGCACGATTCGAGACAGATAAGGAGTAAATGTTTTTTTAAACCTACTGATGGAAATGGGTTCGTTCACCGTAAGAGTGGGCATTATGAACCTTGGCTTAAGGGTATAGCTAGGAGCCAGTTCACCCGACTTAGGCGGAATTGCTCAGACAAACAAGATTTCTTTGCCCAATCATCTCATATAAAGAGGAAACTCATAGATAGGGGATACAATGGTAAGAGATTAGAGAAAGAGATCTGCCGTATTGGTGATATAGAAAGAAAGACGTTTTTGGAAAATAGACCATCTATTCCGCAAACTAGAGATAATTTTCGTTCAGCATTTATCACTCATTACAACATTGATTATAATAGAATTAAGAGGAGTCTTCAAAATTCTTGGCCTATTTTGTTACAAGACCCTGTTCTGGGGGCACATTTAACGGACAATCCCGTAGTGATTTATAAAAGGAATAAAAATTTGAAGGATATGTTGGCACCAAGTTATGCCATCAAGCCACCATCTGTCTCTACGTCTGTTCGATCAGGCTCATTTCGAGGCTGTGGTACTTGTAAAGTCTGTACCACGGTGTCCATAAAAAATACACATACTTTTTTTAGCTCTACTACGGGGGAGATCTTCACACTTAGGGATAGTATCAATTGCCACACGGACTTTGTAGTATATTTGCTGCAGTGTCCGTGTGGCATGCAATATGTGGGACGAACTAAGAGGATTCTGAAGGTCCGCCTATTGGAACATCTTAACAATATTAGAAAGGGACTGACGACACATTCAGTCCCAGCTCATTGTATATCTTGTCCCTTATTTTCATTTAAGGATTTTAAATGTTGGGGAATAGAACGAGTTTCCCCTTTTTGGCGTGGGGGCAATAGAGTACAAAGACTAGCCCAAAGGGAGACTTTCTGGATATATAAGTTACAGACCCTTACTCCAAAGGGTCTAAATATAGATATTGACTTAATGTGTTTTTTGGATTGACTTGGCCTTAATAAAGTTTTATAATGGAATACAATAGATATGTGTGTTTGTCCCCAATTTGGGGCTTCTTTCTACAGTTGTAAGTTTACCTTTATTTAGATAGAGGATTTATATATATGATTATTTTGAGTTATTATCTTTATATAATTTTTCATTTTATGTTAGGATTTATGGTCTTGTATGATCTAAATCATAAAGATACAATGGAGATATAGCAATTGACTGTTTGAATATTGAAAATAAACTCACCAGGATGATATATAGAATTAGCATCATCCCAAACGTGGGATTGCACACTAATTTTTTAAGTTATAATTCACAATCTTTTTTGTACTTAAAAGAATTGCACAAAGATATTAAACAAGTTTTGAAAGTTTTTTTCCTCATAAGGAACATTAATGAGATGTGATATACTAAAGATCAACTGATGATAGTGATCGATTAACTGTGATGTCCTCCTTTCACTAATTATATAAAGTTGTATATGAAAAAAAAAAAAAAATCATTTTTTTGATTTATATGAGGCACCTAAGCACTTTATAATAAGTCTTTTGACTTATAATATTTTGAGGTAATATTATAATTGGATAAATATAAGGATTAATGTTATTATTATTTATATTATTATTACTATTTAACAATATCACAATAGGAGGATGATACTCTACATACATTAGTTGTGAATAATGGCCAATTGCAAATGTACATGCCTAATAATCTTTTCATTAGCAGAGTGGGGGTTTATTCTCCCTTAGTTCCAGGTGATCTTTAAACAACTCGATCACGTTTGGTTGCTATGGGGACGCCGTGTGTGGAACGCATGTGGAACGCGGAAGTAATTGTGACGTCACTTCCGGTTTCGGCGAAATGGGATTACCCGCGGTATTTGCCGAAAAAAAGCGCAAATTATATTATTGCTGAACCCTGACCTGTGGATGTCTTTTTGGTGGAACAAGGATCCAGAGGTGACAAGCAATATCAGCTAACCCCCCATCATTCTAGGGGAGGCACCCTAAGAGCGCTTTTATCATCTACATCTTGTGAGTGCAAAAGATTGTTGCGCATATAATATTGTATCTTTAACAATATCACACTATGTTCTGTTTTATATTCCTTCTGTAGATTTACACAGCCATATCCCGAATCTTCTTTTTTGGTTTACACCAACAATATGGAGCTCCTAGAAAAGAGAGACATTGTGATAGAACAGAGGGATTCTGGTAAAAATAGGGACTGCCCCTTGTATATTGGGTCACTTGGGAAGTATGATAATGTAAATTTCCTGTCTTTTGCTACAGACACCTGCAGGGCATGATAAATTATTATAAACACTGTAATTTCCTCCGATTCCCAGTTTAGTAAATACATTCCAAAGGCATAATACATGTTATGCCAAAAAAGATGAAATGGTAGATTTGGAGCATTTTTCCAGTTTGGCTGACAAACAAACTGCTTTCCAATCCTCTACAATCACTCGTTATTGAATAAGGTATCTCACTTAATCAGTTTATTTAATCTGTGCGGTATTATGTGTTTTACTCAAAGGGTCTTGGCCTTGGTTTCCATCATGATCGTATCACATGCAGGTTTAAATTGATTAAATGTCTCATGTTTTGCATCTTTTGACATATAAAATGTTATAATAGTGAATTCAAATGTAATCTAAATTATCCTCTAATTCATGTTTTGTCACAGCTTGGCCTTTTCTGCCTAAATGTTGCAGTTCACTACCCACGGTAGTGGTTATGATACAATAAGTGTCCTGGCATTGCCTCACTGTAAGATGTCAAAATATATTCATCACAGGGGGCGGAGCTTAACCGCGAGCGACAGCAGTCGCCATTTAACTGCGCTCTGTCTGTCGAGACGATAAAAGCCTTATTTTAGAGGGCTAAACCCCTCTCCCAACCTGCAAACGGCTCACACTCCACGGAGTAAGCACCCCAGAGGCGACCTTTGCCGTTCGTGCTTCCGGCGAGAGTAAGAAGGCAGAAGCGCAGGCCTGGGGCCTACAAGCCCACTCAGAGCCTGAATGGTTGGACCTGCTAGACAGCTTGGAACCTCACGGGGACCCAGAGGCTGAATCCTATCCAGACGCTTACCTAACACCCCTGGCACAGATGAGCAGACGGTCCCAGAAGAAGCCCCCATCAGGGTCCAGAGACATATGGTCATTATTGCAGCGACACCAGCCAGCCAAAATGGTTGACAAGGCGGATCATGGAACTGCAATGACACCAGCAGAGCCTGTACAACTGGACCCACCACCTGGCAAGTACCTGGCACAAGTGAGGGCCCAGCTGGGTCTGCACCAGTCACACAGCAGGACTTCCGCAACTTGGTTCAGGAGATCAAGACTCTCCTAGCTGCTGACGTGGCAGTTGTCAAAGCAGACATACAGGCAGTTGACAAAAGGGTGAAGGCCTCAGAAGAGGACATAGCTGAAATGGAACGGGGACTCAGTCCAAGACTCAGTCCTAGCAATGCAAGTTCACCAACCAGCTCTGTCACTCCATTATATATCACTGGACAACAGGTCACGGCGCAACCACCTGAAGATCAGAGGGGTACCTGACACAATCACACCTGACGAACTCCCTCACTATATGAGATGACTTGTGGCCTCCATACTACTCCCAAATCACACCAAGAAATTTACCATAGATGGTGTCTACCGACTACCAGCATGAGATGACTTGTGGCCTCCATACTACTCCCAAATCACACCAAGAAATTTACCATAGATGGTGTCTACCGACTACCAGCATCAGCCAGAGCTACTTCTAATGTGCTACGGGATGTGATCATCAGATGTTCCACATCACAGGATAAAAGACTCCTGATGTCCAATGGAGAAGATCCCTGAATACAGTAACAAGCCACCTGAGAACAGCCAGTGTGGAATACCAATGGAGATCACCCAGGTTCCTAGTGGCCACTCACAATGGGACTGTACATAAAATCTTCTCACTAGCCGAGGCACCTACCTTCTTTAAAGCTCTGGGTATTCCGACCCCGAAGATCCCTCCAGACGGACACCCCGAATCGAATAGACAGAACGCTAGAATTGCTGCACCTTCTACATCAAAGGATCATCCAACCCTACATCCAGAAACCTGACTACACAGAGGGACTTAACGCCATCCTGCAGCTCGAACTCTTATGTTATGTCATATTTGTTTTTGTTAATCTTTTTACAATTTTTCTTATAAGTTTAATTGGTTGACACATAAACAGAGTGCGCTCACCTTAAGAACGCGCTCCAGCATCCAAATGATAGTCCAAACACTAAGAGGTGATACCACACACATATTACCACTCAAACTAACTTCCCCCCATCTCATCCCCTCTCTACCACTTTGGTTAGGGGCACACCTGGAAGATGGCCTGACACTTTCACCCTTATTGGGATACACTTCTGTCCCTAGCCACCATAGGGTCGATCTCCCTATGCATTTAGTACCCTCTTGAATAAATGTCGATGTTTAAGTTACTACTGCTGCAACACATACCTCTATCCTGTCAAATGAAGACGCATGTTTCTCATCTTATGTGCAAACCCTCCTCTTTATTTCTGCATCCCACTGTGCATTGATATGACAACAAAAACATTTCAATAAAAAGAGATTGACAAAAAAAATAGTTTTATCACGTTTTGACAACTTACTGCTGCTATTTTCTGGGGAATTATTTTATTTTATTGTTTATGTATGTTTTATTGAACAATTGGTCCCTGAAGTAGTCCAACAATCAGTGGAACGCGTAGGACCGCACTATTTTATTTATCTTATTTATATTTTTATTCATATATTGGAGTTTTTGGATACCCGAGTCCTGCTTATCATTGCTGCTGTGGAGACAGCAGCCAGGAGTGGAGGTGTAACTGGACACCCCCCCATACATCTAAGGGGGGGCACCCAAAAGCCATATATTCTGTAAGTGTATTTCTGACAGTGCAGTTTGTCTTATTCTATACTGTATTACACTATGTTGGGATTCTTTTTGCAGTTCCACAGGTGCATCCCCTACATATTTTGTATCTCTGTTTGACAAGCTACCTGGGTCCCTCCAAGCATCTGTTGCATATGGTCATCTCGAACAGGAGAAACCGGATTGCTCTACAGTGCAAAGCGAGCCAAAGCAGGACTGCGCTCATTAGCACTTAGAGCACTTAGCTGACATCTCAGCCAATAATCGTGGTCCTGCTTTGATGTAAGTATTGTCAAATGACTTCCTCTCCTGTGGAAGACCGGATGGAGCATGGGAATCTGGCAGGACTCCTGTAAGTTGCCAAATCATGCTAAGATAGACACCAGAGCAGTACCGGCACTATAGCGGGCTGTAGTTGTTATGGTTCATGTTCCTTTAATTACACATTTTTGATGAAGAAAAGTTAAAATGTTAGGTCAGTCTTGTCTGAAAACCTAGCTTATTCAGAGAATGTAAGCTTAAACGTCATTTTAAATTTTATTAAAATTTCTGACAATTCATACATTTAGTGAAAAACTCTGACTAGTATGTTTGTTAGAAATGCTCAATAAAAGGGGCAAATAACAAAAATGTGACATTTCATAATACAATCAGTCTAATACACTAAGCGACTAAATTAAATAAAAAATCCATGAATTTGCCACAACATTTTTAATAAGGTATTTAATTAAATTAAAAAAAATAGGACCGTATTCTTAGCGGTTTAACCTACTACTCAATGGTCCTTCCTCTTACTAATGTGTGGCAGATGAGGGAAGAGTTAGTCCCATTAAATCAGGAAATATATTTAATTTATATATAGTGTAGCAGGTGGATCAGCATATTTATTTTTTGGAAAATCTTTTTATTGAGGAGTATGCATATTCATCAACAGTAACAAAGCAAGACACGCAGGTCTATGTATGTAAGTAAAACAATACAAACCGAGCATAAGTATGTTATAACTAAGTTGTCACTATCAAATTGGTCGTGATAGAGATTATACTTGCCAATAGGGTAACTAAACCCATCCGCCCGTTAGTTTAAATTCAGCAGGGTATCATAAATGAACATGGGAGACCTTATATACCAAGCTACACCTCTTGTTATATTCATGATTGGCGAGTACTGCACATAGAAAAAGTATTTCCGGAGTTACTTCTGCCGTGCATATCCCGGTATATGAAGTTGTTGTAGAAAACGCCTATATATATTTCCCATCTCTCAGATGAGGCATTTGTTATGAAGCCGGTTAGCATTAATGATACCTGTGCTTAACTCTAAGTACGGTGAGTGTAGCAACACGCTACGTGATGGGTACCCCGATCACTAGGCCAACGTGGAATCTGACCTATCGATTTTCCCATCGACCGTAACTCTAGGCTGAGCTCGTGCGGCGACCATGTGCCCCTGTATCTGAGAAAAGGCGCTTGGGGCTTCCCCCTCCTGTGTATCATGAGAGAAGTGTCCAAGTGCTGTGTGATGAGGGTGCTACTACTGTGCAGGGGTGAAAGGAGTCACGAGTCTATCTGGGGTGTTCGTCATGTAACTCGTCAGATGTCCATCTCACCTGATATCCAAGTGCCTGCTATCTACAATGAAATGTCCTTAATCATGTTACATCAGCTGGTGTAATGTCCAGGTCTCCTTGTGACTCTCCCGGTGTAAGGTGGGATCAGCATATTTAATGCAAATTTAATTTCTCCTAAATTGGTTTATTTACTGTTAATATTTATCACTTTATTTTGTTTTGTTTATTTTTTTTTTGAGGTCTTGTATCCAGGAATAGACAGTTGTTGCCAAAAAAGAATGATTCTCTTAAGGTTAGCAGTAGTTGGAGTCAAGGCCAATCGGTGCAATAATATTCTTGAAATGCCAGATATAACACTTGTATTCAGATAAGAAATGCAGAAACTGCAGCAAATTGCACTCTAATACTTTGTTGTAAAACATACTCCACTCAAAGTTGGCTGGCAATAACCCTGTAACACCTTGTTACTACCCCCAGCTGATCCTATTCTATAACATATGCAGGAAGTTCAGTGTTCCAGGATGGAGGAATGGGTCTGCTTCTTAACATTTTATATAATTGTTATTTATATTAGGGAATACAATCAAACGGATTTAAAAAAAAAATAACATTTTAATTTTGTTGCCAAAATAGATAACTTTTTTAAATCTTACATTCCAAACCCTTACACAGCATTTAATGACTCAAACTGCCCTTAGCCAATGTTTTTTTCCAATTATTCATGATGGGCTGCCCTGGTTGAAAGCCAGAAGCTGCAGTTATAAAACAGGGGACCTCCTTACCCCATAACCTTATAGCTGCAGTTATAATACACTGTGTGCGGGGAGACAGGGGACCTCTTTACACCATAACCTTATAGCTGCAGTTATAATACACTGTGTGCAGGGAGACAGGTGATCTCTTAAACACCATAACTTTTTAGCTGCAGTTATAATACACTGTGTGCAGGGAGACAGGGGACCTCCTTACACCATAACCTTATAGCTGCAGTTATAATACACTGTGTGCGGGGAGACAGGGGACCTCCTTACACAACAACCTTATAGCTGCAGTTATAATACACTGTGTGCGGGGAGACAGGGGACCTCCTTACACAACAACCTTATAGCTGCAGTTATAATACACTGTGTGCGGGGAGACAGGGGACCTCTTTACACCATAACCTTATAGCTGCAGTTATAATACACTGTGTGCAGGGAGACAGGTGATCTCTTAAACACCATAACTTTTTAGCTGCAGTTATAATACACTGTGTGCAGGGAGACAGGGGACCTCCTTACACCATAACCTTATAGCTGCAGTTATAATACACTGTGTGCGGGGAGACAGGGGACCTCCTTACACCATAACCTTATAGCTGCAGTTATAATACACTGTGTGCGGGGAGACAGGGGACCTCCTTACACCATAACCTTATAGCTGCAGTTATAATACACTGTGTGCGGGGAGACAGGGGACCTCCTTACACTATAACCTTATCGCTGCAATTATAATACACTGTGTGCAGGGAGACAGGGGACCTCCTTACACAATAACCTTATAGTTGCAGTTATAATACACTGTGTGCGGGGAGACAGGGGATCTCCTTACACCATAACCTATAGCTGCAGTTATAACACGCTGTGTGTGGGGAGACAGGGAACCTCTTCACACCATAACCTTTTAGCTGCAGTTATAATACACTGTGTGCAGGGAGACAGGGGACCTCCTTACACCATAACCTTATAGCTGCAGTTATAATACACTGTGTGCAGGGAGACAGGGGACCTCCTTACACCATAACCTTATAGCTGCAGTTATAATACACTGTGTGCAGGGAGACAGGGGGCCTCCTTACACCATAACATTATAGCTGCAGTTATAATACACTGTGTGTGGGGAGACAGGGTATCTCCTTACTCCATAACCTTTTAGCTGCAGTTATAATACACTGTGTGCGGGGAGACAGGGACCTCCTTACACCATAACCTTATAGCTGTAGTTATAATACACTGTGTGCGGGGAGACAGGGGACCTCCTTACACAACAACCTTATAGCTACAGATATAATACACAGTGTGCAGGGAGACAGGGGACCTCCTTACACCATAACCTTATAGCTGCAGTTATAATACACTGTGTGCGGGGAGACAGGCTACCTCCTTACACCATAACCTTATAGCTGCAGTTATAATACACAGTGTGCAGGAAGACAGTGAACATCCTCACACCATTACCTTATAGCTGCAGTTATAATACACTGTGTGCAGGGAGACAGGGAACATCCTCACACCATAACCTTATAGCTGCAGTCTGAGTCTGCACAACTAGTTCCATGAATATCTCTGCAGAACCAAGCCATTTCCATACACTGTCTGTCACCACAAACTCTTTATACCAGAATATTTATAGCCACACCATCCGTGACAAGCACTGTAAGAGATAAGGCGTGAACTGTGACTTACGGCCATAAACTGTCCCCATCCACCTGGGAGCTCCTTTTGGTAATGACACTATAACTGGATGAGAACCTCCGGTGACATTGTGTCAGTAACAGCCGTGGGAGGAGGGATCCAGATGCAGAGTATAGTGTTTGTATATCTATGTGTTAAAGGGACACTATAGGCTCTCAGATCACTTCCTCTCATTGAGGTAGTCTGGTTCAGTGACCCTGCAATGTAAAACGTTGTTTCACACAGAATGCAATGTTTATATTGCTCTGTATTCTAGTGGCTGTCTTGCAAGCCTTGCATGAGGAAGTCCAGCGTGTTTAAAATCCCCAAAGGAAAGTACTGATTCAATAATTCCCTATAGGGAAGGTCTAATGTGCGTGCCATCCGCCGCATATGCACATTAGGTTCCTCCATCAATGTTCTAGCGAAAGATTATGGACACAATTCCTTGTAAATAAATATATATTTGGGAATAGCTTAATTAACTCTTAAAGAAAGATTTTTTTTATCAAAATGTAACAGTTTAGGAAATATTGAATCAATATGGCTTTTGATTAAATTTGTGTGAAATAATATATTTAAAGGCTCAAACTAAATGTATTGCTTTATTTTTCTACTATATTCCCTCCTGTCCTCCACACCCATACAGAAACATAGAATGTGACGGCAGATAAGAACCATCCAGCCCATCTAGTCTGCCCAATTTTTTAAAATACTTTCATTAATCCCTGGCCTTATCTTATAGTTAGGATAGATATACCACATGTGACAGAAACACCTTATTGGGAAAAAGGAGAGAATAAGGGTAAAAATATATATACTGTTACCCTAATATAGTGTTTGCTTGTAGACAAGGGCTCCTCCTAGCCCTCAGAAACAGAATTCAAAGTACCAACACACAGGTAGCTACAATGCAAAAAAAGAGAGAACGATTGTCTCTCCTATATGCTGGAAATCCGAATACGAGGATATTCTTCATATTATTTGATATTTTTCCATTTTTATTATGTTTTAGATACGGCAATATTGCCCTGTGTTTTTCTCTTTTTTTTTGCTTTGTAGCTACCTGTGTGTTGGTACTTTATCTTATAGTTAGGATAGCCTTATGCCTATCCCACGCATGCTTAAACTCCTTTACTGTATTAACCTCTACCACTTCAGCTGGAAGGCTATTCCATGCATCCACTACCCTCTCAGTAAAGTAATACTTCCTGATATTCTTTTTAAACCTTTGTCCCTCTAATTTAAGACTATGTCCTCTTGTTGTGGTAGTCTCCTCCTTTACTGTGGTTACATATTAATACTATTTGTTCTCATGTGGATAGTAATGACTATTGTTTGCCTAATGTACATCCTACATAATCCACAGATCTGTTTTACAATTGGCTTTCATGTACGGCCCCAGCTGTCACTATTCTTCTTTCAACCATTCAGTAAAAATCCATAGAATAATAGTGAAATGTCCGATTAAAAATATAAACCCAGCCGGTGTGGGAGCCTGGAGTGTCCCTTTAATAATATAAACCGACGCGGTGTGTAAGCCTGAAGTGTCCCTTTAATGATATAAACCCACCCGGTGTGGGAGCCTGGAGTGTCCCTTTAATGATATAAACCCACCCGGTGTGGGAACCTGGAGTGTCCCTTTCATAATATAAACCCAGCTGGTGTGGGAGCCTGGAGTGCCCCTTTAATGATATAAACCCACCCGGTGTAGAAGCCTGAAGTGTCCCTTTAATGATATAAACCCACCCGGTGTGGGAGCCTGGAGTATCCCTTTAATTATATAAACGCACCCGGTGTGGGAGCCTGGAGTGTCCCTTTAATGATATAAACCAACCCGGTGTAGAAGCCTGAAGGGTCCCTTTAATAATATAAAGCCACGCGGTGTGTAAGCCTAGAGTGTCCCTTTAATAATATAAACCCACGCGGTGTGTAAGCCTGGAGTGTCCCTTTAATGATATAAACCCAGCTGGCGTGGGAGCCTGGAGTGTCCCTTTAATAATATAAACCCACGTGGTGTGTAAGCCTGAAGTGTCCCTTTAATGATATAAACCCACCCGGTGTGGGAGCCTGGAGTGTCCCTTTAATGATATAAACCCACCCACTGTGGGAGCCTGGAGTGTCCCTTTCATAATATAAACCCAGCTGATGTGGGAGCCTGGAGTGTCCCTTTAATGATATAAACCCACCCGGTGTGGGAACCTGAAGTATCCCTTTCATAATATAAACCCAGCTGGTGTGGGAGCCTGGAGTGTCCCTTTAATGATATAAACCCACCCGGTGTAGAAGCCTGAAGTGTCCCTTTAATGATATAAACCCACCCGGTGTGGAAGCCTGGAGTATCCCTTTAATTATATAAACCCACCCGGTGTGGGAGCCTGGAGTGTCCCTTTAATGATATAAACCCACCCGGTGTAGAAGCCTGAAGGGTCCCTTTAATAATATAAACCCACGCGGTGTGTTAGCCTGGAATGATAGAAACCCAGCCGGCGTGGGAGCCTGGAGTGTCCCTTTAATGATATAAACCCAGCCGGTGTGGGAGCCTGGAGTGTCCCTTTTTCCGAATGCTTTCTGAATAAGCAAAACTCAGTTAAAATAACCAAATGTTAAACATTTGCAATTCTCTGATGTACTAAAGGCCAATCTTATTGAATCTCAGTTATTTCAAGTGGGTTGTTTTAGAGCACATCTCAATCAGCACATCTGGCTTTTGCTTCAAACACTCCAAGCACCATTGCTAGTACAGTTGGTTGTAGTGGTGATGGTGCCATGAGCTCAGTTCTCTCAAGCAGGGGGCGCTCTCCTGCATAGGCCAGGTTTAATTCACAGGAAAGTTATTGTTTCTCTTGCAGGATAGAGCTTGGGCACCTGGGGAAATCAGGCAAGTGGTCAAACTCTTTTATAAAATATTTTAACAAATTGCACTGGGTCGGCGCCAGGGCCGTTCTGGTGCCAAAACCACATTAGTGGTCTGTAGTGGTTATGGTGCATGGAGTGTTCCTATAAGATCAGAAATATATAAAATGTATCAAATACCACCTAACGTACAGCACTGCAGATATGGCAGTATAATAATAGTAAGATTTTTGGGGGTAGTTTGATAAATTGAATGCAAATCCTGTAATTCACACAAAAAAAAATCTCACTACTATTATTATACCGCCATATTCTGCAGAGCTGTACATTAGGTGAACTAACAAACAAGACAAGCTGGACGTACAGGAATAGAAAGTGCTACTCTAAAATAACGCTTTGAATTTCATTAATGGACATAATTGGTGTAATTAACGCACAATGTGAATTTCTACCTTAGTGATCTCTTCTCTATGTAAAGGGCACAGGTATTTGGAGACTAAGGTAAGTGTCAATAATTTGAAGAATATTTGTGGTATGAAAATGATATGGCACCAGGGGACACTTGGACAGCTGAAGTGGTTATGGTTCCTATAGTGCCTATTTAAGGACAGTCATTACAATTCTACATAATTTCACATTGGAAATAGCTTGGAGAGCTACCATGACACAATGTAGCCATCTGGGAGCGGAGTCTTGCAAGCGTCTCAAAACGCAAGGTACCAGCTGTGGCTTCTTGTGAGGTGTATCCGAGGAGGTCGAAGATACAAAGAAAATTTCCTCTGAAAGAAAGCCTTGCATGATTAATTGCAAAGTTAATTATCCCTCATCCTCCTCCAGAGGTTTAAAACAATTAGAAAGCTCTAACCATTGGCACAAGGTGTTTAATAGTGGCACAGACTTTAAAGGGGATTTGTCATCCCAAATCTTTTTTTAGTTTGATCACTTTTCAGTTACATTATTTGCATTAATTAGCTGCTTAATTAACGTTATAATAGAATGGTTTGGCAGTTTACCTCTTAGAATTTAGTGTTTCCCAGAATCCACCTGGGAGCAATGTGTTCTAAATCTACTATTGTAATATTTCATAAAGAATTCAGCAACTTCAAGGGCAGCGCAATCTTTTAAACTGTTAATAGATATTATTATAATTTATAAACCGCCAACAGCTTCAGCAGCACAGAACAACAATTAACAATATGTACATTAACACAAGTCTGACAAGTTCAGAAGGGGTGAGGGCCCTATTCCAACAATCTCGCAGGTTGTGATGTTTTTATATATATATATCCACAGCAGTGTTCTGTCCTCGCTGTACTGACTGGGCATTATATAACAGCCCATTCAACTGTCAGCCATTTCATATTGGGGCTCGCACCTAGCTTCACACAGCGCTGAGTGCTCACTCCTAGCTTCACACAGCGCTGAGTGCTCACTCCTAGCTTCACACAGCGCTGAGTGCTCACTCCTAGCTTCACACAGCGCTGAGTGCTCACACCTAGCTTCACACAGCGCTGAGTGCTCACTCCTATCTTCACACAGCGCTGAGGGCTCACTCCTAGCTTCACACAGCGCTGAGTGCTGACGCCTAGCTTCACACAGCGCTGAGTGCTCACTCCTAGCTTCACACAGCGCTGAGTGCTCACTCCTAGCTTCACACAGCGCTGAGTGCTCCCACCTAGCTTCACACAGCGCTGAGTGCTCACACCTAGCTTCACACAATGCTGAGTGCTCACACCTAGCTTCACACAGTGCTGAGTGCTCACTCCTAGCTTCACACAGCGCTGAGTTCTAACACTAATCCTCACTAAGTGGAAATCCTTCACACTTAGCATCACATCACACCCTGAGGACCTTAAAGTGGAGGAAACCAGTATAGATCCCTAACATTGGGAACGTTTGGCAGATTATCCTCTTATGAAATGGCCTTGCACAGTAGGTCACCACTGCAAACATTCACTGAATTGAAGAGCTTAGATAAATTGTGATTTCAGTCTCTCCTACTAGTACACAAGGGATTCGTTTAGAAGAAAAGGCTCTGATGAAATATGTAAATAAATAGCAATTAATACAGTCAGTTAAATTATCTCGGAAGACTCGGGGGAATGGTGTGTACCTGCCTCCACCAGCCAGCTGAGGCGTATGTCCTTATATGGAAAATACAGGCGATACAGCAAGTGAGGAAAGTACAGGACAAAGGTTGGTCTCTCTGTCAGGAGAGACTCTGTACAGGTACAGGTGCACTCTGCAGGTCTGCTCTCCTCTCCTGACAGCTGGCCACACCTGACGCACAGGTAAGGTCTCTCCATTCAACTCTCCCCTTCTCACCTGTGCAGGTGTACCTGGCTTTTATAAACAGCAGATATTCTGGGCAACACATAACCATATCAGTTTTAGATAAACTCTGGTCTTTGCACATGAAATCTGCCTCATTCCATGTATATCCCTATCCCCACTGTTCCATCCATTAGTAGTTGTACCATTGCCATGTTTTTCACTTGCTTATCCCTAAAATCCCTGTGCTAGCATCGCCCGCAGATCTCCTAGCTTCACACAATGCTGAGTCCTCGCACCTAGCTTGTGTAAAGAGTTGTGGGATATATTGACAATATGTAAATGTTTTCTTGAATGATGTTTAACGTTTAATTGGAACATGTATAAATTAGAAACTTTCAATATGGCCACCTGCAAATCATGACTCAACACAGCCTACTTCTTCTGCACTGGCATAGTCCCTCTCCTCTGTCTGCACCAACATGCCTCTCCACATCCTCTGTCTGCACCAACACAGCCTCTCTTCATCCTCTGTCTGCAGCGACACGGACCGTCTCACTATTCTCTGTCTGCACCAACACAGCCTCTCACCATCCTCTTTCTGCACTGACACGGTCCCTCTCACCATCCTCTGTCTGCACCGACACAGTCCTTCTCCCCATCCTCTGTCTGCACTGACACAGATTCTCTCACCATCCTCTGTCTGCACCGACATGGTCCTTCTCCCCATCCTCTGTCTGCACTGACACAGACTCTCTCACCATTCTCTGTCTGCACCGACACGGTCCCTTTCATCAACCTCTGTCTGCACTGACACAATCACTCTCACCATCCACTCTATGCACCGACACAGTCCCTCTCACCAACCTCCGTCTGCACCGACACAGTCCCTCTCACCAACCTCTGTCTGCACTGACACACTCTCCATCCGCTGTCTGCACTGACACAGACACTCTCTCCATCCTCTGTCTGCACCGACACGGACCCTCTTACCAACCTCTGTCTGCACCGACACGGTCCCTCTCACCATCCTCTGTCTGCACCGACACAGTCCCTCTCACCATCCTCTGTCTGCCACGACACGGATCCTCTTACCAACCTCTGTCTGCACCAACACGGACCCTCTTACCATCCTCTGTCTGCACCGACACGGTCCCTCTTACCATCCTCTGTCTGCACCAACACGGACCCTCTTACCATCCTCTGTCTGCACCGACACGGTCCCTCTTACCAACCTCTGTCTGCACTGACACAGACACTCTCTCCGTCCTCTGTTTGCACCGACATTAACCCATTGAGGAGACGAAGCTTAGTTCCATTAATTTGTTATTGTTGTACAATTCACTGCTTGTGCCATTAAATAATTCAGACAGATGGGCAGGAGAGCCCTGTCACCCTCCAGTGACAAGGAACACTGATTCATGCTTAAAGCTAAGCATTATGATAAATGCAGTCAAGGCAGATAGTTTGTCTTTAGTCGTCTGTCCCTGTGGATTAATCAGTTGCACCCGAGAGTGCTTTCTTTCTCTTACATATTCTGTTCATGTGCTGCTTACACACCTACTTTAGAGTCATACAGAATGTATTCTAGAGATGTATCTTCAATGTGTAAACAGTATCTATGAAACAGTAGACAATGTTTAATGCACCATTTTCAATCTGGGCCGGTTATATGATTTTAAGACCCATTTAATGCTTATAGATATGGTGATGTCACCACACTCAGCTAATCTGAGCTAAGGAGCAGATCCCCCATTTCTCCAGAGCTCCACTCCAGTAGGGAACCACACTCCCTTAATACCCATAGAACAAGGATGGGGCAAGCTCACAGACGTAGACAGCAAGGGGACTTTATTTGTGCACACAGTCACCACAAATACAATGTTTGGCCCCTTTGGGTTTAGTCTTCTAAGGCTTTTACAGCTAAAGGTACAATTAATATTTATGAGGACAAATGGTGGGATTGTAAATATTGTGGCCAAAAAGTTCTTCTACTGATATGAGGATTCCCGTAGATTACCAGAACATAAAAATGGACCTTAATTGGCTCCCGCTGGCACCCCCTCCTGGTAACACATTGATTTAGAAAACATTTTGGGGTTCTTGTCTCCTTTTGTTTAATTTAATAATCTCCATTCTCCACTAGTAACTATGTTGCAAAATTCTTGCTTTTACCAATAATCAGAAACAATGTTTTAACAAGTTGCGGCCAAGTTGTTCAACCTTTTCCTTTTTGTTTTGACCGTCCAAGCTATATGCCCAACGTCGAGACCTACAGTCCAGGGCTGATTAGAATGCCTGTACATGTGCTTATTGAAGCCTTTGATGTCCTGCTTCGTAGAGGACACATCTGCAATGCGCTGGGCGTAGCCATGAGTGCGAACTCTCAAGTCTCCGCCATAGCCTTGGTTTTTATATTCCTGAGCTCGGTATGAGTTGTGTGATCACAAAATGTAAAAATGTGGCCTTCGTGGCCCATATGGCGGTTGGTTATTGCGCATTACCCAAGGGTGTTAAATGGGGTGGGATAAAGGGTATAAAGCAATAGGGAAACATTTTTGGGGGTGTGGGGGAGAGGGAGTGGGGAGGGGGGAGGTAGAATGGCTGCCAGTAAGTATGTTGTGATCTGTGGTTCACAGCAATGGATTAACAAGCTATATAAATTTATGCATTTACAGTACTCGGAGCAAAGGTCATCATATATCATAATGTGGTTAATCAGTATATACACAGCCAAGATCATTAACATTTATCAGGCTCAGAGTAACTCTGTAATCAGGAAACATCCAGACACATACAATGCATAGATACACATTCTAAATAATAACTCACAATAATTTAAAACAAACCCGCATACAATACAGTTCTGTTATTACAGGGAGATTACACTAAGAAAATCAATAATGCAATATTTAGTAAATTAAACTTTATCTACATCAGTCATGCTGCAGTATAGAATTCCATAAATCGATCTTTTTCTGTTTTTATTTGCTGTACTGGTGGAGACTAACTGAGGGTATTCTCTCCAGCATTTTCGCCTTGATAAATTTGCCCCCAGTAGTTGCATCAAAATTTGTTTATGCAGCAAAACATAGAACGTATGTTATGGGCATTTGGTGTAGCTGTGCATAAATCCTTCTGTCTCCTGATTCCTGCACCTGTCAGCCACTCAGCTATATTATAAAGATATTAACCTTTATAGGCTGCAGTGTTTGCTCAGCAACAGGACCGCTTTAGCTAGTTGCTGAAGTGGTTGCATGCCAGATGATGTAGTCCAGTGATGGCTATCCTTGACACCATAAATTGTTTCTGGACTATATTTCACATGATGCTCAGCTAGCTTTTAGACTCTAAAGGGTAGGGTCGCATTCAGTCACAACAATTCAACACAGGGTGCTACTGAGCATGGGTCAGCAAAAAAAACCCAAGGAATATGTACAAATAGAAAAATCCCAGGCACTCACTGCGATTGTTTCCAGGCAGATTTATTTATCAAACTTAAATTTTTCTATTTCGAAAACCTTGCTGAGCATCATGGGAAATGTAGTCCAGAAACAATTTGTGGAATCAAGGTTAGCCATCACTGATGTAGTCCATTCTCTATGCTGCCATCTGCTGGCAGTAACCTGAAAAGTATTTTTAATATTGCCATTTTGCACCCCCCTCCCCCCCCTTACAGATCTCAGATGTGAGTAACAATTTGTGGTTTGCACCTCTCTAGCTCTAAACCTGTGTTGTTAAAGAAGCACTTGTTTTTTTTTTCTATAATTTTGTTTATTAAGTGCAGTGTAAAATGAAATGTATTATTTGTGGCTTTTGGCTGTCCAACTCCTCAAAATGCCAGTGTCAAGGTCTTTATATAACTAATATGATGTTATTACTATTATTAAATCTCAGTTTTATTCAAAATGCAGCTTTGGTTTTGTTTAAACTGTCTGAGGTGTGAAAGAAATTCAGAAAGTCATTTGTTGAACGCTGCATTTAAAAAAGTGAATATATTTAATTGTATCAATATTTCCAAATAACAATAATAATACTAATACTAATAATAATAATAAAGTATTTAACTAGGAAAGGTACTGTCAGATTACTCAAGCACGTCAATCATTATTCCACATTTTCAAATTAAGACGGTTTTGATGAAACTGGTGGAATTTAAATGACTTGACGTTCTGACCCTGTAGGAGTCTTTGTCAAATAATTTTCAGAATCTGACAGTTCATTGCTCTATAAACTGTTCCACAATTAACTAAGATTATATGAAATAATCAAGCCAATTTATAGGAAGGTCGCTTTAGAATTAGAATCTAGAAGTGTTTCTTGGGGAGCGGTAAAAAGATGCTATGACAAGCCAACTCTTACGGCCTTCAACCAATAAAATCCTCATTCAGCCATTCATTTAAAAAAATGTTTAGAAAACAAAAATGGAAAAAAAAGAAATTATGATTTAACATAAATGATTTTTTTCTTTAATGATTAACCATTTTTATTACATTTTGTGTTTGACCGTGAATTTAGAGAATTTGGCTGCCCGGGGTAATTTGTATTGTATTATAAGAGATTTCTCAGATCCGTGCTAAATAATTCTGCCAACCTTATAAAGGACCTTTAAACAACAGTTTATTTCAGATGTTCTTTGCTTTTGAGGTTTCTGAAGAAATTTGATAAATGTTTAAAGATCCATATAATTTCTTGCCACGTGGAATTTGCACGTATTGTCCAATATAAAGCAGACAAGGGGTTGTGCCCACTCATAATGCACAGTGATTCCTACTCCAATAAGAAACACCAGGGATTCACATTTTGATTTGATTTCCTTTGAGAACAGAATTGGGAAATGACCAGATCCCGGGTATGGGGTTGGCAAGCTCTGGCACAATGTATCCGAGAGTTGACTGGCTGCATGAAATACACAATAAATATTAACCTTGGTTTTTTATATTAATATCTATTTTTGTTATGTGTTTTGCGTGTGCAGCTGTAAGTAATATCTATCCAGTGTAGGTCAAGACATGAATTAAAGTCTGACTCCCAGCAGCCTGCTGTAGGGACTATGATACCGGAGTACCCTAACCAATTCCCAAGTATTGTGTAAACTGTTTAGCAATGATTTGTCCTTTTATCTGGGTCTCACCCGGGCTACGAGGCTCCGGTCCCCTCGGTGGCTTCTGCAGTGGCTTCTGGAAGTCAGTCCAGTTGCTATTTGTTGGCTGAGAGCATCAGCTGACCGCTTTCAGACAATGTATGATACACTGTGCATGGAGATTTTTACAAAATTGACATTAGCCTGCCCTAATAACACTACTGAAGCATGAGAAGTGTTAAATTCAGTATAAACAGCATTTGAAAGTCATCAATCAAATTACACAAATGTGATCGTTAATTGAAATTATAACTAGGAAGAGAAGCCCACAATGATAACTAGTACCTACTTATATTTTACAAAACATTGTATACAGGACACGTTACAAAAAAAACCTAAACAGAATAAAGAGACGTACATTTTATTATACGAAATAAAACGGGAAAAACAATAAGAGTTCAACCGATACACGATGCAGTGCTTTCATATTTATTTATTTTTTAACCAAGTTATTAAATATAATATGGACACACTTTTCACAATTCTCTTACAACATTTGCATACTTTAGGGGGCCACGCAATGTAGAAAACATGCTAATCATCTGATGCTCTCAAACCTTCTATGCAGCACAAAACATGTGAGTAAATGAATGCTTCTATTTTCACAGATGGGGAACAATAGTGCCCCTCTCCACAGTAAAGGACTGTTTTTCTATATACCGAACGTTCTAACAAAATCTAAATTTCCCCAAGAGAAATAATTGCTTTCGTTAAGTGGATTGTTTACAAATTCCTAGAATTGTTTCTTTTGGGCTTTTTGAATAAACACTGAAAGGCCGCCAATTCTTTCGTAAGTGTTTCTAAGCTTTAGTTCTGAGGCTTATTCAATAAAAGTGAGTCACATCATGAATAGATAACAGCAACATTTATTATCAAATTAGCAGCGATTATTTCCATTTCAATGATTTTGGCCCATATTTTGCACGTGTTTATCTTCCAATTACTGTCAAGTGAACAGACCACTGACTTGCGAAAAACATTTTTTACTTATTAGAAAATCTGCTCATTCATTTCATGGAAGAAAAAATAATGACTTGCTATTCAATATAACAGGCTGACTATCTAGATTGTATCAACTTCAGAAACCTTTTCTGATTGGCTCTTAAAGTTGGACAATTCCAATCAGATGTTCCTAATGTTTCTACTGTATCTTGAAAAAAACAAATTAGCCAGCAGTGGGCAAAGAATCCTGCATTATTAAACACAAATCAGTAAAGTAAAAAAAACAACAACTAAATATTGGGGTCCCTAAGAGGTCGGCTAAATCTTCATGCATGGAAGATTGGGGGAGTTGAAAACATGACCCCTGTCACCCTCTCAACAAGTGTGGACCAGTTGCATTCGTCCTTCCATTCCCACTTCATATGAGTTGGGTTATGTGTTACTTGTAACTAGCAGGGGCTGTCTGGACCCCCCTATTCCTTTCACTGCTGTATGTATAATAGCTACAAGACTTGGGCAAAATAATTTGGTTCATTCGAATTGATTTTAAAGTGAGAAGAAGCAATTAATAGAGGGAAGAAAAGGAGCGGCATAAAAATATGATATTTATATATTATATACTTATTACACATATAGAAATTTTGTCTATCTATTTGTCTCTCTATCGGTCGCCTCTCTCTTGATCTATGAATAAAATTAACATTTATTGCCTGTCTGTATCCAATCAATCATTTATTTTTTTAACTCCACGGACAAAACTCATAATCACAACGCAATTGGTTCATTCATCCACGTTTCATTTGTTTCAAGATCTGTTCATATGGCGATTCGGAGTTACAGAATTTGGACGATTCGTCAATCATCCAAAATTCAGACAAACTGCGATATGTTTAATAGAATGCACTAGTTCAATAACAAAAACTGGTGTATATTATAAAATATGTACAGGGGGCTTTTAATGTTGGACACTCTGTTTTATGATCAAACTTATGATAATACGGTCTTGGTCTCAATACTATGATCAATTAATGTCACAGCTCTCCTCTATCAAATAAGATTCCAGATCCTGAGGGCTTCTCACCCTAAACACGATCTCCCTGTCCCCCATTAGACTGCCAAGGGTGCCATTCCTGCACTATTAGTGTTAACTGCTCTCCTGCCACCTCCCAAATTATTAGAATGTCAGGGTAATGGTCAGTCCTTGTGATATAAACGTCCCAATAATACAAAGTTCCTATGCCCCATACTTTTATATGTATTTGGGGTTAAGTGATGTCTTCCATAAATATCTATATAAAAATAAAATTCAGTTAATTTAACCAATCCAGCATTGCCTTAATATAGTGTCTATTGAGCTGCATTAACACACAATGTGTTAATTAAATGAACTACTTCAAATCAGGATCTCATTCTGGATTAATTTTATACTGCTGAATAAATAATGTATGAACCTATATTATCAAAACATTAAAATAAAAATAAACTAAACTCAAGACAGGTTAACAATATTAAACCAATACTGCAGAAATCATTAATAATAATAAAAAAAAATGAACATTGAGGTTGGAAGGGATCCATGTTTTTTCAGTTGCATTATAATTTTACCTTAAAATAATAATAAGTTCCTGCGTTTTCTGTATATCCCCAGGCTTTGCAGCATCTGCATGGAGCTCTCCACAAATCAGGAGTCGACTCCTCCAATCAGGAGGTTTTCATTCTGTTAAACTAAGTTTCAACCACTCCCATTATTCTAACCCAGCGTAGGTTTTTAAGCACATGACATAAATTTTATTAATCACATAAGATTAATCTGATGCTGAAACGTGATTGAAGCAGTTGAAACATGCTGACAGCTTTGTTAAGAAAGCCAAACAGTGTGATTGGCTGATCTTCCAGACATGCATGCACGCAGTCGCATTTCGCAGAGTTTGGCATGGCAGGTAGCGACTTAAGTTTTGTGAATTTAGCCATAGTAGGAAATACTGCTTTCTATTCTGATATCAGCTAAATAGTTATATAGTTATAAGCATTTACCTGCATGGAAACAAGGTCAGAAGATCTCACATCCACAACCCACACAAAGAGACACAAGTTGTTATGGTGCTTGGAAGTCTCTCTTATAACAATATGTTTATTTTATATCCATATAAATAATAAAAAGTCCTCTCAGGAGAAAATAAATACTTTAAATTAAAATAACTCAATTTTCCACTATGAAACAATTTGTTAGTGCGAGTGATATTTCCTTAATATTCTGGTGATACCAAAACACATATTTTATTGCAAGGTCATATTTTGCTACAGTCTACCAAATCAGACACAGGGGGCATGACCTCACGGCAAATGGGGCCAATATGCTGGGTAACCAGACGTAATGGCGGGATGGCTGGAATGGTGAAGAGGTAATTTTCCAAGCTGGATTTTGTGTGGTCTCTCAAACCCACATGGTCAAGGTCAAGATCTGACCTTAATGATTCAGTTTTATTCTACACTCAGTGTTTGTGTTATCTGAAGAATGTCATGTTATCAATCATTGATACAAGTTGCTCTTTGACCTGGTTAATGTCGGGGTGTGACATGTTATGTAATGACTGCTAATTATGTGATTTTTTTGATCCTGTTCCATCTGAAACAGCCTGAGTCTTTTATAGACAGCAATTTTTGGGGACAGAAGAACCAGTACGTGGCTGGCTGCGGCTATGTTGGTCAAACACAAATAACACATTTACCTCTCTCTTTCCTTTCTAAGTTTCTGGGGAACAATAATCTTTTGGATTTGCCAATATGCCTGAACTCACAGAAAAAGTCACAAAATCTCTGAATAAGACCACCCCAGGACTGCAAATATGGAGGATCGAGGTACATAATGTGTATGTCTTGTGTGTTAGCTGTATGGCGCATGGAAGAATCACTTGCTAACACTTGCTTTACACTCTGTAAAATGTGTAGAATGCGTCGTAAACATTTCCGGACTATCTGTTTTCAGAGTATGGATATGGTTCCTGTACCAGAGAAAACCTTTGGGAATTTTTTCGATGGAGATTGTTATGTTCTCCTGAAGGTATGTTCATTCTGTCTGTTTATCTGCTCTGTCTATCGATCTATCTAGTCTGTCTATGTATATCTACTTTGTGCCACATTCAATACTATAAATTTCTTCCTTCTTTTTTTTTGTTTTTTTTCCTTTCGACTCTATAACCAGTAAGTAGACAGACAATGTACCACTGACTCTATTTCCAATTGGTTTACAGACCCATAAAACTGGGAATAATTTCACCTATGATATCCATTTCTGGGTTGGGAACAATTCCTCAATGGACGAGCAAGGAGCGGCCGCCATTTATACCATCCAAATGGATGACCACCTTGGGGGTGTGGCCGTCCAACATCGAGAAGCTCAGGGCCACGAGAGTGACACTTTCAAAGGCTACTTCAAACAGGGTATTGTGTATGTATCATATATGGAGTGTGTTGGCTATCGCTGTGACTGGAATGACATTCGATAGATCTAACTCTACATTTCACCCTACAAAACCATGAAAAAGTAAAGTCGACAATAAAGCGAAGCGAAGACGAAACCAAAAAAATTTCAATTTTCTATTATGAATTTTTTTTACACTTGAACAGATACCTGTGTTAGCTCTTAAATAAATAATTAGAAAAAAAAAATACAAAACAAACAAAACACTGCAATAAGACATGGCGTGTTAGAAAGGACACGTGGTGTGCAGCAGTTTCAGATTATGTCATTGTTCCTGGTTTTTGTTTGTTTTGCTTGCAAATCGATTATTATGAATCTATTTTAGTCTATTTTATTCTATATATCATTATTAGTCTATTTCAGTCTGTATATTATTATTATTAGTCTATTTTAGTCTGTATATTATTATTATTAATAGTAGTAGTATTATTATTAGTATTATTTTTATTAGTCTATATATTATTATTAGTCTATATATTTTTATTATTATTAGTCTATTTTTTTTTTTTATAAATATCGTTTTATTGAAATGTTTGCATGGTGAACAATTCGCAGTTAGATTATGAGCAGTGCGAAACACGCAGGTTTCAATCGTTTAGAGTCTCGTTTGAGATCTTGAGATGTGCAGATCTCTGAGGATGCAACAGTAGTTGAGACTCGCAGGTCTCCGGGCACAATAAGTTTTTATTTACGAAATTCACATAGCATGTTGTAGATTAATTAATTACAGTCTGTCAGGTACGTTAGCTATGGTCATGTGGTTTGAAATCGCTCGTTCTGCGTTATGATATTATTTGTGATTATAGGTCCTATCGTTCGCTTATTCATGCTGGTTGTAAGTGTCTCTCAGTCTTTAATGTCGTTCGTCTGTAATAGGTCTAGATTGTGAGTAATGGGAGGGGTGGGGTGGGGGGTCGGTAAGCATGTTGTGTCTTTCAGCTACCCTCTTCCCGCCTGTATCTTCTATGGCCCCTTCTCAAGATGCCGATTGGCATGTGTTTGGGGCTGCGGGGGGGTGTCCTTGTGCTTATGTGTGTTCCAGTCTAGGGTTTGATCCCTAGGGTCAGTGTGTCTGTTAGTTCGTTCTATGAGTTCCCCTTTCAGTCTCCTCCATCATCTATATGCATTAATGTTGTAATGTTGCAGTGTCGCTGAGGTGGTTAAAGTGTGTTATCTCCTTCCAGCGTGGTTCCTTCAACCCCTGGTTCTTGTTTAGTCTGCCCTCTGGCAGTGCAGATTTCATTTGTTACTAGTGTGATTCTGCCACTCAGGGGGTCCTAGAGAGATTCCCCGGGTACTGGTCTCATCCGCAGGGGCTCTGAGGCAAGGTGGGGGTGTGGGAGGGCCGGAAGGGGGTGTTTTACTTGGTATTAGTCTATTTTTAAACAAAATAGAGATTGTCAGTTTCCAGTTTAGGATTACTGAGTAATATTCATAAACATGGGCTTGTTTTATATATTCATTGTTAATGAAATTGTGTTTGTGGTATTTATCCTAAGGTGGAATGCGGTACATCAAGCATGTCAAACTCAAAGTCTAGCCTGGACCACATAAACAAAGTTTAAGTTTATGTGGGCCGCACACACACAAAAATCCGTACATTTTCATAGAACAACATTGTTGTTTCATGACTGCTGACTCCCAACATCCCATTGCGACCTCAACCCCCCTGTACATAACCCAGCCCCCTGCACAAGACCCCTAATCCCCCTGTACATAACCTCTGCCCCCCTGCACAAGACCCCAACCCCCCTGCACATAACCCTGCCCCCCTACCCAAGACCCCCAGCCCCCTGTACATAACCCCAACCCCCCATAAACCCTGTACAAGACCCCAACCCCCTGCACATAACCTCTGCCCCTGCACAAGACCTCCAACCCCTGTACATAACCCCACCCTGCACAACACCCCAACCCCTGCACATAACCTCTGCCCCCTGCACAAGACCCCCAATCCCCTAAAACCAACCCCCTGTACATAACCTCTCCCCTGCACAAGACCCCAACCCCCTGTACATAACCCTGCCCCCCTGCCCAAGACCCCAACTCCCTGTACATAACCCCAGCCCCCTGTACATAACCCCATTACCTCTGTACAAGACCCCATTCCCTGTTAAAAAAAAAAACAACAACAAAAAAAACATCAACAATATTAGCATTAAGACATATATACTAACCTTGTGTATCTGGTGTCCTGCGTCTGTAACCCCAGTGGTGCCGTCCGCAGCATGTGACAGCCAAAACTCCTTGAAGGCGGAGCCTGTACACATCACATCAGGACGTGCCATTGCGCACCTCTGTGCGCCTCTGCCTGCCTCCATTCTTGCATGGACCACCTCCGCCCGCCTACATTTCCTCGTGGACCGCCCACCCCTGCCTGCTTTATTTCCTCACTGCTGCCCGCGGGCCGTGAGTTTGACACCCATGCGGTACATGGTATTTTTGACACTGATTGGAGATGGTAAAACAAGATTTGTGTTGTTTATAACCTGTTACTTTGTTTCCTTAATCTTTAGTTATAAGAGTGGCGGAGTTGCTTCTGGAATGAAACAAGTGGAAACCAATACATATAACATCAAGCGTCTCCTACACGTCAAGGGAAATAAGAATGTTTTGGCCGGAGAGGTGAGCCTAATCCTTCCCGAATTGTTCTGTTGTGAGAGATCCTTCCCTATTTCTTCACAGAATCATTCTATCAATTTAACATACAAAAATTTTTTTCAAAGTTTGGTTTTGTGAATGTTTATTATGTTCATTTAAATGTTTGAACATATTCGTTAACTCTGCTAAAATAATGAATGTAATGAAGTACTACGACAGATATATAAGTAATTTAATGTTGGAAGAAAATATAACATTAGATCAGATTTCTATTTGAGTCAACAAACAGTTACCATACAAATGAAGTATTACATCTTAGAATATTTAGATTTTTAAATCCTAAATGGCAAAGAATTGAGCAATGAGACTACAAAGGCATGATATATACTTCATCAGAGGAAGTTAGGATTACAAACCTGTATTCCTATCGCTATAGTGAGCCACTATCTAAATAGATTCCCCCCCATCTCCCTAGTTTACCATAAAAATATATTTTAAAAACCTTTTACTTCCCTTTTTTTTTTAGTGCTGAGACTCTCCACCTTCCACAAAGAGTCACCGAGGAGGCATCACTGCCTTCATCTGTGTTCCAATGCAATGCTCCTGATTGAGAAGCACTGGGGATCTGACATGCATGAGCGGCAAGTGCTTCTCATCCTGTGAGTTGCAATGAAACTTGAACCAGTTTTACTCGGTTAATGCAGAGGAAGACAGTCACTAGAGATGAGTTTTACCCTGCAATGTAGGAATTCCATTTTCTAAAAAATTGCATTTTAAAAAAATTTTTAGGGCTAAATTTTCAGGACCACGGCACCAAGACCACTTCATTAAGATGAAGCGGTCTGGGTGACTTGAGTGGTCCTTTGAGCTAAAGTTGTTTTGGTGGTTAGAGCCTCCCTTTCAGTGATCATGAACCTATGGTACTGATCTTACACCTCTTACCGTTCCTATTAATGTAGCCGCTCAGCCTACCAGTGATCTAACACATGTTGTATTTACGGTTTTAGGTTGCAGTTGAATGGAGTAGTTTTAATCGAGGAGATGTTTTTCTCCTGGACCTGGGGAAAGCGATAGTTCAGTGGAATGGACCAGAAAGCAACAAAATGGAAAGACTGAGGGTGAGTCGAAGCTTTTATTTGTGGATTGCAAGCGGGGCCGAAGGTTTCATGGTAAATGTAACCTTAATGTGTGCTAACATTCCATATTAATAATGAAATGGAAAAAGTCGGAGCAGATATGGGCTTTGTAAATCACAGGATTCGGTTTGTGATTGGGGCAGATTGTGACCGGAGATGCTCAATAATTAACACATTGTATATACTAAACTATTAAACAAACAGACATTGGGGGATTGAATACAAAGTGTCCAATCTGAGATAAATGTATTTAAATATGTGTACATAGTAAGATAGATGTATAAAACCACTGGGTACAGAATTAAACAGTTATAGTTATATAATTACATAGAATTAAAAAATAAACTACAAATAGTCCTTTCACCCTTTCCTCCTGTTAATCCAAAAGAAAGTTAAAATCCTAAACTGAAACGTTTTCGTTTGGCACTGTGAAGAGTTCATTCCCGACTCCAAAGTGGCAGTCAGATATCTCAACGTACTAATGCCCTGCATTTTAGGGATTATAGCAATGGAAGCTATTTGCCAGAAAGGATCAATGTCTTTTTGTTTATTTATTTATTTTTTTAGAAAGATGTCTATTGAATCTGATCAAACAACATCTGTTGGCAAATAATTCCAAAGCTTTATTGTTCAAACTATTAGAAAGCCTTTTCCATTTCGGTGGGCAAAATCTTTTTTTCAACTCTCAGTGGATGATCTTTCTATAATTTTATGGTCCTGTTAATGAAAATTGTCACATTTCTCATTTTATCACCCTCTACGTCTCCTTTATCACCTCTGTGATGGACCACCTGGCACCCCGACTGGGTACCTCCGTCAATCGCTGCTTCATAGTAATCCTTGAGTACCATAAGCACTGCACCGGACACCATAACCACCACAAACCGCCGCAGCTTGGTTGGGGTCTAGCTGTCCTCCACCCACCCTGGAACCAAGACCAGGATCCAGCTTCCAGTGGGTAGACCTATCCTAGTACAGAGAGCAAAGCAGTTTGCTGCCCTTACAGGAGCAATTGTTGTACACCAAGGGAGTAAAGTAATTATAGCAATCCCCAGAGTGAATATAGCTCTCCAATCCCCCAAACATGAGCCTAGACTTCATGAAGGGTAAAGCTAATCTCTTTAATGGCAGCCACAACTGGCCTTATATGCAGGTCCCCATGCAAGGGGCACTCCCCCCTGGACCTGAGAGTTGACTACAGTAAAAAACATACACACAATTACATTGGCTCTCAGGTCCAGGACACTTCCATACAAAATAGGTCAATCCCTCCCCTGTGCCTGGGAGATAATTGAGTCAGCACTATATTAAACCCAATTATCTCCAGGCACAGAAAACATACATTAAAAAAAATGCCTTTAAACACACAAAATCCCCACAAAAGTTACATCCCCTGATAGCTCCGATCTGGGTGACCAATCGGTTCAGGGGTTCAGGAATTTCCTGGAAGTCATAATTTGACAGACCGCACGCATGGTCCCATGCCAAAACAGCTTCAGAGAATCAAGGCTTGCGATTGGTCTAGTTCGGTAGTTTAAGAATGAACAAACTACCGAACACAGTCCATAGCTTGTTTTCCTTGTTCGTGGGAACATTTTCACCGAACAGTGTCTTCCTAAGTGCTATAAAACCGAACCCAAGCAATCATGGAAGTCCAGAGATTCGTGAGTTTCAGTGTCCGAAAATAGTTCAATGAACTCGACGACCAAACACCGCTGCCTGTTTTCATGCGAACAAGATGGGCGCCACCTCGTGGTCATCCATAGGAAATGCAGCCACCCAGACGAACACTTAGAACACTGCGTTGGAAATTGCTACAAAGTAGCAATTAGGCTTAACAAGTCTCCGGTTCGTGCGGCTGTTCGGTTCCCGAACCAAATATAAAATATCACGAACCAAGTCTGGTCACATAGTTATTTAAAGTGCTCATAGTCTTTTGGTGAGAGGCTGGCCAGCAGGCCCCTCCAAAAACACGTGACGAGGCTCAGTTTGTCATACCCTCTTTAAATTAAATCTATTTAACTATGTTTCTAGACAGTAAAATAAAATAATGTTCAGGGATTTAAGTAAAACAGGTTACAACTAAGCTGTTAACTCTCTTGTAATGTAAGTGTTTCTGCAGTTCTGTCACACTAGATCAGGCCTTGTGACCAAAGATTTGTTAATTGTGTAGACATTCCAGTCTTCGTTCTCAAACTCCACAATGTCAAGTAGCTGCTGTTACATATGAAGCCTATTATTCTTTGTCTATCCTCAACTAAGTATTTACATATTATCTATCACAAAACATACAGGTTTTTTTTACAATAAAGTGTAAGAAAATGGGAAATTTTATTTCACACACTTTAATGGCCTTAGAAAAGTCAAAAAGATAACTTTTGTGCTGTAATGGACTATTGTTACAATATGGCTGCAATTCATGATCTAAATAGGATAGTACTTTTCTCTCTGCCTCACGTTTTAATAGGTTACTAAGATGTGTCTTTTTATTCCCCGCAGGGTATGAATCTGGCCAAGGATATACGTGACCGTGAACGTGGTGGGCGTGCGCAGGTGTATGTGGTAGAAGGAGACAACGAGGCAGCTACCCCACAGCTCATGGATCTTCTAAACAAAGTGCTGGGAGAGCGGAGGGGAGAAATCAAGCAATCCATTGCAGATGACGTGGTGGATCATGTTGCCAAAACCGCTATTAAGCTCTATCAGTAAGCAAATACAATACCTTGGATCGATCACCTAAATAACACATAATACGTATCTTCTTGTGATAAAAAATCAGTAATGGGGACCAGTTGCAGCCCAAATTTGTTGACCTAAGTTTCTTAGTATCCTTTTTGAGGTTCCTAAGCACATTACCAACAGATTTAGAAAAGTTATTTGATAATGATTATTTTGTCATTACTTTTGTAAGCCCATCCAAAAGTCAGCGTACAATTTTGTGAATAGACACCCTTAATGTAATTTACTGCATGATTAAAAAGTACCAGTAACACGCTTTCAGTAAAATCTCCTGGTTGTTGAAGATCTATAAAGGGGTCTTTGTGCCACTGCCACATACACACCCATGTGTAGAAATATGGTGGACTGATGGGGGAAGTCTCAAGGTCCCTTGTGCTGGCAAAACTCCTTTAAAACACCTTAAACCGCTCTTAAACAGACAGATCTATATGTGCAAGACTGTGATCGCAATTTATATTTAAATAAAAAAAGACCCGTTCCAACATAGTATGCCCTGATTATCTCCTGCAGCTCATAGGAGCCAAGCTCTAGATATTAAATTCTAGTAATTAGTTGTTCCTCATTATTTTCTTCTTTCACACACTTTGTAGAGTTTCAGATTCAAGTGGCAATCTTATGGTGCAAGAAGTGGCAACCCAACCCTTGACCCAGGATTTATTGAACCAAGATGTAAGTAAAGGGGCAATAACAATACACGGGGCGGACTTGGATTCTCATAATTACTAATAGAATATCAGGGCAACGCAGCTACATTTACAGGGTCATATCTTTTAGCTTTACCTTTCCTATTGCTGACCCACAAGTAGCCCCAATGGATAACAGATCTTTGCATGGTGGCTCATTTACTACCATACCTGGATTATAATGACTGTGGTACGCATTCACCTGCCTGCATTTATGGGATTGGAGTTACCTTTAATTCTTCAAGTTCAATTTCTTTAGAGTGTAAGCTCACAGATTACCTCTTATTGCACTTAGAATAAAAGTGCTAATGTGCTACATTTAAAGGTTTATAAATAGATAATTAGACACACTTGTGCAAAATAAATGAAAAGAACTGTCTGTAAGCCCTACCTATTGTTTATCCACCTGTTGTACAGTGCAGGAAAATATACAACATATAAAGAGTCTGTTAGGTCTTCTGTGGATGTTGGCCTCTCTAAATCTATTTTCTTATTTCCAATCTCCGCAGGACTGCTACATCCTAGACCAGGCAGGCATCAAGATCTTTGTATGGAAGGGAAAGAATGCCTCAAAGGAAGAGAAGCAGCAAGCCATGACCCGTGCCTTGGTAAATTAGAAATCTATCTGTCTCTCTCTAAAGATAAAATCATGGTGAAAGGAATACTGATTGACTGATGTCTCAAAGTACTCTGTTACTTGATGTTCTACAATTTATTCTGTATACCGACAGGTTATTTTGAGGAACTAATTCTGTAACCTTCCTGTTTCACCAACAGAATTTTATCAGAGCCAAGAACTACCCTGCGTCCACCAACGTCGAGGTACAAAATGATGGAGCTGAGTCAGCTGTGTTCAAACAACTCTTTCAGAAATGGACCACAAAGGATCAGACTGCCGGACTGGGGAAGACTAGCACTGTTGGTAAAGTGGGTAAGTAAAAAAGAAAAAAAGAAGCAATATTTCTTAAAGGGAACTTATGGAAAAAAAACTTAAACTTTTTGTAAAAGAGCTTAAAATGCCATCTATACTTTGTGTTAGCAATTTTGCTAGCAAATGTATAGATTTTGAGAAAAATCATCTGTCTATAATATTCTCAGCAGACACTGACTACCAAGGAATTGAGGAACAGGGAGAGGATAAGAGATCTCTTCCCTCTGCTCTCCACCCATTGCAACCATAGAACGTTGGAATCACTTAGCACTTTTAACACAGAATAGCACCTGCCATGAGAAATCTCTTACATTTTCATCTTCTCAACATTTCTGTAAAGGATGAAGAAATAATTAAATAAAATAATAATAATTTGGAATACATGTACATAATTTTACTTTTGTAGGTGTGGCCGACCAGCAACCCAAAATAAAATGTTCTATCAAAAAATTGAAGTAAATGTTCATAACGTTCCTTTTTTTTTAAAAGTAGAATTTTTTTTTATCCTACATTTCGTTGTTGTCTTTATCTCATATTTCAAATAAATGCTATACTATTTTATTTATTTATTTTTAACAAAAGAAAATGTGTTATGAAAGTGTTCGGTACGCCTCAATCTTTTTTTATTGCTTCCGTTTAGCCAAAGTAGAACAAGTGAAGTTTGATGCCAGCAGTATGCACGCCCAGCCGCAGATAGCTGCACAACAGAAAATGGTGGACGATGGATCCGGTGAAGTAGAAGTGAGTCAATAATGAATGTGTCCATGCTATTTGGGTCTTATACATTACAATTCCCTGATCCCAGAAGCCCAGATACTATTGAGAAAGCAACAATATTTTATAATCAGCATTTTTATGTTTTGTTGAGTTTCTGACCAAGTTTATCTGAAGTGATTCAGCCTCTGCTCTAAATTCCAAACTCATTAGATATTAATTTCTTCAAATCTTACGTGCCCTTTGCATTGTAAATAGACATCAAATGGAACTCACCAGCACTTCATACACATTCCACTGAGCTCGACACCTTTTGTTAGAACTTCCACTGAATTCAGCAGATCAGCTAAACGTTCCACTGAAATCAGGAGCACTAGGTAGACTTTCTGTTGAGTCCAGAGGCTCTCTAGAAACTTTCTACTGAACTGGACAGGAAGGATTCATGCAATTACAAAGTTAGACTGATAGGAGAGCATTTTTCCATTATATAAAAGTAGCTATTAATCTTAATTTTTAATTTTGATCCCAATTATCTACTGCATTCATGTTAACATAATAGAAAAGAAAATAAATAATAAAGATTTAAAAAGAACAAATAAAACATGGATACTTACCCTAAAGCAATAAACAGATTAATAAGAAAAAGCACAAACTTACAAAGAAAACTGCAAAGTTCTAAGGTGAAAAAATAAATACAATGCAGTGTAAAAATGTGTGTTCTGTTTGGTTACAATAGATTTATTTTACATAAAAACAAGCTTTTTTCCCCCCCAATTCTGATTGTTATATTATTTATTTTGTTTCTTTGTTTAGAATAATAACACTGCACTCTGATTACACAACTCATAGATAAATAATTCCATGCAAATACACTTTTTGAAGGTTCCCCTGTTGTAATTAAATAGTGTCGCTGGCTTTTAGAAACTGGCCAGGGTTCATTGAGCTAATACGGATTGAGAATATTTCTAGCTGTCATTCCACGTGATGTGCTTTGATTTTCTCTGTTTACAGGTCTGGAGAATAGAGAATTTGGAGCTGGCTCCTGTAGAAAAGCAATGGATTGGACATTTCTATGGAGGAGACTGTTACCTGATTCTTTACAAATATCTTGTCAATAACAAGTATCACTACATTATCTATGTATGGCAGGTAAGGACTCAATGTGTTGGATAACTTTATAGACATATAACAAACAAAGTGAATGATAAAAGGGTAAAATTACAGATGTAAAATGACAGAGGGAGGAGGGTGTTGATAGTATTTAGAAGCAGATCAGAAATATTTGGCCTAGTACAGGTGGAGTTGTCTTGTAGCAGTGGTTTAATGAAAAGGTCTCAAACGAAATGACATAGTGTGATTGTTTATAGCAGATGGCTTGGGGGAAGAGGTTTATAGCATGTGGCTTAGAGGAGGAGTCCAAAATGAACTGAAGTCGTGGTTAGTGGGATGACGTAATGCAGTTGATGTATGAGAGATGCTCAGAAGACATGGGTCAATTGAGGTGGAATTTGGCTTGTTACAGGATACGGCTTAGTGTAGCTAGTTTATTGGAAGTGGTTTAGCAGAAGAGACTTAGAACATATGGCTTAAAGGAGGTGGCATATGCAAGACATCTTAGTGGGTTGTCCCTAAAATAGAGAAATTGGCTCAATGGAGATGGCATGGCTGAGATGGAATAGTAAGATTGGTGTCAGGGAGAAACTTAGGAGACAGGGATTGGTTGGTTGAGATGACTTATAGCAGCTTTTTGATCCAGGAAGGTATAGTTGAGGTGGAATTGGCTTACAGGTTCATCTCTATGAAGATATCTCCTGTGATGACAACGTCTAGACTTGCTTTTTTTTTTTTTTTTTTAAACAGGGTCGGCATGCAAGTCAGGATGAGATAGCTGCATCAGCCTATCAGGCAGTGGCACTGGATCAACAATATGGTGGGGAACCAGTCCAGGTCCGAGTACAAATGGGGAAGGAACCTTCACACCTGATGGCCATATTCAGGGGCAAACTGGTGGTGTATGAGGTGAGATCTTTTACAAAGGTGAAAACAGATGTTTTAATGGATTTTAAGGAATCTGTTGTGTGATTAAAGCATTGAAGGTGCACCCTAAACACTATAACCACAGCAGCTCATTGTAATGGTTATTGTGCAACGGAAAATGCAGCTTCCCACTTTTTTATGTAAAACCATTCTGAACCATTTTGACAAAAACTGGGACCCTTTATGGCACTTATAGCCCATCCCCTATACAGCTGCATAAATGATATATTCATATTATCTGTATGAATACGTCCAACCTTTATAGGCTGTGAGCGCCGGGCCATATTAACAGGAGTTTCTGGAACTTGTAGTTATCAGCTTCCTTGTCTGGCAAGGAAGCGCCTCCACCAAGAAAAGGGGCATGGCCATTTGACAAAGGTGTGGTGCCATGCAGAGTGACTGACGGCCTGACCTCTCAAGCAGACCATGCACATAACGCTGCTGGGGATGGAATATCCATTCTATATAATTTGTAATAGTTTTGCTTTATTTAAGAGCTTTATTTTTTTTAAGGATCTTATTTCTGGTAGCAACATTGTTACTATATGACTCCAAATACTTTCCTTCGCATGGTAAGAACCAATGATTTTTAAAATCAATACATAGGGCCAGTGCTATAAAACTTTTTTTTTTTTACAAAACCAAAACCAAAAATGCATTCAGATTCCTCAGCTGCTCTCCCCAGTACTGGTCTTTATACAAACAGCCCACAAAAAATGTGAACCAGTAGCAAAAACTATGTATTTTCAATACTTCCAGCATTGTGTAAAAGGGAAAGATTGTACAACCCTGAATTAGATACTTTATTGTAAAATTAAGTTTATATTTCTATCTCCTAGGGTGGCACCTCTCGTGCGGATTCAACAGAGATCCCTCCTGAAATCAGATTGTTCCATGTATATGGAACTAATGAATACAACACCAAGGCATTTGAGGTTCCAGTTCGTGCCTCTGCTCTCAATTCTAATGATGTTTTTGTGCTGAAGACAAAAGGGACGTGCTACCTGTGGTGTGGAAAGGTAAGATGCGGCATCTGCCAAACGATGGCCCTTGAATAGACTTAAACAACAACGCAGAATCAGCAAATCTAACGTGTGAATATTTAAGTTCTCCATGCAGCAAAACAAAATATGTTTATTCATTAAACACAGAATTTTAAGTCCAAAAGTGGTGATTTTGTGAAAATGATCCAACTCTGTAATAGTTACAGCTTGGCTTTTCGCCAATATTTTGCATTTCAGTTTTCAAATTTACAGGAATAAACATCATTGTTGTATGGAATCCATCACAAACAGACCTGATGCTTTTGTGTCCCGAAAGGCACGCAGTCTAAGGAGACAATTTGCTTGTTGGGTTAATGTAATCATATTTACAGGGCAATGTGTACACAAGATGACTATTCATGGAAACGAACAATTCCTATTTCAAATTCTTCAATTAATTTAAAGATATCTACATTGCAACCCTTCACTTATCATTCAATAGTGCAGTAAAACGATAGCCTGTTGGAAGATTACTATCTAAAAAAAAAAAACCTCTACACAATTTTTTATAACTTCGCCATCAATAAGGCAGCTCAGAAACTATATTTAATGACCATTTTTACTTTCCCGCAGGGCTGCAATGGAGATGAGCGCGTTATGGCTAAATCTGTGGCTGATATTATCTCCAAGGGAGAGAAGGTGGTAGTGGCTGAGGGGCAGGAGCCAGCCGAATTCTGGCTTGCTCTTGGAGGGAAATGTCAGTATGCCACCATCCTCAATAAGTAAGTATCGTTAAAACTTCTCTATGCCACAAGACATGTCAACACACTAACATTTAGTATCCTGAACTGCAGAAAAATGCAGTGTAGAAAGGTACTAGGATATTAAGTGTTCAAATTTCTCATGGAAAAACAGGGAGGTTTTCAATATAAATTATGTTTAAAGGGACCAGGCACCAGAACAACTACAGCTTAATGTAGTTGTTCTGGTGAGTATAATAGCTCTCTTCAGGCTTTTTTCATGCAAACACTGTCTTTCCAGAGAAAAGGCAGTGTTTACATTGCCTCTAGGGACACCTCCAAGTGGCCACTCCTTAGATGGCCACTAGAGGGGCTTCCTGTGTCAGTGCTACCAAAAAAGCAACCCTGACGTTCTGCATCCCTACGCTCTGCATGGAGATGCTGAATTTTCCTCATAGAGATGCATTGATTCAATGCATCTATATGAGGACGTCCTGATTGTCCAAAACAGTATTTGGCCCCGTCCCATGCTGATTTTAGCCAATCCAATGCTTTCCCTATGCGAAAGCATAGAATTGGCTAAAAATTGGCCATTTTGATTTCACAAAGGAGTCGGGGTCAGTGCCGGTGAACCCGCGTGGCGGTGGAAATAAGGTGAGTTTTAAACTTTTATAGGGAGCCTAAGAGGGGGAGGGGGTAAGCCACCTAAATACACACAAATACATGTTTGTGTTCCTGACCCTATACTGTTTCTTTAATAAGAAAAGGTGAGTCAATCTGGGTTAGTATACAGATATTTGTATGTTCTTCATTTATGGGATTATACAATATGAAGGTGTTTTCAATTCAGCTATTCCCAGAAGTTCACTCATTAATGAAGATTAACAATATTAATACTATGTAATCATCAACCTATGTTCTAACCTGTCCCTCTTCTGCCTGCAGACAGCAAGAACAAGTTGTTGAAATCGTCCCTCGTTTGTTTGAATGTTCCAATCAAACCGGAACATTCCGAGCAACTGAAGTAACTGAATTCACCCAAGACGACCTGGAAGAAGATGATATCTTCTTACTGGATACTTGGGATCAGGTAAAAAGGAAGGAACAGGACAGGAGAAGTCTGGTTCTAGAACAGAAGTTATAGCAATTTAACATACATGACATGTTCCACAGCTATGTGCTACAATGTAATTTAACATTAATGAATTCCTCTTCTGAATTCCTTGTCTGAATGGACAAAACTCTGTGAAAATGACAGAATTTAAACTATAAAAGCCAATTCTCACATTTACTAAAGCCAAACTCAGTCGTAATTTGGTAAATCCGACTGAATCTGCACCACACAACCAGATACATTTGGTGTCTGGTTTTTAATCAGTGCCTTTTGCATCTGAATCCTGTTTGAAAATATAAGATCTAGAAAATGTACAAAGCAATCATTTTAGGCAAAGTTGTGACCAAATACATCTGGTAGGATGCTCATTCACAAATTCTAAACCAGTTGCTTTTTGCTAGTGGGCAAATAGTTTGGACATTTAAAATCTGGGTCGAGAATGAAAGGATATTTTAGCCTTCTGGCAAAACTATAGTATTGTGCTGGCTGTTTGAATTGATAATCTGTTTAAGGCAGTGAAGCCACTTGTCATCACAACTCATTTCTTTCTGAAGGTATTCTTCTGGGTTGGGAAAGATGCTAACGATACGGAAAAGAGTGAAGCAGCAATCACGGCACAAGAGTATCTGAAGACGCACCCTGGTAGTCGTGACATTAACACACCCATCATTGTAGTGAAGCAAGGTTTTGAGCCTCCAACATTCACAGGCTGGTTCCTTGCTTGGGATCCCTTTAAGTGGGAGGTAAGGTATCCAACAGTAACTTTTCATGATATTCAGTAAGCACAAGCTGTTATTACTGCTGATATAACTATTCACTCACTCACTCACAATGAACTGCAGTCTGTATGTACATCAATATCTCCTTTATTTAACTTTGTGTTAAATATCTCTTACGTGAGTCTACACAACAGCTAACACTAAAATACTGACCACCCAAAATTCTCTCTTTCAGAACAGCAAATCGTATGAAACTCTAAAGGCGGAACTGGGAGACATCAATAACATTGAAGGAATCACTTTCGTAAGCATCCTATTCCACTGACAAAAATAGACATTTTCCCAAAATGTAGAAAAACATACAATAGATATTAGGGTCTCAACAAATCTCTAAAAATAAAGCAACAACAAAAAATAGATAATGAAATAATATTTAATTTTCCTATTTAAATGAATTATTCAATAGGTTCATTAGCAGACTATAAATAAATTCATAACCAATAAAAAATTGGAATGTGTTCATATCAACTTTCAAAATATAAAAAAGAGAAGGTTTAGTCATTTCTATTTTTCTAGAACCCTAAAAGTAGAAAACGGTTTCTGGTTTTGCTTTAGCAAAGTCAATTCACAACGAGCTAAAGTGATGTATAAGCTTTTTTTCTTCTTCTTCAAACTACATGATGCTCTTTAGGCTGGCTTGGTTTCAGTTTTCTGCCGTTTGCATCAGTTCTACCAAAAGAGTTGAAAGAAGGTGTATAGGCAGTAGACATGTGCAATTAGTTTCGGGCCGAATATGAATTTGGAAGAATTTCGGGCAATTCGGACACTTCCGAATGTCCGAATTACCGAGGTCCCGAAGTTCAGAAATTATTGAATTTTCGAAGTACAGTATTGCCTAAGTACTAATATACTTACCCAGTGGAAGAAGAAGAATGTTACACTGCATACAATTTTAAATAAAAAGTATACAAACATAGCCAGGATTCTGCTGTAAGCATTTGCAACACTTACAACAATCAAGTAACATACATTCATATAAAATGTAAATTACTTGGCCAGTCAATGTAATGAACGGAATGAATAAGTAGATAACTCCATAATTCCCACGGTATTAGGGAGCTATCTACTAAAAGGCTGAAAGACCTAAATGCCCCCCCTCACTCCCCGAATGGTGGGTGGGGGCCCTAAAGTAAAATAAGGGGGGACCTATTGTCCTCCCCCCCGGCCCCCACCCATGAGCAGCAGGTGGGGGCCCTAAATCAAAATAAGGTGGGGACCCAATGTCCTCTCCCCTGAGCGGGGGCCCTAAATACCAATTGGGGGGGACCTAATGTCCTCCCCCCTGGCCCCCACCTCTGAGCGGTGAGTGGGGTCCCTAAATTAGAATGAGGGGGGCCTAATGTCCTGCCCCCCACCCCTGAGCGGTGGGTGGGGACCCTAAATTAGAATGAGGGGGGGGAGGACCTAATGTCCTCCCCCCTGAGCGGTGGGTGAGGGCCCTAAATACTAATTAGGGGGGACGACCTAATGTCCTCCCCCTTGGCCCCCACCCCTGAGCGATGGGTGGGGGCCCTAGATTAGAATTAGGGGGGAGGACCTAATATCCTCCCCCCTGAGCGGTGGGTGGGGACCCTAAATACTAATTAGGGGGGTTGGGACCTAATGTCCTCCCCTCTGGCCCCCACCCCTGAGCGGTGGTTGGGGGCCCTAAATTAGAATAAGGGAGGACCTAATGTACTCCCCTTTGGCCCCCACTCCTGAGCGGTGGGTGGGGGCCCTAAATACTAATTAGGGGGGGGACCTAAAGTCCTCCCCCCTGGCCCCTACTCCTGAGCGGTGGGTGGGAGCCCTAAATACTAATTAGGGGAGGACCTAATGAGGCTTCCCTTTGGATTAAAATTAATTATATTGGAAATAAAAACATTCTGCCATAATTTAGAGCGAGAGAGTGAGTGTGTGTACACACAAACACACTTTTAACATCGTACATTTCTTCTGTGAAGGCACAGGGCAATTAACTCATACTAGGAGTTTGCATCAGTGCAAATGTTGATTGCTCTTTGACTGCATTGTGTGAAAATAAAAGAAAACAGGAGTCTCAGCACTGACAGACTCCTGAAACAGAAAAAATATGGAAAAACCTTTATTTTTTTGACATTTTACATTTGAGTGAATAACTATCACAAGCCAATTATCTCCTTGTAATATATATAAGTTATTCCTTAGCTCACACTTAAACCTACCAGAAAGCTTTTTTTATTTTTTTTTATTAACGGTTCACATGCACGAAAAGTATGGTAACGTGTTTTGTTTCCTTAGGAATTGAACAATACCGGATTAGACTCTTTTACATCTCAAACAAAATTTGTGACTCCAGGATTTCAGACTTTCCCAGCTGATGCACTCCTCAATAAAACCACAGACGATCTGCCACCTGGTGTGGACCCCAGCAGAAAAGAGGTGAGCTAGACTTAAAAATCCCTCCTCTCCACCAGTAATAATGTAAAATAATGTTACTATATTGAAACGAACCAAAGGATCATTAAGAACTGTGCATGTGGTACAGTGATATGAACAGATAAAAATTTTAGATTTAGCAAAACAAGAAAACTGAAAATAAATAGCTTTAAGTGGAAAATGTTTCTAGTTTAGCCATCTTTGCATCAATTTTGCAAATCCCATTTCAAATCTTCTCAACTCCTGATTTCTTGATTACACTCCTGGCTGGCTGAGGGCATTGCAGTGTCTCACTCATTATCTATATATTAGTATGGGTGCAGGTTTGGTTTCCAGATTCATTCCTGGGCAAGTGTACTAGGCAACTGATTTAAAGGACCACTATAGTGCCAGGAAAACATACTTGTTTTCCTGGCACTATAGTGCCCTGAGGGTACCCCCACCCTCAGGGACCCCCTCCTGCCCGGCTCTGGAAAGGGGAAAAGGGGTTAAACTTACCTTTCTCCAGCGCCGGGCGGGGAGCTCTCCTCCTCCGAGGCTGAATGCTCACGCGCGCCAAGAGCTGCGCGCGCATTCAGCCGGTCACATAGGAAAGCATTCATAATGCTTTCCTATGGACGCTGGCGTGCTCTCATTTTCACAGTGAGAAGCACGCAAGCGCCTCTAGTGGCTGTCAATGAGACAGCCACTAGAGGCTTTGGGGGAAGGATTAACCCATTTATAAACATAGCAGTTTCTCTGAAACTGCTGTTTATGAAAAAATGGGTTAACCCTAGCTGGACCTGGCACCCAGACCACTTCATTAAGCTGAAGTGGTCTGGGTGCCTAGAGTGGTCCTTTAATGCCTACAGTGTATGAATTATACATACTGCAGAACAGCACTTTTCACGTTTACCAGAACAGTTATGAAGCTGTAGAAAAACATGATGCATTGGTTCACACCAGCTGTGGATTGCTTTAGATTTAGTTCCTGGCAAGTAATGTAACTTTAGAAAGTTAGAAATCCCCTGCACATAAACTTCACTGCTGCACCTGTCTCAAGATTTTATGTAAACCTTTAAAAGCAGAGATCATTTTGGCTATTAGATATATACACCCATCTCCTGACTTCTACATACTTAATCCAATCCGGCTATTGACTATCATACTGGATGGAGTTTTTCCAAGGTGAGCCGCTTGAGACAGGTGACACTATATTTTGAATTGCATTGGAGACCAATGTATAAGACTCCCCTATCGAGGTCACAGCTCAGTTAAAGGGACACCAAAACAACTATCTTAACGAAGTAATTTTTGTGTATAGATCATGCCCCTGAAGTCTCACTACTCAATTTTCTGCCATTTAGGAGGTAAATCCCTTTTTGTTTCTGCAGTCCTAGCCACACCTTGCCGACCTGTGACTGACAGCCTGCATGAAAACAAAAATGGATTAATTTTTAATCAGATGTAACTTACTTTAAAAGTTTTAATCTCTTGCTTTGTAAATTAAACTTTAATTACATATAGGAGCTTCTGCAGGGTCTAGCACGCTATTAACAGAGCAGGAGATAAGACACTTTACATTAAACAGAATTTGTAATAAAGGTGGTGTAAACATTAGAAGACTCTTTACAGGGAGTGTTTAGGAGAATTGGCAGTGAGACTGCAGGGACATGATCTATACACCAAAACCGCTTTATTAAGCTTAAGTTGTTTGGTCCCTATAAGTACAAAGTCACACAGGCAGTCTGTAATAGTAGCAAAACTTGAGATAGATTATGTCCTGATCATTGTAGCAAATAGTGTTTTACTGTAAACCTTTTGAGAGTTCCAGAACTGAAATAGCAAAGGAAAGAAATCCTTCCAAACTTTTTTTCTTCTTTTGCCAATGGAATTTTTTTTTTTTTTTTTAATTAACAATGTAGTCGTCAGATTGCACCCTAAAACATCCTTAGAGGGAACATAAGAACGCTCAATGTATGTTAATTCTTTTTCAGGAGTACCTCTCCGCTGAGGATTTTAGTTCTATTTTTGGGATGAGCCGCATGGATTTCCAGAGTTTGCCAGAATGGAAGAAGCAAACAATCAAGAAAGCAAAAGGACTCTTCTGATCTGTTCTTTCCCCCATCATTTCCTTTTGTTTTAAGACTCCCAATTTAAGATATTTCCCTGAAAACCCTTTCAAGCCTTAACAGAGCTATTGCATCACTCACACCGAGGATACATGTCTGGAGCACCGACTGTGGTATTCCTTCATGCCATTGGCTGGTTAAGCATGATGTGAGCTGCTGACCACAGCAGTGGGAGTGCCAGAGGTTTGCTACCTAATGAAAACTGTGCTTCTTATCTTTAAACTTTAAAACCAGAGCATTAATCTGAAGAGAAAAAAAAAGAGAATGAATACATCATTGTTGTAAAATAAAAAGGTTTCCTTTTAAACTAAGAATCTTTCCTTCTTGGTAAACACCCTTTCTCCATCCATGTACTGAGGGAGTTAAATAATAATAAAAAAAAAAGTCAACCGGGCATCCGCTACCCAATGAGAAGGGATGCTCAGTAGCGATGTGCCGAACGGTTCGCCACGGACGGCAAACATATGCGCTGTTCGGTCCGCCCCCTATGTCATCATTGAGTAAACTTTGACCCTGTGCCTCACAGTCAGCAGACACATTCCAGCCAATCAGCAGCAGACCCTCCCACCTCCTGGACAGCATCCATTTTACATTCATTGCGAAGCTGCATGCTTAGTGAGCTGTCCAGGAGGTGGGAGGGTCTGCTGCTGATTGGCTGGAATGTGTCTGCTGACTGTGAGGTACAGGGTCAAAAGTTTACTCAATGATGACATAGGGGGCGGACCGAACAGCGCATATGTTCGCCGTCCGTGACATCACTAATGCTCAGTAATCTTCCCACAGCCAGCAAGCTTTTTTGTTTTATGGTAAAAAAACTAAACAAAAAAACCCAAAAAAAAACTCTGGAATTGTTCAGTAATTCATTCTTGAACAATTCATCAGTCATTCTTTGGGCAATCAGGCAGATATGGAACATGTGGATACCATTTAAATTTGGTAAATTACAGAGGACAGTACCAGGAAATGTACCCATCAATCTCCAATATCTACAGAAATAGTTCTAACATTAGTGAATATGTTTTATATATCTATTTCACACTATATATTTTAATAATCAAATCATATGATTCCAGTAAACATACATAAATGGACATGCTAAACGCCTAAAATACTTTAGCGGTCTGCTTTACGTGTTCTCTATTTCAGAGGTCCAGATTTAAATTGAAATTGACACTTTTATAAATGAACTCTGAAAGCCCCAGGGGGATTGTAACAATCAGACAACCGGTCCTGTTACTTCCTGGAGGTCTAGCACAGTGGAATAAAGTCAAGAGGACTTGAGCAGGAATTGCTCAGAGCACCTGTCTTACAAATACTTATTGAGCTGCATTGGGAAGTCTGTGATTGGACAGCCATTGAAAGTCTGGGTGGGGTTAGAAGAGAGGATGCAGACAAAAGATTTGCAGGTACTGCAAACTGTTTTTAGATATACTCCCAATTAAAAACAAATGCATAATTTCATTAGGGGCATTTCTACTAAAATTGGTAATTAAAAAAAATAAAATCCATTGGTGTGCTACTTTAATGAGACAGGGACAGCCACCAGTTAATATTATTTAGATTACATCTGTACAGGTAGGCCTTGGTAATCCCACAATCCAGGGAAAACTTGACTAATCAAAAGGATATGAATCAGAAACCGTACTCTTTTCGTAATTCATTCATATCCATGTTACCCCCTAGTACTGTCTTATGATCAGACCCTTCACAGCTTCCACCTTAATCAAAAGGGTATGTTACAAGTCCATACAGTATGATATGATTTCCTTTTGTTAGCTAGATTTAAAGCGAGAGAGTGTGTGCTATAGTAGTCTAGGTTGAAAAAGGATTAATGCCCATCAAGTTCAACCAAGAACTTGCACAACTGATGCACAATAACTCCAGAGTAATAAATAGAATAGTAATGCCCAAAATATCCATTTAATAGATGCACAAATCCAGAATACAATCTAGTATTAAACACATCTGAGAGTCTTGTGTATCATTTCTTTAACCGTCTCTCTTCAAAACTACTCTTAAATAACTCTGCAAATAGTATATACTTTTTACAGTTCTATAAAAAAATGTCCTTCCTGATACAGAACCAGTGACCAACCTTGCAAACCATAATCAGTGTGGAGTCTTACCACTTCTCAATAAGTAAAATCATGTATTCATTACTTGGGCCAGAACAACTTCTTATACGAACCCTGTGGCCATATTATCTACAATTATGCCAAAAATTATTTTGATTTACAGACTGCCTATGTTTAACTCCCTTTTAGAGATTACATTAGATTTTTCTTCCCAAACTGCATTAATTTGCAGGTCTACAATAACACTCATCTGAGCACATAGATCCCTCTTACAGAGAACTATCATGAAAAGTAAACAGTCAATGCATATCTTATAAAATTGGATATTATATTACTTACTTTTTCAATTATGTCCTTTCCAGCTCAATGACTTAAAACAGCTGTCATCTTCAGGCTGTAGTGTCCTCTCAAGTATTCTCATTTATTTATATTTACTTAAAGAATAGACCAAGCTTCTCACCTGGTTGCAGGTTGGATAAAAGCTGCCCTAGTTAATAAGAGGTTCAGGAAGGCATTTTAGTGGGTTCTATAAACTAGCTAAAACAGAAAGGGGCACACTGGGTATACAGAAGCAAAGTGTTAAGAAGGTCCTGCTTAAATGAGTTTGTCGCTAATTTATGCCCAGCTTTAAAAAAAGTGTATAACCAGTTACATCAGCTATGACACGTGTCATACTGCTTACTATATGGCATTACCTGAACATCCACCCCTTTAACTGGTCATATTTCTGCCCATTTCAATTTCCTACGTTACACCATTAAGATTCCAAATACTTTTAATGCTCTGCAGATCCATCAGATGGCACTGCTGTCCAAAGCTACATGGTGGAAGGTTTTACCAGACACTGTTAGAAATTCTCTAAGACCAAAATATTTGGCTAAAGGGACACTAGTCACCAGAACAAATACAGCTTAATGCAGCTTGTTGTGCATAACATGTCCCTGCAGGCATTTCAATGTAAACACAGTCATTTCAAAGAAAAGGCAGTATTTACATTGCTGCCTACGGACACCTCCAGTAGAAGTCAGTCACTAGAGGTGCTTCTTGGATCAGTGCTGCAGAACGTGAACCTCCCTCTACACCATATACACTGAGTAGGAAGAGTGTGAAGTTACACAGACAGCTTGGAATTTACAAGTGTACGGATAAAAGTCAGAACTGATCAATTTCTTTTATGAATCTGGGAAACCAGTGCCTGACGTATTTTAGAAGTTCACTTTGTACTGAACAGACTGGCACATGTCCAATCTCTGAGCAGAGCATTATTCAATTTGTGCTTTATCAGCACTTTACACCTTGCAGTGCTGATTTCATCCTCCACAGATCAGCATGACAGGTTCCTGGTTGGCTATGCTGCATTCTAGTGTGGGCAGAGCTTACAGCCTGTAAAGCCTGTTCATTTGCAACATATGTGAAAGTGTTTAGTTTTTTCTTTGCATTTTTAAAGACATCTATATATTTTGCACCAAAACTCGTCACTTCATTCTACATTCTAAAACAGTGGCTTCCTGGAAACAGATGTATAAAAAAATTCCATAAACCTCTGAGAAATGCAGCCCAACAATAAATAAGAGGGCTAAAAAAAAAATGGGCATCCATAACATGGTGTTGGCACAGATTGCTATAAAAACTGAAATATTTATGGGAATTTTCCATTAAAGAGTGAATCAGTTATCCATCTTAGCCTGGGTCTAAAAACAAAATTAATATTTATTCAACTTCTTTATAGATCTGGGACTTACAGAATATGGACAACATAAAACAGTTTAAAATAGTTAAATATAATAGAAATATGTACATCTGGGGGAGAAAAAAAAAAGCAATCTCTCGATTACATTTTAAACAAATAACATTTCAGAACCAAAACCGCGTAAGAGAACAGCAAGGCCCAGAAACACAGCCAAGAACTTATTTAATAAAGCAGTAATGGACTACCACAAGTTTCCCTGACTGAACCACTCATAAACCTGACCAGAATAAACCACTCAAGAACTTAAGAGAAAATCATAAAAACGTACATGCTGCAAGAAAGAAACATCAATAAGAATTGACAAGAAAAATACACAACTACCACTTGAAATCAAGGATAGATACGTAGTGTGTTGATTGTCTAACACATCAGACCATTATAAAATCTCTAGTGACAGCTGCCGGCAGAGAGACATCTCTCGTTTTATCGTATTGCTTTTATTCAGCACAGGGGAGGGAGGGGTGTGCTTTTAAATCCAGTTGTCATACTTGAAAGTAACAAAGATAAGTCTATGGAATATAAATGTATTTAAGAAAAATAATGAAAAACAGATTCTCCATAGACAGCAACACAGGTTGAAGTTAAATTTGTGTAACAGCATTAATGCCACCAATCTTCAGCTGCATACAAAAAAATAAAAAAATACGTTGATGGATTTGTTACAATCAAAAAAAAAAAAAAAAAAAAAAAAAAAAAAAAATGCCTCAATTGTAACAAATGTGCTATAAGAAATAGGGCAGTGCCGGAACACTGTCTGTAGAAGGCAAATTTAAAGTACTTTATCATATCTTATTGCTGAAGAAATGGCAGTTTAAGCTGCCACTGTCCCAAGGCGTAGCTTAGTGATTCCACAGGCAAACAAAAGATTTTCTTTTTGTCTCTCGTTGTAAGGCTTTGAAGAAACCATTTGTAGGATTCCAGTGTGCCCCCCTTGTATACTGCAATTTCTCCAGAGGCAACAGGCTACACCATGTACAAGTTGACAGAATTCTGTGACATCCAGAGCCCAATGTCAATGTGGAGATGCAGTGGCCAGACAGGCTCTTGTAAAGCAAGCTATAAAGCTTTAGGAGCAGTGCAATGAAGAGATCGAAGCTTGAATGTCTCACAGAGGTGGTCTGGCTGGCCTATTCTGCTCTGTGGGTGCAGATTGGGATTTCTTCTCTTCTTCAACAAGTTCATCAAAAACCGCTCTGGAGGGAGGAAACCAAATAAATAAGCAGCACATTAATCAAAACCTGCTTTAATGCAAGTTAAAATAGAATACATTTAGAAAACTCAACATGCTGTTGTACTTAGCACAAATGAAACAGACTACATGAGTCTAAACAGAAGAAATCTTCTACAGTACAGTGAACAAAGGTAACTGCTTACTTGTCCATGTAAAAGAAAATGTATCCGCTCTGGTCTCTGTCATTCATCACAGTGCTCTCCTGTGTTCGGGAAACAGTCAGGTCATTGTATGTAAACCAAGCCTGCTTTCGGACATCATACACATCGCTGATGTAATGACCTAAAATAGAAATTGCATAAAAACGTAAAAAAATCTAAAACAAAAGTTACAAGCACAGAATGCAATTTTTTTTAAATTTTTTTTTTTTTTTTAAGAACTGAGAATCTTTGCAGCAAAAATATTTAAGTCTTATCAGCTTTATATTTTTTAAAAAAAAGGACTTTTAAATAATTTAGCTTCCAAGAGTAATTTGGATAATTTTAGAAAAATGGTGTTTGCAAATGTGAAAGTGACTGGAGCCAGACACAGTGCTCAATTTTTTTTTTTAAATCATGCACTTTAAAATACATACCAGAGGATGAGGAGTTCCCAATGTGACTGACTACACTGATGAGACGATATGAATGAGGAAGTTCTCCAGTCTGCAAGAAACGGTAACAGGACAATTAACTTTAATTACTGAACACTGTATATTTTACTTTCACTGTAGTTTTCATCATACATTCCTGAAATTATTGCATTCTTAAATTAGATTATCCATTAATACTCGTCTAATGTACAGCATCCATGGGTAGTAAACTGAACACTGCCAGGGAAGGAAATTTAGCAATGAATATAGACACCCCACTAAATAGTGCCCAGGTTTCAGTAGTCTTCTACAGCTTTGCAGCATGATTACCAGGAAGATCTACCAATTAAACCCCACATCTGTTTTCTCTCTCAAGATGGAAGAAAAAAAAAATGTACCTGTGCACTATTATCCTAAATCCCAATGTAAATTTGATTAACTTATGCTTTTAATAAGAGTATAAAGGGCTTAAAAGTGTAAACGCTTTTCTCTCACCACATCTGCAAAAGAAATGCCTTTATAAATGCACAAAAGCAATAAAAACTAAAGTGAAATAAGAACTCCAGTGATAACATTAATCTCATGTTGCAGATGTCTAAACAGTAGGTGCTAGTTGTTATTGTTACCCTCATGCTTATGGAGTAGTTGCCTGAGTGTTCTTGATGTTGAAACCCTGGTTAACTGGACTACAGATATGGACATTAGGTTATCTTTGGGCTATTTTACTTACTTCAGCATTTTTCTTCAGCTCTTCAGCTTCTACTTCAGTATACTCCATGTCAAGGATATCTTCATTCCCAGAATCGTCTTCAGACAGCATTCCATCTACCAAAGAATTGTTGAACTCTGCAAGTTATCATAAAAGACAACACTTCAAGAACAGATATACAACAAAGGGGAAGTCCACTAACTTTTTGATAAAGGAACACTGCAATAACCATAACAGCACCATATAGTGGTTATGGTGTCAGGAGGGCCCTAGTACTGTCCCAGAAAAGTTTAGTGTGAGTTTGACTCCTTTCGTGGTGTTTGCTGGGCACCTCTCCCTGCCTCCACTGTAGCCTCCTTTTAGCTCTCACTGTAGCTCTCCTGAAGTCTGAGAGTTACTTCTTACACCCTACCACTATGGTGTGCAGTATGGTGTGTCTTACTTTATACAATGGAGGGGAAAATCCCAACCACAACAAAATAACATGCATTCACAAACAACATTTACAGCCCTTGTTATGAGATGTGTGTCTCTAATATATTTATATAAATAATATAATAAATCTCACCTTGTAAACTAAGCTCAGTTGCTCTCTTCAGGTCATCATCTTCCTTTAGCTCCCGAGCCTCCTACAAGATAAAATGGTTCCTATTTTTAGTTTTGGATATTTCCAAACTCACAGGAAACTAAAGAGGTGTGCAATGAAGATAGTAATTCAACCACAAAAATAAAGAATATATTGTCAATTCAGAGAGGATATTTCACACCTGTAAGATTACTTTTCCAAGTTTATACAATTTTACAATCAAGACATTTAAAGGGGCAAACCTCTACAGCATGCTGGGTCATAACATTTGCCTTTACCTGGATGGAATTTATTGGCTGTGACAATCAGCTGACTGTCAGCCAATAAAATTCACCCAAAGAGGAGCAGGATTGACAGGAATTCCTGTTTTAGAAATATCTGCATAGGATACCTCTAAAGTGGGAGATCCTGAATAGGAGTTGTACCATGACCCCTCAGAAGACTCGAAGTAAGTTTCAAAAATATTTTCTTAAAAGAACACTATAAAGAAACACTATACACAAACATGTATTCCTGACCCTATAGTGCTAAAACCCACAATCTACCCCCATGTCCCCTCCCTTACCTTCCTAAAAATAGTAAAAATCTTACTTTTGTTCAAGTCAGCAGCTGCGGGCTCTGCCCCTGTTCTCCCTGTTTGGCTAACATCATCAGAAGTGTTGTTCTGAGCCAATCACAATGATTTCCCATAGGATTGGCTGAGACTATGAAGGGGCTGATCAGGGGCAAAACCAGCACAAGCCAAACACAGCCCTGGCCAATCAGCATCTTGCCATAGAGATGCATTGAATCAATGCATCTCTATGGGGAATGTTCAGTGTCTGCATGCAGAGGGAGGAGACACTGAATGTCAGTTACACTGTGCAGCACTGCCTCAGTAAGCAACTCTAATATCCATCTGAGGTATGGCCAGTGGCGTTAGCCTTAGGCCAGGAGTAGGCAACCTTCGGCACTCCAGATGTTCTGGACTACATCCCCCATAATGCTCTTACACCCATAATGCTGGCAAAGCATCATGGAAGGTGTAGTCCAAAAAATCTGGAGTGCCGAAGGTTGCCTATGCCTGCCCTGCGCTGTAATGTAAACGCTGCATTTTCTCTGAAAAGACAGTGTTTACGGCATAAAGCCTGAAGGGAATAATTGCACTCAAAAGAACAAATACAATAAGCTGTAGTAGTTCTGCTGACTATAGTGTCCCTTTAAGGATTATATAGCTTCAGAGAATAAAAAGGCATTGATTGTTATATAAATTACATTCTAACTAAAGTACCATAATTCAGGGAAAGGTCCCATGGCTGCCATATCAGAGAATTAATTAGATTCATAGGTAAATAAGTAATACACTTACATGTTCTTGAAGAGACTGAGCAAGTGCCTGCTGAAGTTCCTGTTCCTCTCGTTCCCTCTCCAGATCATACTGAAGCCAATCAACATCATTTTGGGTCCCCTCTGGAGTCTTGTTCTCTTTATTCTCATCAAAGTCCTTAGATGTTTCATTGAACTGAATCACACCTGGCACATGAAATGAAAGAGGTCAGTTGTAGAATTATATGTACGATGTTTACATTCATTATAGTTTTATAGCATACTCTAATGTAATTATTTCATGTTATGTTATGAATACCTGTCTCTTTAACTGCCTTGGGTTTTTCATCTTCCTCCAAGTTATTCATAGACTCCTGGACATCTTCATCACCCCCAAAGCCTGTATCCGGGCTGCCAGTGATCTCCCCTTCAGCAACACCATCACAAAAGGAAGCCTCTTTCTTTCCAATTTCCAGGACAGCTTCCATCAAATCCTCATCATTAATTGTGTCAAAACCTGTATCTGCCAGCTCTGAACACTTTGTACTCTCCATTATAGATTTCTACTCACACACAAAAAAATAATATTTAGTTCACTAAGAGAGACGTCAAGGTGGTGTAAGCAAAAATCGTCTAGTGTTTGCACGTTTGCTGGTACAAAGTAAACGGTTAAATTACATTATCTATAGAAGTGGCAACTAATATATTTGCATAGAAAATGCATTTTTAAAAGGGCAATATTGTTAAATTACCTAGAAGAAGGGTTTAAATATAAGGCATGCAGCAGCAGGTATATATAAAATACAGCATGCAACAGCAGGTGTATATAAAATACTGCATGCAGACGGTAATTTTTTTTTTTTTTTTTGGAGGGAGGGGGGAGAATAATGCAAATGCATAAGTAATTAAAAACTTCATCATGCAATGGGCAGATATTATAGGAAACAAATTATTTCACACAAAACTAGATAAGAGCACAAAAGGAATAATTGGCGACATATGGAACAAACCCATACCTTTTCCTGGTCATCGGTGAGTAGGTTCTTTGTTTGCACATCATAAACCCTTTGACTTTGAGAAACACAGCGTCTAATTTGTTCGTCCTCACTTTCAGAATCCAGGCAAGCAGGCAGGCTGTTGACCGATTTAAAGGTGTGCTTTCTAGAGACACACAAAACAGACAAAAAAAACCCAAAAAACATTAAGTGAGCCTAATTACTTTCCTCACTTGTTTTGCCTGTGCAGTTAAATAGGCGTTTTGTTTTTTTCTAAATGGTCAGGGATAGCAAGCAAAATTAAGATAACTAATGAGATCTAAATATAGAATTAAGTATTTAAAACGGACACTTTAGGAAACAACACACGAAGTACATTTGCATATGGCCTCATATGTATGCCGTATATTTCTTCCTCACATTTCAATGTCTAGTTTTAGTCAAGAAAGAAAAAACAAAAAAAAAAACCACACTTTTTGCATTTTTCTGCAGTGCAACTAAACACCTTAGCCACACTCCCTCTTTTTACAAAGCAACTTCCTTATCAGACATACTTTGAGTAGGCACTCAGCTAAGCCAATGAGAAACCAGTGTGAGCAGAGTTGCTGACATGCCTTAGAGCACTGCCCTCTTATCTGCCACCCATTTCCAGCACAGCTTTGAAATACTATAAAGATAAGAAGAGGAGAGTAATTGGCTGTGGGGCAAAGGAGAAAAATACAGCATGAATAAAACAAAAAAAAAAATTATCAAATGCACTTAATTTGTGTTGGTGCTCCCTTAAAAGAGGTTAAGTAAATTCAGAACACACACACACCGATTTTGTAGTGCACCACTGCAGTGCATACAAGTCAAGACATTTGGTGAACACATACCTGGTGGGGGTTGAAGAGCTCAAAGAGCAAGAATTCACAATTTGTGATGTTTTTAGCGGCCTTGAGTTCCTATGTACAAATTGAAGGAAAAACCATAAATGCCAAAACAATGACAAGACAAAATAAAACAGGTCTACCTCAGGATTTGATTAAATGAACCACACTTAAGAATTTTAGATGGATCTGTCATGTACCTATACTTAATGGATTTGTTTAAGCCAGTCATCGGGTTTTCACACTAAACTTGGTCTCAATTTCCTTGTGCACAGTGAGCATATTGCATTATTAGGCAGTTTCAAACGCTGCATTTTTTTCACTTCGATACACAGGAACACAATGAGTAAATCTGCATATCCCTGTGTTCTACCTGGCTGCAGACAGAGCAATAGTCAGCATTATATTTTATATTTAAATAGTAACGGTCTCAATAAGGCTGTAGTTTGAAGAGGGTTAAAACTATGAATGCAGTTTTCAAGATACCTGCCCACACACTACAAAGTCATGTTTTCAAAGTCAATTTACATTTATGTACAATATCGCTTAGATGTAAATAATGTGATTAATAGTTATAGGCTGAAGTAAATTTTCAAACTGAAAATTGCAAAGAAAAGAGTAGATTTTAAGTATAAACAAACACTAAAGATCCACAGCTTGTGTTTTATAGGAAAGAGCACAACAGCAAATCAGCAAGGTGCAATGGAGATCACCACATTTGAGTAGATACAGCAAATACAAAACACATTGAGAAAGGGCTTTCTGCTCAAAACGTCTGTTTTGTTATTGCTGTATCTACATAAATAATGGGTGTAGTGATCTCTATTGCACCTTTGCATCAACCCCTGCGCCTTGCCTATTTCTTCTATTGTGCCTTATATTGCTGTGTGTAGCAACATGGTGTTTAGGCGGTTTGGCAGCATTGGGTTGAAGGTTGTGACTATTCCCTAGGTAGTGCAGTAGCCTATCCACCTTTTTCTTCTTTTTTGCTTTATAGGAAAGAAATGGTAGATATCCATTTACATTGCATTCTGTGCAGTCCAGCCCAGGGACAAAGGTGTGCGTGTGCTTTCTGTGCAGTGCGAAGACAAAGTAAGATATCGAGGGATGATCACTTGCTGGCCCACTTTGTTATTAAGAGACAGAACCACATTAAAGCTGTATCGTTTCAGGTGAAGAATAAGGACTCTGGGGAAAAAAACAAACAAACAAAAAACCACGTAAGCTTTAACCCCTTAAGGACGGAGCCTTAACAAAACAAAATGTAAACAAAACCTGGCATTTGCGCTACATGTCTGTCCAACCGTAATACACCTCTTTCATAGTAAATGCACCCACCCTTATTATATATCATTTTATTCAGGGGAAACAGGGCTTTCATTTAATATCAAATATTTAGCTATGAAACATAATTTAATATGAAAAAAATGGGAGAAAATACGTTTTTTTGGATTTTTTTAGTTCTACGTGACATTTTAACGGTCAATGTCATAATACTGTTTGCTTTTACTGCAATAAAATACACATATTTATATTCAGTAAAGTCTCACGTGTAAGACAGTACCCCCTATGTACAGGTTTTATGGCGTTTTGGGAAGTTACAGGGTCAAATATAGCACGTTACATTTGAAATTGAAATTCGCCAGATTGGTTACGTTGCCTTTGAGACTGTATAGTAGCCGGGAATGAAATTTACACCCATAATGGCATACCATTTGCAATAGTAGACAACCCAAGGTATTGCAAATGGGGTATGTCCAGTCTTTTTTAGTAGCCATTTGGTCACAAACACTGGCCAAAGTTAGCGTTCGTATCTGTTTGTGTGAAAAATGCAAAAAATGCCAATTTTGGCCAGTGTTTGTGACTAAGTGGCTACTAAAAAAGACTGGACATACCCTGTTTGCAATACCTTGGGTTGTCTACTATTGCAAATGGTATGCCATCATAGGGGTAATTTTCATTCTTGGGCTACCATAGGGTCTCAAAGGCAACGTAACCAATCTGGCGAATTTTAATGTGAAAAAATGAAACGCAAGCCTTATATTTGACGCTGTAACTTTTGAAAACACCATAAAACCTGTACATGAGGGGTACTGTTGTACTCGGGAGACTTCGCTGAACACAAATATTTGTGTTTCAAAACAGTAAAAAGTATCACAGCAATAATATTCGTCCGTGTAATGCTGTTTGTGCGTGAAAAATGCAAAAAACGTCACTTTTACTGGCGATATCATCGTTGTAATACATTTTACTGTTTTGAAACACTAATATTTGTGTTCAGCTAAGTCTCCCGAGTAGAACAGTACCCCCCATGTACAGGTTTTATGGTGTCTTGGAAAGTTATAGGGTTAAATATAGTGCTAGCAAATTAAATTCCCTTTACTTTCGGCATGGGTTGTTAGGCAGGTCCTGCTAATTGTAATTAATTAAGATACCTAACTATGTAAAAATATTACATAAATATATATGTAGAATTAATATATATATATATATATATACGTATGTGTATATATATGTATATATCTATATAATTTTTTTAAAATATTTTTATTTATATATAGGTATATATATAGTGATATATACGTATATATTTATGTATATAGATATATATATTATTTCGTTCTACGTGTATTTTGATATATATATATATATATTAATTTCACAAAACAGTTAGAACGAAATAACACACATCTATATATATTTTAATTATTTATTTTTAATTATTTTTTAAATTTTATTTTTTAACGTATTTATATTTTTATTTTTTTTATATTATATATAAATATATATATAACAATAATTATATATATATTTAATCAGTATCAGTCTACGTGTAATTTGATATTAATATATATATATATTAATAGTAAAATACACCTAGACGGTGTATGTGTGTTTATGTATATGTGTATATATATACTTAGATCATATATATATAATATATATATATGATCTAAGTATATATAATTATTTTTTTTTACACCATTAACTTTTTTTATTTTATTTTCAGCCAGCAGGGGGACCACCTGTCATTACAGGCAGCCCCCCTGCCGGCAATACAGAAGCCAGCTATCCCAGGTCATGTGATTGTGGGGTCCTCGCTAGGACCCCACTCTCACATGGCCGGGGGGCTTCGACGAGGACGGATGTGCCGCGGGGGGCTCCCTGGGAGTCCCCCCAACCGCGATCGCCGGCGTGGGACCGCCGGCGACCGGGTAAGTTAACAAAAACCGGAGGGCGTACAATTACGCCCGGCGGCGTTTAGAGCCGCCTATTAGAGGGCGTAATTGTACGTCCTCCGGTTTTAAGGGGTTAAAAAACAGAAAACATACATTTAAATGGATTATATAGTGTAAGGAATACAAATCTGTGTTCCTTACACGATAGAGACCTCTGGTACCCCCTCCTCTCTCGCCGCCCCATCCCCTGATGGCTAAAGGGTTAAAAATCAGTAATTTACTCGATTAAAACCGTGATTTCCCTCTGTGCTGGGTCAGACCTGTGCATTAGGCCCTTCCCATAGGAAAGCATTACCCCAATGCTCTCCTATAGGGATTTAACGGACGCTGGATGACCTCACGGAGAGTGTGAGGACGTAAAGCGTCAGGCGACCAAAGTTCGGTTAGCCACCAGGAAGTAGCTCTAGTGGCGGTCTGACAGTCACTAGAGGTAATCTTAGTGCTGCAATGTAAATCATTTCAATGAGATAAAAAGGTCTGGGTGACTATAGTGTCCCTTTAAAAGAAACAGGGTGCAAGAGAAGGTTGTGGAATAAAATGGGGGATAAGTCTGCAACCCAATGATATCACATTATGTGAAAATTCTTATATGTATGTTCCAAAGCTGCAAGCTTATTTCTATAGCCTTATAAGTTCTCCCGTAGATAATGTCTTAAGTGGGTTGTTGAGACATAACCCAAGGGTTTGCAAATACTGCGCACATAAATGTTTCTCTCATATGCCTCAGGGTAAATAATATTCATATTTATGCCCAATTTGTAGTTCTACTACCTCTAGGGTCAGCTTTTATTCTCCCTTTGAACATGGAAGTAAACATACCACCCCCCCAAACTGTTTTACTAGAAATTAACAGAAAAGTTGCCAGTAGAAATGATTACCTAGGCAATCTGCTGAATTTGTGTGTTACGGTTGCAGATTTTCCATTACATTTTTCACAAGAATATTCCAGGTCTTCCATCTGTGAGGAAAGAATAGGTAATGTATTACAGCAAATTAGTGTTATTCAAATATTAATGATTCATTTCTTCTAACTGCTTACATACCCTGAAAAAGAGGTCCAAGGAATCCTGTATGGATCTGCAAGGCAACAATTTCTTTCTCCGTGGAAGATCAATAGAAAGGTCATTAAACTGTTCACGCTTAGTGACTGTTTCACCACACCTGTGGAAGAATATAGAATAAATACTACTGCATATTATGCTGATATAGAACTTCTATTTAAAGGATACCATTAAAAAGGTTATCATCCAAAAAGTAAAGATAACCAGTGCTTACATTTTACAAATGATTGAATGTTGCACCTCAAACTCAAAATTGCAGATCACTGGGCAGGTGTAAACACGGGTAGCAGTGACATCATTTGGTTTTCCATCTGAAATATCCTCTCCTGAAGAGGGTTCAGTCTTCCAGGTTTTGTTTAGTTTACCCACATCTTCTTTGAGCTGGTCAAGGCACTGGCTCAAGAACTCATGGGCATCCTGTAAAGAGTACTGGCTTTAAAACCAGATCAGACAAAAAGGCTGCACAAAATCCCAGTAGTAAGGTAACAAGATGAAGGCAATTACCCCCACCCCCTCTTAAAAGAGATCATCAATACATTTAAAAAGGACCTCACTCCAAGAGTATATTTTAATTTTCTATTTAAAGAAATTGTACATAACCAAGAAATAAACTTTAGTATTTTATGGTGGCACATTTAAATGGAGCTTGCAATTATGTGTCTAAGACAAAGCCCACTTCAGATTTAGTTTATAATTCAATCTATACTTTGCCAACAAAAAGTAGAGGAGATTTTTTTCTATCAGTACAGATTTCAAAGACTGACATGTATTGTGTATATTACAAAGCATTTGGTTTAATCACAAAAGAAAATATGAGCACAAAGCATACTTACATTCTGCATGTAGCCAGAAAACCGCTCTGCTGTGGCCGATATGGCATTCTTAACTTTCTTAAGAAGTTCTTTCTTATTCTCAGGGCTGCAGACATCCTTCTTGGCCAGCAGAATGGCAAAACGTCTGCAGTATGCAAAAAAAAAAAAAAAGTTTTCTAAGGCAGAAGCATCATATATGTAGTGAGCTAGTAGCGTGATGTAGCAAGTAGCAGAATGACCCTCTAAGCACCATCACCACAATAGTTTAGTGGTTTGTGGAAGCCAGGATGGTGCCATTACCAGTGGTGTATTTTGGATCTTTGCTGCCCTAGGCATGATGGAACTCGGGCACCCCCTAATTTACATTTGCCCCACCCCTTCCTGTCAAGGCCACTCCTCTTCCCATTAAAGACTAATACACACTGACTGACAGACACACACGCACTGATTTGACACAATCTGACAGATACACACAATCACTGATTATTATTACTGGTATTTACACACAATGACGCAGACACACCCACAGGCATACACAATCACTCAGACACACACTGACAGACACACACTCACTCACAGACACCCACTAAAAATGAAAATCCAGCGCACTCCCTCATAAACTAAACATCTACTTTGGTGCTGTCCAATTTTGTAAGTTTTATTAAAAACACCTAATCTAGGCAAAAACATTTTATTTTTTTGCTATTGGCCCCCAGCAGTACCCCATTTAAGCATGTTCACATAAGTGCAGCCAACCCCTTGTTTTCTCATACACACACACACACACACACGCACGCACACAGACAGACGCGCGCACAGACACACAGACACACACTGACCCACGGCAAAAATACACAGTTGGCCATTACACTGAAATGTAGTGTTAGACTGCTTAAAGTACCAATTGAAATCGGGGCATCATTGCTATTTTATGCATCAATATAGAATAAAACCAAATATACAACATTCTATAATGTAGACCCACAAATTTGAAAGTGCAGTCCATTGCTGGTCATTGGTCCATTTGGATCAGAATCCACGCACTGTGGGAAGTTGTATTGTGTTTGTCTCACCGGACTTTTTTTTTTACCTCGTGCCCTTCCCTCCCCCCACCCCATGCATAGAAATGCTGAGAGAGACAGTATACCTGATTAATGCATTCATTGGGATTTTTTTATAAGGAATCCCTTGGCGGAGTAAGTCATTTGCAAATGGGTGAAGGGAAAACAGAGACTGTAATATTGCATTCATATAGCAGGTATTCCCCAAATTCGAAAATCTAAAAAGATACAAAAGAAAATGTTAGTAAGAATGACATTGCTTAGTGATATAGTAATGAAGAGATATTGGAACATGTCTAGTATACTGCACAATTATGATAATGCAAACAGGTTTATTTCAATGGGAGATTAGCTGAAAAGTGTCCCCAGGACACCACATGCTAAGTACATGCAAAGATAATTAAGTATTAGTAATCGGACAATATGAAATAATAATAATAATAAATATATATATATATATATTATAACATAGGGATGCTTGAATTATAAGCGGTGTGACAGATAAGCACCCCATATATGTAGTGGCACAAGAGGAAGGCAGGTAACAGGGCATTTGTGCGCTGCTACCATCGTCCGAGCAGCCCCAGGCCAGGACAGCGGCAGCCTCTCCCGCCCGATGCAGACCAGGCCCAAGCTATGGGCAGATGAGATCTTGCTGGGTCCCAGACCACCACTCCAGATGTCCTCTGTTGTGAGGACCAGATAGGTGGCCGGTGGAGTCCCCAGTAGAATTCGGTAATGCTGTAGGAAGCTTGTATAAGATGTGAGAGCTCATGCAGAACACGTTGCACCGCCGTGAAAGTCAGGCCCCCCCCCTCCCCTGCAATATCTTCTTGAGGAGAGGCTGTTCACAAAATGGAGAGTATATATTAAAAATTAAAAAAAAGTCACTTCCATCTTGGGATGTCCCTTTTATTTCTAAGTGTAGGCTCATTTTAAAAATGACGAGGAAACCATAAACCCAGGGAAAACTAAACAAATAAAAATACTTAAATATAGATAAAATAAAAAAAATTAGCTGAGATTTTATGACAGAGCAACACGGTTTGTGTAACTCTGGCCTCATTACTGTACTTAAGGAAAATAAAGTACTGAGCCTGCTCAATGTGTTCAAACGGCAAAACCGTCACTTCACACACTGAACCACCCAATGGTATAAACGGACACACGACAAATTAGTACATACCCCTGTAGTGGCTGGGGCATCCTTTGTTTATTCCATCCAGGATAGTCATGATTCGGTTTCAACTTTTTTGCAGACAATGGGCTTGTCTGTGGTGGGAGGATTAAACTTCTCTTAGCAGACGGCGGCTGACTAGATGCAGATCTGGTTCATTTTGGAATTGCAGATAAAACAAAAAAGCCACACATTCAGTCAAGATACGAACTGAGGATTTTCAATTCTGCTATTTTAAATCAGCAAAATGTTTAGTGAATATAGGCATTATAGCAAGAAGCACGTGTGTCAATTTTATTCACTAAACAAGGAAAAGTGGAAAAAAGCAAACAAAATACTTCCGTTGTGAACATCCGAAAGACGTGCATTTGTGGACTGGCAAAAATATTTAGAACGGGGCTCAAATTCTGCAGTGTTCAATAATAGCAACCAAACAAAAATGGGATAACACTCAAGGACATTTTAATTATACAAATAAAACGTATTTTTTTTCTGTCAACATTTCAGTTTTACAATAGAAAACTATATTGCTGTCAGATCTGCCCTGATTAAAGTTTTATTATAAAACTAAACATTGAAAGAATAAAGTTCAGTTTTATTTGTTTTGCTAAAAAGCCTTCGAGTGCTATCTATTTTTGTTTGGTTGTCTTTGAGAACGTAGCCCTCTGAATGCACATTTTTTATTTTATTTTTTAAAACATGTGCCTCCAACTTACAGTAAATAAAAATAGAGATATACAAAACACAATCATTTTCCCCATTATATTCTCCATTTCAAGATTGGAACATGCTAAATGGATAGCAGGAATAAAAATACTGTAAGACATTCATATGATAACATGCAATTCACACAATCTTTTCTGCTGGTGGCGGTTGGCATGTGCTTACCGGTCTGTGCACACATTCCCAGGAGTATACTCTTTCGCAGTCAACCTGCTACTGTAAAAGGAAGACGACTGTAAAGGCATTAATCCTGTAAGATAATAATTATGTGTTGTAAAATACGACCATTTAATAATTGCCTTTTAATAAAAGTGAGTAGGTATCAAGGACACATTGGAAGTATTTCCCAAAACATTAAGAACTACATACCTTGTCTGCCCTCCTCAGCCAGTTTAAGAGTCAACTGTTTTTCTCGGCTGCTGTTTAAAAATTTGCGTGCTGGGTCAGTTAATGTCTTATTTGTGCTAAAGAAGAGATTCAAACATATCAAATTGTAACGTGAAGCAATTTTTAATAGTTAAATAATGAACATCTCATGATACATGAGAGGTGGTAAAAAAAATTGAAAATAATCACACATAATAGAAGCCCAGATTGTACAGACTTACAACAGTAACTACGCAGAGACTGTCTGAATGGTACGCATGCAGAATATGGACAGCATCAGAAAAACCTTGAAAACCAATTTTTATGGGACATTTTATTAAAATACATCAAATGTTCTTTAATTACACCTGTGTCACTCAGAGCACGTGAAAACATTAAAGCAGTCTTGCCTTTTACAGAGAATGGATCAAACAATAGCTTCCAATGTAAAGTTAAACACCAATGCGTTCCTATTATGCATGAGAGCAGGATACAAAGCAAATCTCTCATATGTCTGTCACTAGAGTGCATCTATATACAATCATCAAGAGACAGTTTTATACAAGCTTTTCTGTATGAGGAGACAGGTTTGATAAACTTCAGGAGCTGGTGTTTTATATTAAAACTTGGAATGCCCTTCTACCATCTTATTGAAAAGAAAAATAAATTATATGCATAAAACGTGTCAGGATACCAATATCTAAGTTTTTGGTAATCTCTATAATTCTCCAAAGTTTACAATAAACAAATATATAGAGATAATATAATAAAACAAAATAAAAAATCAGCACAGCAAGTAACTGGGGGGAGGGGGGTCAGTACCCTGCCAATAAATTTTTTTTAAAAAGGCAATCAATAAGCTTTAACGTTGAGCTATAAAGCCAAGCAATTCAAAGCCAAAACTCCAAGCAACCCTTGACCCATCTGATGAAAATTTGGAGCAAAAACATACGTCGATGAATCATTCTCTTTGGGGTAATCTTCGCCTATCTCTGGGCTTGGAGTCTGCATTCGTTTCCTTTTTTCACTCCTGTGAGTGAAAAACACAATTCGAAATGACCTAGGATAAACCCAAGTCTCTGAAAGCCACCAGACTTAAATACCAGATGTGAATCTGAACAGAAAATCTCAGTAAGTATACTTCAACGTCTAAAATAGCAATCATAACAAACATCTATACAGCTTTTATTTTATTTATTTTTTAAATACCATGTGTTGTAAAATACGACCATTTAAATTTACTTCTTAATTCAAACAGACAAATGGAATGATATTTACACTTACAGAGGGGGCACAATACATCTTTCAAGTGATAAGAAAGTTGAAAATGTAAGGACAAAACGAAAAAAAAAAAAAAAAAATGCCAGCAGCACTGGACAAATTTTACAGTTTGGCTATTTTAGCCTCGAATTTGCAAATCCCTAGCCCTTTCTCAACAGCTCCCAGCGAATAAGCTTGATAAAGAATAAGGGGAATCTGGGATTTTACAGTTAATGTGATGATCTGAAAATACCTTAAATTGGTCTGATAGTTAAATACCAATTACTTTGGTATTTCCTTGAGTGCCACAGAACTTAATGAAAACCTAAATCACTAGGACTGTGTTCATGTTGACACTAAGCAAGGACTGATTTTAAGTTCACTTTTTTTTTTTTTTTTTAAGAATAAAACTTGCTGGTTTTCTTAATTCTCAATACCTATTTTCAGAAAGACCAGTTCTTTGGGGTGTAGACGTCATTGGGGAGATGCCTGTGCGACCTGAAGTGATGCCCCCAGGAGACGTTTTAACAGCTGCTCTTCCCGTATGGTTTATTGACATCTTCACTGGAGTTTCATCCTTTGTTGCAAAGCTAACCCTTTTAGATGGAGTCTTTAAACAAGAGCAGGAAGAAGTTTATTTAAAAATAAAAATTTAAATGGGAAACATAGCAAGGATTATAATAATCTTGATCTTTACACACCTGGCTTTTGACGTTTGACATTGGTATGTTTGAATCCCTCTGGCTGCTTCTGTTTCCCAAAATGCCTCCAAAGCTTCCAGATCCTTGGGCAGATTTCACTAGTGTAATACAAGAATTAATAAAGAGACAAATGCGGTATGTGCAGGAATTGTTCTAAACTGTTTATTCCCCACCACAATATCAATTTTATAATAAAAGGAGAACTGCGACTTTCCAGTATACATAATATGTTAACTTGTCCCTATATTAAAATATATATATATATATATATATATATATTTATTTTTGTGAGGTGTGAATTTTATTTTATTTTTTTGAAACACCAACTATCTATTAACTGAGCACTTTTATATTAGCTCTCTGTCAATCGTTATTATACGCTCTGCCCTTTACACCTGGCAGACAGTATAGAGATATAATACAGCAAAGGGGAGAAGTGAAGAGGGGAAAAATATGTTATATAAATTAAAAGTTGTGCCTACATGGGAAAAGGGGAGAATGCATTTTAGTAATTTAGGCGACTTTTCAGAATGTCACCTTATACATAACCCCAATGTTTCTATTTATAATGACGGAGCTTGGACTGAATAGGATTGTGAGATAATTTGCTAAATCTTTAATATAAATTTAGAGTAAAACGAAGCATCATAGAACTACAGGTGTACACACGTTGTAGAGAATTTGGTGGAATTTACACACGTTGTAGAGAATTTTGGTGGAATTTACATTCAATTTGCTAAATTTAGAACAAATTTGCACAGTTTGGAAAATTGCAATCCTGATTGTAATTCACTGTTTAGTATATAAACTCTACAAGGTTATTCTACACTAAACCGGAATTTGCCACTTTAGTCAAGTTGGAAAAAGAGATGGATTTTTATTTTTATTTTTTATTATTCTTACTTTTTGGTCAAGACATAGCATAACAAAGTGATTCAGAATGCATGAATTCACTGTACAAATGGGACAAAAATGAGAAGGTAATGGTACATGGCATCTCATCCAAAGTAAGCAATTTAACATTATGTCTTTAATCCACTCTTAACTGTACACTTAATAAATACAAAAATGTGTTTGTTTTTTTTGGAACTTAGTTGAAAATAGTAGAAAGAGAAGATATACCTAAAAGTTCCCTTGGCTCTTGCAAGATAGATTTCCACACCCTGGGGGGGATTGCCTAAAAATGCTCACAACACAGATAGTAAGCATACACCCCATCTCGGAGTAGCTTTTTAGAAATACCTATTGATGAATCCTTAGGTCTAGCCAGGGACAGAACATTTCAGGAAAAGTACTGAGTGAGCCAACGCGAGGATAGTACATAGTGGACGTCTGCTAGGGAGTGGGAGATGGAGGGAGGCCTACAGTTCTCCACTAGCTTTCTACTTCAGTCTATAGTCACTTGAGTTCCAATAGTTCCCATATCTTCTCAAACTTATGTACTGTGTTTCTCACCTGCGCTGTCAGTTTATCCATCAGACAATGGTCCTTAATTTTATCAAGGACTTGAGAGACGGAAGCAACAGTAGGCTGTAGCCAAATCTGGGCTATGGCCCGTTTGGTTGCTAAGGTGACCTTCTAAAGGAACTGTGGACCAGAAAGGTCCTATCTGTGGTCAGTCCCACCACATATGTAAGTGCCTTTGAGGCCGCAACCCCTCAAGCACAAATCGGTTGGAGTCTGTTTCATGCGGTACAGTTTTACCGGGCTAGTATACTATTGAAACAGTCATAAAACATTGCTCTTGCAAAGTGACGCATATGGAGGAAGAAGCTGACGCTTCCCAGATATCTTGCCAGTCAATGCCTTCCAGCACCTCCCCCAATTCTGCCTCCCACTGTGAAATGTGCAGGCCAATATATAAAATCTGTTAATGGAAAAACTACAGCATCAGTGCCTGTGGATGTAAAATAAAAAAACTAATGTTTCAGTGCCTATAGGAATAAAGGGCCTCAGTACCAAAGATGACATGCTCAGATATAATGGAGATGAAACAGTAGCGCAGAATTTGGAAATTCTTCAAGAGCAGTAATCTGGCTAATGCAATGAAGAGACAGGAAAAAAAAAAAAATCAAAGAAGAAATCTCAGTTCTGCACCATACTGGGATATAGTCCACTGTATTTACAAGGAGGGTTTGAGATATTGTAACTGAATTTTCTGTAAAGATATTTTAAAGAAATCAAAAGTCCAAAAAGGAGAAGAGGATAGTGGTTCATACAAGACAAACATTTGCAATGGCCAAGTTTCATTTTCCCCCAATGTACAATACAATATGATGCAGCACAGTTTTAGTCATACTATGCAGGGTGAGTGACAGTAATGGTTAACTGCTGCTCCTCAAAAATGGGATAACTGTTTTAGAGCCAACAGTTGTTCTAGTCCAGGCTCACAATTTCCACTCCCCACTAGTATGGACCCTACAGGCTTGCAGTGAAGACCTGGCTAGTAGCCTACTACTTAAAAATGTTAAGACCTGGTCTAGTCTATTGTTTTATTTTATATAGCTTTATTTTTAATTTTGTTGACTGACAACTAGGCAACTTGATAACTTTAGGAACTGTGCAAACCAAAAGTCACAGACCGTTGTGGTGGGAATATGGTTAAGATGTCAAAGTATGCAAATAAATACAAAGCACCCCTGTTCTCTCCTGTGAATCTTTTTAAAAAACAAAGGCAATTTAGCAATAATTAAATAAATAAAGCAGCAGTGCCTTCTTACCTGTTGGACCTTTGTCAACTGAGTCCAGGAAGTGTTTCAACACCTCTGCATCTTTCATTGGAGCCTTATCTACTGTTATGGCACCTGAATCTTTCAATGTGAGCATTAGCCTGCTCTGTTTCATTCCAGTTGGTCTCAGAACAATGTTTTTGATGTTTTGACTTAGCTACAATAGAAACAACATTGCAAATGACTGTAAATGATACTTTCTTGACTAACAACAATCTGGACTTTATATTGTGAATCATGATATGGTAATGATGTTTAGACTGTGTTTCACTTTCTTAAAGGACCACTATAGGCACCAAGACCACTTCAGCTCAATTAAGTGATCTGGGTGCCAGGTCCCCCTAGGTTTAACCCTGCAGGGTTAATCCTACCTCTAGTGGCAGTCTCTCTGCCACTAGAGGCCAGTTCCGCGATTTACACGGAGTAAATCACACTTATTTGACGCTGGATGTCCTCAGGGAGTCCAGTGTCAAAAAAGATCCCCAAAGGAAAGCATTGAGTAATGCTTTTCTATGGGCGGGTTTGAATTTGTGAGCGGCCAGACGCATTCAGCTCCACTCGGAAGCTGACGTCGATGGAGAAGGATAGGTCACCAGTGCTGAGGGATCACAGCGCTGGAAGGTAAGGTAAGCAAATAAATAGTTAACCATTTATTCGCCGCGGAACAGTGCCCTAGTTGCTCTATAGCGTTAGGAATAAATATTTGTATTCCTAACTCTATGTGCACCCCACACACAGACTGCCCCATCACATACACTGCCAAATCACACACACTCCGGCCCACACACACATTAAGCATCTTTCAAACATACATAGCACCTCACAGGCAAACAGAAAAAAGTAGAATAGAAAAAAAAAGGAAATAAATTGATAAATTTAAGTACATTTATATATATTAAAAAAAAAAAAAAACTCCTTAAAAAAAAAAATAAAATCACACTTGCGCTATAAAATTAGTTAATGTGGCACTTGTGTTTGGTAAGGAAATTTTTTTACCAACAACAAAGATTCAAAAGTGGGCGTTAGGCAGGGTCACCATCAAAAATTTTGGGGCCCCTAACACCGCTCAAGGTCTGGGCCCGCCTCCAAACCCCGGCCACAGGAATACACACACGCATACACGCACATACAGATGCATACACACACAGACGCGCGCACGCACCCAGATGCGTGCGTGAATACACACAGATGCATACAGGTACATGCATACACACACAGATGGATGCATGCATACATACATACACACGCACACAGATGCATGCATTCATACACATTTAAAAGGTTTCAAATAAGGTAAAATGTTTCAAATAATTTTTCAGTGATTTTAGAGTGCTACACATTTTGAATTGCTGGACTGAAAGATTCTTACAATAGACTGAATAGTATTAAAACAGCACTGTCAAACCCCCCCAAAAATGAGAATTTCATAAAAATAAAATCTTAACGAAATACTCATGACAGTTTTGGAATTTCACTGAAATTGCAACCCAGTCAAGAGAAATACACAGACAAAGTACGGACCACTTGATACTTCTTGACACAGGGCGCAGCATGTGTGTCAATCCCAACGGCTGCAAGGAATTGGCTGTGTCTATGGAGGATCCAACAGAGACCCCAATGTTGTACTCTTGCACATGCACGAGAGTACAGCAGTGATGTAATCCCCAAGGAGGACTGCACTGGACCAATATGACAGCATCCGCGAGGAACAGATGCAGGTAAGTAAACTCTTTACCTGCCCTCCTTGACCACCAGACCTCCAGAGGCAATGTCACCTTTGGGGGACTTTACGAATTCAGCAAAACTCCCCGAACCATGACAATGTTGTTTTAACAAGCAAAACCATTAAGAGGACAAAAAGAAAGTTTTATGGTATTTTATTTTCACATTAATTGGTATAAAAAAATTTCAAAGATAATTACCTGAAATTTTGCCGGCACGCCTCCAGCATTAAAGTTTACAACCAGAGTGAATTTATTGTCTTTCTCTATTACTTCACAGAAGCCTTCCTTCCATTTCGATGTTCCCATGTTAAGACAGTGGATCCGAATTGAACCCCTCAGAGTGAGTGAAGTCATTTGTGTATATATATATATATATATATATATGCTTTAAATATAATAATAAAGTGCAGAAAATGTAAAGCCTAAAAATAAATAGATATTAACAAATATAAATATATTATAAATCTACTAAAATAGCTCAATGTTACTGGGTTCCCATCTATGGAGCTGCCCGGTATAATCCGAATAGCTCAATGTTACTGGGTTCCCATCTATGGAGCTGCCCGGTATAATCCGAATAGCTCAATGTTACTGGGATCCCATCTATGGAGCTGCCCGGTATAATCCAAATAGCTCAATGTTACTGGGTTCCCATGTATGGAGCTGCCCGGTATAATCCGAATAGCTCAATGTTACTGGGTTCCCATCTATGGAGCTGCCCGGTATAATCCGAATAGCTCAATGTTACTGGGTTCCCATGTATGGAGCTGCCCGGTGTAATCCGAATAGCTCAATGTTACTGGGTTCCCATCTATGGAGCTGCCCGGTGTAATCCGAATAGCTTAATGTTACTGGGTTCCCATCTATGGAGCTGCCCGGTGTAATCCGAATAGCTTAATGTTACTGGGTTCCCATCTATGGAGCTGCCCAGTATAATCTGAATAGCTCAATTCAGGCTAAACCAGCCGAGCTGGAGAATGATCCCAGACCAGTTGTGTTATTTGGGGAGTTCGGTTACTCCAATTCTGAGCTTAGTACATATCCCCCTCTATAACGTACTCCCACCTCTGATGCTCGCCTTCAAGATTTCTCGAGGGCTGCACCATTCCTGTGGAACTCGCTTCCCTCCTCCGTTAGATGCTCACACAGTCTCCACTCCTTCAAAAAAATCATTAAAAACCCACTTCTTCATAAAAACGTATCAATTCAAACTGTTAATAGCTCCTGACTGATTCCTCTTCTGCAACTGTCATTAGTCTAATACTATCCTTATCTTATTGTGTCATTTTACCCCACTCCCTCTAACATGTAAGCTCATTGAGCAGGGCCCTCAATACCTCTGTTCCTGTGTGTCCAACTTGTCTGGTTATAACTACGTGTCTGTTCGTCCACCCATTGTAAAGCGCTGCGGGATATGATGGCGCTATATAAATAATAACATAATAATAATAATAATGCTAATGTGGGTACCCCTGGAGGGACCCTCAGTTGGTTGCCATGGTGACCCAGGATCCCGGTCTCCCCCTCACCTCACTGGCCGCCCGGCCGGGTTCTGACACGGCGCCCCCTGTGCTTCCCTCCTGTCAGAGCGCTGGGGGAAATGGCGGGAAAGTGCGAGTCTCCCTCACACGCAGCTCGCGCAGCACACGGCGACCGAGACGTCACGGCGGCACGCACGCACGCGCGCGCGCACTGATGACGTCAGAGGAGCCGGCTCGCGCCTCTCTGGATTTTATTTCCCGATTCCTCCCGGCCGTTCCCCGGTTCTGACAGGCGCCTCGCGCTGCCGTGAGGCGGGATTGTTAAAATGATCCCGGGGGGAGAAGTTCGGTGACAGCGCGCGGGGTCAGAGGTCAGCGGCGCGGTGACGCGCAAGGGGAAGGGGCGGGGCTCCGGTTGTTGTGGCGATTGAG